GGAGAGTCAGAGGGCCCAGGAGAGTCAGAGGGACCAGGAGAGTCAGAGGGACCAGGAAAACCAGAGGGACCAGCAGAGTCAGAGGGACCTTGACAGTCAGAGGGACCATGACAGTCAGAGGGACCAGGAGAGTCAGAGGGGACCAGGAGAGTCAGAGGGACCAGGAGAGTCAGAGGGACCAGGAGAGTCAGAGGAACCAGGAGAGTCAGAGGGACCAGGAGAGTCAGAGGGACCAGGAGAACCAGAGGGCCCAGGAGAGTCAGAGGGACCAGGAGAGTCAGAGGGACCAGGAGAGTCAGAGGGACCAGGAGAACCAGAGGGACCAGGAGAGTCAGAGGGACCAGGAGAGTCAGAGGGACCAGGAGAGTCAGAGGGACCAGGAGAACCAGACGGACCAGCAGAGTCAGAGGGCCCAGGAGAGTCAGAGGGACCAGGAGAGTCAGAGGGACCAGGAGAGTCAGAGGGACCAGGAGAGTCAGAGGGACCAGGAGAACCAGAGGGACCAGGAGAACCAGAGGGCCCAGGAGAACCAGAGGGCCCAGGAGAGTCAGAGGGACCAGGAGAACCAGAGGGACCAGGAGAGTCAGAGGGACCAGGAGAGTCAGAGGGACCAGGAGAGTCAGAGGGACCAGGAGAACCAGACGGACCAGCAGAGTCAGAGGGCCCAGGAGAGTCAGAGGGACCAGGAGAGTCAGAGGGACCAGGGAGAGTCAGAGGGACCAGGAGAACCAGAGGGACCAGGAGAGTCAGAGGGACCAGCAGAGTGAGAGGGCCCAGGAGAACCAGAGGGACCAGGAGAGTCAGAGGGACTAGGAGAGTCAGAGGGACCAGGAGAGTCAGAGGGACCAGGAGAGTCAGAGGGACCAGGAGAGTCAGAGGGACCAGGAGAGTCAGAGGGACCAGGAGAGTCAGAGGGACCAGGAGAGTCAGAGGGACCAGGAGAACCAGAGAGACCAGGAGAGTCAGAGGGACCAGGAGAACCAGAGAGACCAGGAGAGTCAGAGGGACCAGGAGAGTCAGAGGGACCAGGAGAGTCAGAGGGACCAGGAGAGTCAGAGGGACCAGGAGAGTCAGAGGGACCAGGAGAGTCAGAGGGACCAGGAGAACCAGAGGGACCAGGAGAACCAGAGGGCCCAGGAGAACCAGAGGGCCCAGGAGAGTCAGAGGGACCAGGAGAGTCAGAGGGACCAGGAGAGTCAGAGGGACCAGGAGAACCAGAGGGACCAGGAGAGTCAGAGGGACCAGGAGAGTCAGAGGGACCAGGAGAGTCAGAGGGACCAGGAGAACCAGACGGACCAGCAGAGTCAGAGGGCCCAGGAGAGTCAGAGGGACCAGGAGAGTCAGAGGGACCAGGAGAGTCAGAGGGACCAGGAGAACCAGAGGGACCAGCAGAGTGAGAGGGCCCAGGAGAACCAGAGGGACCAGGAGAGTCAGAGGGACTAGGAGAGTCAGAGGGGACCAGGAGAGTCAGAGGGACCAGGAGAGTCAGAGGGACCAGGAGAGTCAGAGGGACCAGGAGAGTCAGAGGGACCAGGAGAGTCAGAGGGAACAGGAGAACCAGAGAGACCAGGAGAGTCAGAGGGACCAGGAGAACCAGAGAGACCAGGAGAGTCAGAGGGACCAGGAGAGTCAGAGGGACCAGGAGAGTCAGAGGGACCAGGAGAGTCAGAGGGAACAGGAGAGTCAGAGGGACCATGAGAGTCAGAGGGACCATGAGAGTCAGAGGGACCATGAGAGTCAGAGGGACCAGGAGAGTCAGAGGGACTAGGAGAGTCAGAGGGACCAGGAGAGTCAGAGGAACCAGGAGAGTCAGAGGGCCCAGGAGAGTCAGAGGGACCAGGAGAGTCAGAGGGACCAGGAGAACCAGAGGGACCAGGAGAGTCAGAGGGACCAGGAGAGTCAGAGGGACCAGGAGAACCAGAGGGACCAGGAGAGTCAGAGGGACCAGGACTCACCAAGAACACTGATCCCGATGTTATTGAAGCTGAGGAGTTCCTTCTGAGCCTGAAGAAGAACCTACAGAAACAAAACCATGTCAAAATTAAAGAAAATCTGCAATTTTCTTCTTCCGGTTGGATCATTGAGACTATTGGTCCTCCCAACTGTCAATCATTCTGGTGATACGTGCTCGTCCAATAAGAATAGAGAGTTTTGTTCGAAAAAAAACTAACTCTGACACATTTACATGTTGAAAAAACACATTTATTGACACTGTCCCAATTCAAATAAATCTCCAAAACAAAAGTGGAGAAGGTGGTTCTTTCCTGAAATTTGGGAAAATCCTCCCATTCCTTTAAAGTCTGATGTCTGAGTGAAGCAGAGAGAAGTCTGTATGTTTATCATGGGCTTGTGTCATAATATGTAATATATATTTATGGTCCATTTTCAAAGTGGAAAAAACATGAGACCCTGAGTAAACATGTGCAAATATTCACAGTTTATTATTTTATTATTTGATTTTCTTAAACACTAGATTCTGTTTGATGTGTGCACCACCGGTGGACTCTTCCCTTTCTAGTCTGCTGTTCAACTCTGACATTTACATTCTCCCACTGAGGAACGAGTAAAAACCTCTCCACTCTCTCCCCTCCACTCTCACCTCTCCACTCTCTCCTCTCCACTCTCACCCCTCCACTCTCTCCCCTCCACTCTCTCCCCTCCACTCTCTCCCCTCCACTCTCACCTCTCCACTCTCTCCTCTCCACTCTCACCTCTCCACTCTCACCCCTCCACTCTCTCCCCTCCACTCTCACCCCTCCACTCTCTCCCCTCCACTCTCTCCCCTCCACTCTCACCCCTCCACTCTCTCCTCTCCACTCTCACCTCTCCACTCTCTCCTCTCCACTCTCTCCCCTCCACTCTCACCCCTCCACTCTCTCCCCTCCACTCTCTCCTCTCCACTCTCACCTCTCCACTCTCACCCCTCCACTCTCTCCCCTCCACTCTCACCCCTCCACTCTCTCCTCTCCACTCTCACCTCTCCACTCTCTCCTCTCCACTCTCTCCCCTCCACTCTCTCCTCTCCACTCTCACCTCTCCACTCTCCCCTCTCCACTCTCTCTCCCCTCCACTCTCACCCCTCCACTCTCTCCTCTCCACTCACACCCCTCCACTCTCACCCCTCCACTCTCTCCCCTCCACTCTCACCCCTCCACTCTCACCCCTCCACTCTCCCCTCCACTCTCCCCTCCACTCTCACCCCTCCACTCTCCCCTCCACTCTCCCCTCTCCACTCTCTCCCCTCTCCACTCTCACCCCTCCACTCTCACCCCTCCACTCTCTCCCCTCCACTCTCTCCCCTCCACTCTCCCCTCCACTCTCACCCCTCCACTCTCCACTCTCTCCCCTCTCCACTCTCCCCTCTCCACTCTCTCCCCTCCCCACTCTCTCCCCTCCACTCTCTCCCCTCCACTCTCCCCTCCACTCTCACCCCTCCACTCTCTCCCCTCCACTCTCCCCTCTCCACTCTCTCCCCTCTCCACTCTCCCCTCTCCACTCTCTCCCCTCCCCACTCTCTCCCCTCCACTCTCTCCCCTCCACTCTCCCCTCCACTCTCCCCTCTCCACTCTCTCCCCTCCCCACTCTCTCCCCTCCACTCTCTCCCCTCCACTCTCCCCTCCACTCTCTCCCCTCCACTCTCCCCTCCACTCTCCCCTCCACTCTCTCCCCTCCACTCTCCCCTCCACTCTCTCCCCTCCACTCTCTCCCCTCCACTCTCCCCTCTCCACTCTCTCCCCTCCACTCTCTACCCTCCACTCTCACCCCTCCACTCTCCCCTCCACTCTCACCCCTCCACTCTCACCCCTCCACTCTCACCCCTCCACTCTCCCCTCCACTCTCTGCACTCCACTCTCTGCACTCCACTCTCACCCCTCCACTCTCACCCCTCCACTCTCTCCTCTCCACTCTCACCCCTCCACTCTCTCCCCTCCACTCTCCCCTCTCCACTCTCCCCTCCACTCTCTCCTCTCCACTCTCCCCTCCACACTCTCCCCTCCACTCTCTCCCCTCCACTCTCACCCCTCCACTCTCTCCCCTCCACTCACCCCTCCACTCTCACCCCTCCACTCTCCCCTCTCCACTCTCTCCCCTCCACTCTCTCCCCTCCACTCTCTCCTCCACTCTCCCCTCCACTCTCCCCTCCACTCTCTCCCCTCCACTCTCCCCTCTCCTATATTATTGTTTTGCCTCTAATTTCTTCCCTACTCTTGACTCTTTTATTGTCTGCTGATGAAAATACCCTTTATCATGAATAACAGAAGTTAGGTTCCCAGCTTTACTAACTTGCAGCCTTTCATGTGGATGCTGTGATTTCTCGGCTCTTCTCCGCCCTCTAGCGCCCGCTTCTGACACTGCACCCACTTCCCATTCAACATGAGGCTGATGCAACTCAACTCAGCCTTGACATTCACTGGACGCCTCTCCTCCACCACAACTCCACACCATGTAGACCCTAATGTTATTCAATGGCTTCTGCACAAATACAAATCATTGGTATTGCTATGAAATTATACAAAAGTGAAGATTTTATACAAACTTTTTGGCTGCAGCCTTTTCATTGAATACAAATCCCTCCCCACTCCACACATATGAATAAATAAATGCAATTATTAGGTATGCATGAGTAACTGCAGTGCAAGCTAGGCTAAATTGAGTGTATTATACAGGAAACAAGCTAGTAAAGATGGAGCTGTGTGTATATGTATGTGTGTGTATGTATGTGTGTATAATGTGTGTGTGTGTGTGGTGGTGATGCTAAAGCTGCAGACAGACTCACGGATTGCGGGAGTTTCGCAGGTCCAGCGCCAAAGTTGATGATTGGTTTGGGTTCCATGGTCAAGGAGAGATGTGTTCGCCTCTAGCCGGACACGTACGCGCTGTTTCTGGGGTCAGAGAGAGAGAGAAATCACCCGGAGAGAGAAGCCTCCTCTTCAGCGTCAGCGAGAGTGAAGTGAAGCGGGGAGGTGCGTTCAGGGACCGGGCGGAGAGAATGAGGAACGAGAACTCGAAGGTGAGTTAAAACAAAAAAATAATTATAATAATGTGATACGATCTATGTCGCTAGTTCCTCGCCTTAAAAAAGTTTGGCTATGTCACTAGTTTTTATATTTTGGTCACATTTTTAGACAGAAACGTGAGGAAAAGAGGACGAACTTCTCTCAGCCAATCAGCTTTCAGCCAAAAGAGTCACAAGGTGCATTCCTACAAGTTTGATCAAGTAAAAAGAGGCATTGTTTGAAGGCTTCTCATCGTCTCGTCTGTCTGTGTTGGTGAAATGAAGAGTTTATAATTACATTTTTTTAGTAATTAGGTTTTTTCCCTTTAGAAAAGTGATTCTTTATTGGTCCCACAGCGGGGAAATGTCAGTGTTGAATCAGCAGTTACAGAACACAGCACAAGATAAATGAACAATAACTCTATACTAAACTAAAATATTTAACCTTAGAATAATAAAGAAGCAAGTTTAAAATCTCTAGCTTTACAACTGGAGGATCTGTGTCTTAGTTTAAGTCTATTTTTCTCTCTGGTATTCTAGTTTAGCTCTGGTGTGTACTATCTCTGGTGTGTACTATCTCTGGTGTGTACTATCTCTGGTGTGTACTATCTCTGGTGTGTACTATCTCTGGTGTATATCTCTGGTGCACACTGGGGTGGCCTCGTACAGTTATTCCAATGTGGTTTTACTGCAAAATGACAAATAATCTTAATCTGAGGATTATTTTTATTGGATGTGAGATTTCCGAGTCTCCGTCTTCTCTCTCGTTCTCGTCGGTCGACACAGAACGTGGCACTTCCTCGGAGCTCCCAGATAGAGCTTCCGCTGCAGGTCCACCAAGTCCTCGAAGAACCAGACTGTGGTGGGTCCTGAGAGAGACTTCATTATAGTTTATCTGTATAGCACAGTTCAGACCAGAGAGAGAGACCAGAGGGAGACCAAAGGGAGACCAGAGAGAGACCAGAGAGAGGCCAGAGGGAGACCAGAGAGAGAGACCAGAGGGAGACCAAAGGGAGACCAGAGAGAGAGATCAGAGAGAGACCAGAGAGAGGCCAGAGAGAGACCAAAGAGAGACCAGAGAGAGGCCAGAGAGAGACCAGAGAGAGACCAGAGAGAGACCAGACAGAGAGACCAGACAGAGACCAGAGAGAGACCAGAGAGAGACCAGAGAGAGAGACCAGAGAGAGACCAGAGAGAGGCCAGAGAGAGACCAAAGAGAGACCAGAGAGAGGCCAGAGAGAGACCAGAGAGAGACCAGAGAGAGACCAGACAGAGAGACCAGACAGAGACCAGAGAGAGGCCAGAGAGAGACCAGAGAGAGACCAGAGAGAGGCCAGAGAGAGACCAGAGAGAGACCAGAGAGAGGCCAGAGAGAGAGACCAGAGAGAGAGACCAGAGAGAGAGACCAGAGAGAGAGACCAGAGAGAGACCAGAGAGAGACCAGAGAGAGACCAGAGAGAGACCAGACAGAGAGACCAGACAGAGACCAGAGAGAGGCCAGAGAGAGACCAGAGAGAGGCCAGAGAGAGGCCAGAGAGAGAGACCAGAGAGAGAGACCAGAGAGAGACCAGAGAGAGGCCAGAGAGAGACAGAAGCAAAAAAGACCAGAGAGAAAGAGAGATCCGAAATACATAGGCCAGAGAGGGACCAGAAAGACACCAGAAAACTAGTAACATAGATTGTATTAAGTTAAAAATGTTGTTCTTTAAAAGTCAGGTACCCCAGCTTTAAGTGACACTGTACACACATAGAGCAGGCATCACCTTTTTCCCAGACTTTCCCGGTCCTTCCAGGTCCATAACACAGAGGTCCCATCTCTGCTCCGGTCTCAGACTCAGAAGGAGACCTAAGACTCAGATTCTGATGAGTGACTGCTGCGTTTGGTGAAGACTGGTCTGGTTCCTGAGGTCCCGAGTCCACAGGGGCCCGGGAGGAGGAATGGGTCTGGGAACAGGACCCCGGACTCCCATGGTTCTGCTGCTGCTGCTGCGACGGAGGCTCCACGTCGGCCAGAATCTTCAGCAACTCGGAAACCTGCAAATGTTTAAAGATAATAATAATAACAATAAATAATAAACAAGGAAGACATTGAGAAATAAGGAACAAAGGTGTACGTTTTGTAATGTTTGTTTAATGCTTTTGGTCTGTTCTGTGGATGAAGTTTTGTATCTTCTCTCTCTGGTCCCTCTCTGGTCCCTCTCTGGTCCCTCTCTGTGGTCTCTCTCTGGTCCCTCTCTGGTCTCTCTCTCTGGTCTCTCTCTGGTCCCTCTCTCTGGTCTCTCTCTGGTCTCTCCCTGGTCTCTCTCTCTGGTCTCTCTCTGGTCTCTCTTTGGTCCCTCTCTGGTCTCTCTCTGTGGTCTCTCTGTGGTCTCTCTCTGGTCTCTCTCTGGTCCCTCTCTGGTCTCTCTCTGGTCCCTCTCTGTGGTCTCTCTGTGGTCTCTCTCTGTGGTCCCTCCCTGGTCTCTCTCTGGTCTCTCTTTGGTCCCTCTCTTTGGTCTCTCTCTGTGGTCCCTCCCTGGTCCCTCTCTGGTCTCTCTCTGATCTCTCTCTGGTCTCTCTCTGGTACAACACCTCTGCTGCTGTGACCTGAAGGACTGTTGCTGATTATTACTATTGTTAGCTTTTTATAATTGTATTCTTTATTTTTTATTTTTGCTGCTACTGGACACCTGCATTTCTCCTACAGGGATCAATGAAGTATCTATTTGTCTAACTCTGGTCTCTCTCTCTCTCTGGTCTCTCTCTGGTTAAACTCTGATGGTAAAGTTGTCCATTCAGTCCAGTCTGCTCTCGTGTCCGTCTCTTGCAGCCGATGGCACATGGTGGTTGCCTCGCAGTGTGCCTCAGGGCAGCTGTGGCTACAGTAATGGTTTATCTCTGCAGTGAATGAATAATCACCTGAGTGTCCAAGAAGCGCTAAACAAAACCAATTTATTATCATTATTATTAAAGAAATTGTACAACCTCACCCTCGTCTCAAAAGACTCTCTGCTCCTGAGAAGCTGCTCCATCAGATCCAAGTCCAAGTTCTAATAAAAACACATCCATCTCCATAGCAACCGAGTTCAACCGGACCGACACACAATAAGTAACTCTTTAATTACAGATAGTAAAGAAGAAACATGATGCATTTTATATGTTTGCCCTTATAAATGATTTAGTGTGTTTTTTTTCGTTTGTCATATCATGTTTTAGAATCTGAAATAACTTTAAAAGATATATGAATAATAATACAATGAAACGAGTGCAGGGAGCTACAGGAGTTCCTGCAGTAGCTCCTTACTGCCACCAGAGGGAGTAGTAGAATTTGAATGTTATAAGAAAGAATGTGATGTCACTGAAGAAAATGACTAAACTAACAGACTTTAAAACAGCTGCTTTTTACAAGTCTCTCCACGGCCTTTAAGTCCATCTGTGACATGTTAGTCCCATGAACCAACTCTGAGGAGCACAGGGACTGGCCTCCTGCTGGTCCCAGAGTCAGGACTAAACATGAGGAGGCAGCATTGCAGATTTATGCAGCTAAAATCTGGAAGTCTTCCTGAAAATGTGAGACAGGCTTCGCTCTGATTTCTCTCTCTCTGGTCTCTCCTTCTCTCTCTGGTCTCCCTCTCTCTCTATGGTCTCCCTCTCTCTGTCTCCTCTCTGTTCTTCCTCTCTCTGGTCTCTCCCTCTCTCTATGGTCTCCCTCTCTCTGGTCTCTCCCTCTCTCTCTGGTCTCTCTCTCTCTTGTCGCCTTCTCTCTCTGGTCTCCTCTCTGTTCTTCCTCTCTCTATGGTCTCCCTCTCTCTGGTCTCTCCCTCTCTCTCTGGCCACTCTCTCTCTTGTCGCCTTCTCTCTCTGGTCTCCTCTCTGTTCTTCCTCCCTCTCTATGGTCTCCCTCTCTCTCTTGTGTCTCTCTCTCTGGCCACTCTCTCTATGGTCTCCCTCTCTCTGGTCTCTCTCTGGTCTCCCTCTCTCTCTCGTGTCTCTCTCTCTTGTCGCCTTCTCTCTCTGTTCTTCCTCTCTCTCTATGGTCTCCCTCTCTCTGGTCTCTCTCTGGTCTCCCTCTCTCTCTTGTGTCTCTCTCTCTTGTCGCCTTCTCTCTCTGTTCTTCCTCTCTCTATGGTCTCCCTCTCTGGTCTCTCTCTGTGGTCTCTCTCTCTCTCTGTGGTCTCTCTCTCTCTCTGGTCTCTCTCTCTCTCTGTGGTCTCTCTCTGGTCTCTCTCTCTCTGGTCTCCTATCTCGGGTCTCTCTCTCTCTCTATGGTCTCCCTCTCTCTGGTCTCTCTCTCTCTGTGGTCTCTCTCTCTCTGGTCTCCTATCTCGGGTCTCTCTCTTCATCTCATCTCTGAAAATGTTCAAATCCAGGTTACAACAGTTGCTTCGCTGCAGACAACATAATCATCATGTCTTTCTCTTTTTCTTAAAACCTTGTGTGACCGTCTCTCTCGCTTTAACCACTTTTCTCGTCTATGAACTGATCTTTGTGTTAACTTTGTGTGAAATAAAAACCCAAAACAAATGCAAAAACTCAACCCTGGAGTTTATTCACGCCGTATTCATATATACACGGGTCTATTGCACAGTTCATACAAACAGAACCTCTTTCTGCAGCTCGCATGTCTCTGTGCGTGATTCTTGTGCGTGGTTCATTCTTCCTTATTTACATTTGAGGATAAATAAATATATAATTCTACACATAGCTACTCCCAGTGGCGCCTGCGTCTGCGTCCGGTCAGCAGAGAGAGAGAGAGAGAAGTTGGGCTCTCTCTCTCTGCGTTTCTTCTACGATTGTACGACTTAAAACTTGACATAACGTGCGTCGGTGAGAAGGCGGACGCTTCAAAAGGCCCTGCAGGCTCCGCTCAGACCGCAAGCCAAGCGGGCGATCGGTGGCGTTTATGTCTTCTGGCAAAAAAAATTAAAATAAATAAGTTTGAGTGTGTGTGTGAACAGTGTGGGAAAGTCGGTAGAAGGCGTCGCATGTTCCGTCTATCTTCATAAGTAAAAAATATATATGTATTTTTTATATATATATATATATTTGTATTTATGGCTTCCAATGTCTGTGGTTCTGTAAAAGTGCATGTGACCAGTTTCTATGATAATAAGTCAATTGTGTGTTAATATATTAGAATATTTTGGATTAGCCCTCACTAATAAACAGCTAATTCAGCGCTAGTTAAAGTACGCTAGCCCTAACCCACATGGGAAAGTGTCAGTTAGCAGTTAGCGACATGAACAGGGCCATGTAGAATAAGGACTAAAAAGTGCTTAGTAAATACCAATTAAGTGCTAATTTAACCATAAACTACACATTCATTAACACTTAATTACCTGTTAATTAGTGAGGGCTAACAAAGTGTGGCCGATTAAGATTTCTATGCTTGCCTTTGTGCCTATTTTATACTTTTTTTCTAACTTATTTGCACTTTGTTACTTACAAAGGCAATACAAATTATTCTGAAAAACACAAAGGAGACGCATGAACACGTGACCACAGTGACCCATCACCTGATTGTGAGCAGCAGCCAGTAGCCACCGATGCTAAGTGCTAGCACAGCGGCTAAGGTGACAAAGCTAGGCCTCATCTCCCGGTCGTCTGTCATGTTGTTTTTTAGCCAAATATAAAAGACGACGACTTAAACTGATGTGATGTAGTCAAATCAGGAGCTGGACCGGTCACATGCACTTTTATATTTGTGTTGGTTATGTAAAAGAAAACAAAAAACAGCTAAGTTTGAAGCGGCAGGAACTCAGGCAGCTCTGGTTCCTGTTCAAGTCTTTAAAAGAGGTCTTCGGTCTCATGCGTGGAAGCCCCCTCTCTCTCTCTCTCTGTGGGGACGGGTCTTCGGTCTCATATGTTGAAGCTCTCTCCGCAGCCGCACGTGCCCTTGATGTTGGGGTTGTTGAAGACGAACTCGCTGGAGAGTTTGGACTCAACAAAGTCCATCTCGGTGCCGAGCAGAGTGAGCTGAGCCTTCTTCTCGATGAAGACCCGGACACCTGCAGCGAGAGAGACCAGATTAGAGACCACAGAGAGAGACCAGAGAGAGAGACCAAAGAGAGAGAGAAAGACCAGAGAGAGAGGGCCAGGGAGAGAGACCAGAACCAGAGAGAGAGAAAGACTAGAGAGACCAGAAAGACCAGAGAGAGAGACCAGAAAGACCAGAGAGAGAGACCAGAGAGAGGGACCAGAGAGAGGGACCAGAGAGAGAGAGACCAGAGAGAGAGACCAGAGAGACCAGAGAGAGGGACCAGAGAGAGAGAGAGACCAGAGAGAGGGACCAGAGAGAGGGACCAGAGAGAGAGACCAGAGAGACCAGAAAGACCAGAGAGAGAGACCAGAAAGACAGACCAGAGAGAGGGACCAGAGAGAGGGACCAGAGAGAGAGAGACCAGAGAGAGAGAGACCAGAGAGACCAGAGAGAGGGACCAGAGAGAGAGAGACCAGAGAGAGGGACCAGAGAGAGGGACCAGAGAGAGAGACCAGAGAGAGAGGGACCAGAGAAAGACTAGTGACAGACCAGAGAGAGACCAAAGAGAGAGGGACTAGAGAGAGACAAGAGAGAGAGACCAGAGGGAGACCAGAAAGAGACTAGAGAGAGAAAGAGAGATCAGATAGAGAGAGACCAGAGGGACACCAGAGAGACCAGAGAGAGAGAAAGACTAGAGAGAGCATACAGAGAAGAGAGACAGAGACCAAAGAGCGAGGGACCAGATAGTGACTGGAGAGAGAGACCAGAGAGAGGAATCAGAGAGAAGAGAGATAGACCAGAGAGAGACCAGAGAGACCAGAAAGACCAGAGAGAGGGACCAGAGAGACCAGAGAGAGGGACCAGAGAGAGAGAGACCAGAGAGAGGGACCAGAGAGAGGGACCAGAGAGAGGGACCAGAGAGAGAGAGACCAGAGAGAGAGAGACCAGAGAGAGAGACCAGAGAGAGGGACCAGAGAGAGGGACCAGAGAGAGAGAGACCAGAGAGAGAGACCAGAGAGAGAGACCAGAGAGAGAGACCAGAGAGAGGGACCAGAGAGACCACTGTATCACCAATTGCTTCGAGTGTTTACATGTAAGTCAATGATTTTGTGGTTTTCCATAAATCTTTTGAAGTGACGGAGTCTTTACCGTCTTGCAGAACCTCCTCGTCGGACTTCTCCTTGTCCTTGGTGTATTCTAGAGTGTAGGTGAGGCCGTTGCAGCCGCGGGTTCTCACTCCCACCTTCAGACCGATCTGAAACCACACAAAACATCCGTCTGTGTTCAATACTGAATATGAGCTGGGTCTGTTCAAAACCACCAGACCCTGAACGAGAGAGAAGCAGGAAGAGAGCGAATCAAAATGGGAAGAATTCTGTTGGCTCAAGACACAATGTACTGTCTGTCTGTCTGTGTGTGTCTGTGTCTGTATGTGTGTGTGTGTCTGTGTCTGTATGTGTGTGTGTCTGTGTGTGTGTCTGTGTCTGTGTGTGTCTGTGTCTCTATGTGTGTGATTGTGTGTGTGTGTGTTATTGTAATGCATGTATTATTTCATCTTCTTTATGTTCACGGATAATAAAGGTTATTTTATGAAGTAAAAACAAGCTAGTACTGCTATGACACCGGTCGCAATTCAAAATGGGAAGAGACCAGAAATAAAAGAGAGACCAGAGAGAGGGACCCGGAAAGAGAGAGAGACCAGACAGACAAAGAAGCCAGAGAGGGGCCAGAAAGAGAGAGACCAGAGAGAGAGAGAGAGACAAGAGAGAAAGAAGCCAGAGAGAGGAACCAGACAGAGAGAGCGAGAAAAAGACCAGAAGACCAGAGAGAGACCAGACAGACCAGAGAGAGACCAGACAGACCAGAGAGAGACCAGACAGACCAGAGAGAGACCAGACAGACCAGAGAGAGACCAGACAGACCAGAGAGAGACCAGACAGACCAGAGAGAGACCAGAAGACCAGAGAGAGACCAGACAGACCAGAGAGAGACCAGACAGACCAGAGAGAGACCAGACAGACCAGAGAGAGACCAGACAGACCAGAGAGAGACCAGAAGACCAGAGAGAGACCAGAAGACCAGAGAGAGACCAGAAGACCAGAGAGAGACCAGACAGACCAGAGAGAGACCAGAAGACCAGAGAGAGACCAGACAGACCAGAGAGAGTCCAGACAGACCAGAGAGAGACCAGACAGACCAGAGAGAGAGAGACACCTCCCCAGACAGGCGTCCAGGAAGCATTCCAAACAGATTCCCAAGCCACCTCAACTGGTTCCTCTCGACGTAGAGAAGCAGAGACTCTAGTCCGAGCTCCTTAGCCCATCTCTAAGAGAGCACTCAGCCGCTCTGCAGAGGAGGCTCACAAGGACCAGGATCAATGGAAAAGATTGAAACGACCAGAAAAGCTCAAACTATGAAGTAATGTATCGATTAAAAAAAAAACGTCTCTTCACTGAGGACTGTGTCAGACCTGATCTATAACAGGTCACTGAGGTGAAATGATAATTAATTAATTAATGTCTGATGAAGAAGAACAAAACCTAAGAACTTTTCAATTCTAATTTGTTTTGGCAGAAGGTAAAATGTTGGGTCAGTTTTTTCAGAGAAGGCGCTGGACACAGAGACAAAGGCCCCTGCAGTCTGTGGATATGGACTGTGGACAATAGAGAACGCTCATCTTTCCTTCTTCTGTTATTGTTGTCTATAAGCTCATGTGGACTGGGCACACAACACACACATAGGACACATGTGTTTCACTCACTCTGAAAGTTATGTTAATACTAGATAGATAGAGATAGAGACATATATAGATAGAGACATATATAGATATAGACAGAGAGACAGACGGATAGAGATAGGGACAGATACAGAGATACATCTTACATACATATTCTGTAATATTCTGCACTAGATACTAGAAAAGCAGACAGATATAGATATAGATGAGGGAGAGCGAGAGAGAGAGATAGCTATAGACAGAGAGAAACAGGTTTTTAAACGTTACTTACATATTCTGGTTTATTCTGCAACAATATTCTGATCTTGTTCACAGCTGAAGGAGTCTGAGGACACAACACATATGAGACATCAATCCACAGTAAGAAAAAAAAAACACATAGAAATACGCAATTATATTTAAATAAAAAGTTACGTCATTTTAGCAGGTGGACATATTTGAGTGTATTATACATTAAAATACTAGTCCTGGGGAACCCTTCAGAGAAGTCTCCACACCCAACAGATGTGACAGGGTGGAGGCGATAAGGGCTTTCGTTTATATACAGATAATATTGGGGAGTTATGCACGTTAAGTTAGCGTTAAAATACTGGGTCTGTGGTCTTCATCCTGTTTTGTGACTCACGACATTGAGCGTTGAGTAACATTAGCATGTTAGCATGTTAGCTTAGCCTCTGCACACTCGCAAACAAAACACCATCCGCGGTCTGTCTGTCGTCTCCTCCTCCGTGTTGGAACCAGCGGCGCTTGGGTCGCTTCTCACCAGGATCAGGGCAGCTCTGGTCGGCAGGATTCTTCTCTTGCTGACCGCTCGGACAGTGGCTCGCACCATGGACGCGGACATGTTGAATTCTGAACCAAAACAAGTGCGCTTACGTAATAGGGATGAAGACCCGCCCACTGCGAGCAAGAGGTGTAACTGACAGACGAAGCAACCAATGAGAATACAGAGAAGCGACGCGCCCACAACGAGCGAAAATTAAACTGACAGCCAACCCGACCAATGAGAATACAGATAAGTTTGTTTTGGGCGTGTGGCTTAACATGATTGACAGCTTACACGACCAATCAAAATACAGAAAAGCGACACGCCCACAGTGAGAGAGAGACGTGATTGACACATGGCCGAACCGAGCAGATTGAAGAGAAACTGCGGTTTTGTGATACATAAAACACATGTAGCGCAAGACATTTCATTAGTATTGTTAGCAATTTATGTTGAAATATGAAATATTAAGGTTTTAGAGTTAGGGTTTCTAGGGTTACCGGAGTGACCAAACGTTTTATTTAATTCATGTTTAATGTTTGTTCCAAAAGAAAGTCTCATGAAAGTAAAATCCACAAACATTAATAAGAGCGAGCCCGGCGAGTCACTATTTGACGCTTTGGGCTGAGAGTAGATTGACTGAGTGAAGGTTTTACCTTCTCTGTCAGGGAAAAAGCTGATCTAAAGAAGTGACAGAGGCCAAAATACATGTGAAAACTAGTATGTTATCCTGGTGGGATGAGCTTCCTGTATGGCGACTCCTTTCCAATCTATAAAGTGCTTCGAGACTTGGTGATCTTGGAAAAGCGCTATATAAATACTTATATACTAAATGCATTCAATACAAACCAGGTAAATGTGGATTAAATGTTATGACTCAAACAAGAAAAACCTCACACATTCCACACAAACAAATCATTCAGAACTGGATCGACCTGAAAATTCTCTCCTTCCTTCATGCAGCTCTTCAGTCCAACATCTTGATACACCTTGTTTCATTTGAGTCTTTAGAACCTCAGTCCTTTGTTTGTGTAAAACTGAAAGTAAGAGGAGCAGCCCGATCACATTATGCTCCTTGTAAATGGACCGCTCTGACATGACATGCAAGACTAAACTTAAGAACCACTTCTTTTTCAGTGTGTGTTAATATAAGCATGTTGACCTGCAATTTTAAATACTGGGTTTAAGTCATAGTAATAAAGGTAAAAAAACTGACGCTTTTCGGACACTCAAATAGAATTCATGTCATTATTCATTCACTCCATACACTGGTGATAAACGACTGTAGCCACAACTGCCCTGGCAAAAGCGAGGCAACCAGTCTGTGGCATCGGCCCCTCCCACCACCAACCATTCACCATTGTTTAGAATAAGCTGTGTCTGAAGTGTCTTGCCTCGGTACACACCCACAACTTGGCACTTTACAGCCACCCCCCACTGCAGCCACCAGAGGTCTCCCATCACAGTACTAACCAGGCCCTGCCCTGCTTATCTCCAGAGGTCTGACAGGATCTGCAGCTTCACAGAGACAATGACACAGAATGAAATGAGTTTGCAATTGTCATTTATTGGATTGACACAAAACCAACTGTTGCCGAGAATTAAGAAAAAAATAGATTTTGCATTTTTAACAAAAAACACAAAAGAAATCACATAAAATCAAATCAAAACCTTTGCATAAAATCTGGACATTTATACGAAAGGCCATTTTTATAAAACTTCCTAACAAGTTGATTTTTTTTTTTCAGACAGAAGCAGCGAAAAAAAGAAATTCAAGATTACAAACCCTGAAAGCCATCGTTTTGTGCAGAACACTTTTTGACATAAATACTTTTTTTATATTTTATTTTCCATTAACCGAGATTTTCCTGTAGTTTGAACACGACTCCAAACTACCCGCACGCGTCTACAACGTAAAAACAGGACATGGTTAATGGCAGCTTTTATAAAAACATCAAACGAAAGCATTGCTACAGAAATGACGTCTCTGAAGGTCTATAAATACAGACAGATATTAGTTCAGTGCCGACGGAAAATGTTAAATAAATTAAAAACATGGAGCCATTTTTTTGTCCGAATCTTGTTTCTCAGTAAATAGTTGGTGTCATCGGGGAAAATCATACTCTTCTTCGCCGCATCAGAATCCAGAAATAACAATGAATATGCATAAATAAAATAGATTTAACTGGCAGTGTATTGGAACAGGACATTCTGCGATTAAATCATGGCTTTTTCAATTTAAAAAAAACAACTTTAAAAAGCTCATTTAATGAGTGTTTTTTTTTTTTTCAGGGGAAACAGAAAGAATAAAAAGGCCCTGCGTGGCTTCAAGTGGAGGTGTCCTGGCTTTGGCTTTTAAAGGTTAAAACAAGTGACCTGTGCCCAGAGCTGCAGCCTCAGTCCGCCGGGTTCTTCTTCAGAGGACCCATGTTCCGGCAGGAGAGACTTCCTACAGACACAACACAAAGTTTATGTGGCGGAGGACACTGATGCGTTCAGGTGGAACTCGGAGAAAACTGTCTATTTCTGCATTTCAGCTTCACATTTTAAACAACCGTACTTTCTGGACTATTAGGTGCACCTGTGTATAAGCCTCACCAGCATCACTTGAAAGAAAAAGGTAGTTTTGTCCACATTTACGGCGCACTTGAATATAAGGAGTAACAGAAGACCAGAGAGATAGAGAGAGAGACCAGCGTGAGAGAGAGAGACCAGCGTGAGAGAGAGAGACCATCGTGAGTGAGTGAGTGAGAGACCATTGGAGTGAGTGAGAGACCGACCAGAGAGAGGCCAGGGAAACCGCTGAGTTTTTCTCCATATTTGTGAGTAAAATCTAACTCTGGGGAGTTTGTTAAAAAGAAGAGAAGGCAGCCGGAGAAGGAGAAGGCAGCCGGAGAAGGCAGCCGGAGAAGGCAGCCGGAGAAGGCAGCCGGAGAAGGCAGCCGGAGAAGGCAGCCGGAGAAGGCAGCCGGAGAAGGCAGCCGGAGAAGGAGAAGGCAGCCGGAGAAGGCAGACTGAGAAGGCAGACTGAGAAGGCAGACTGAGAAGGCAGACTGAGAAGGCAGACTGAGAAGGCAGACTGAGAAGGCAGACTGAGAAGGCAGACTGAGAAGGCAGACTGAGAAGGCAGACTGAGAAGGCAGACTGAGAAGGCAGACGGAGAAGGCAGCCGGAGAAGGCAGCCGGAGAAGGCAGCCGGAGAAGGCAGCCGGAGAAGGCAGACGGAGAAGGCAGCCGGAGAAGGCAGCCGGAGAAGGCAGCCGGAGAAGGCAGCCGGAGAAGGCAGCCGGAGAAGGCAGCCGGAGAAGGCAGCCGGAGAAGGCAGCCGGAGAAGGCAGCCGGAGAAGGCAGCCGGAGAAGGCAGCCGGAGAAGGCAGCCGAGGAGAAGGCAGCCGGAGAAGGCAGCCGGAGAAGGCAGCCGGAGAAGGCAGCCGGAGAAGGCAGCCGGAGAAGGCAGCCGGAGAAGGCAGCCGGAGAAGGAGAAGGCAGACGGAGAAGGCAGACTGAGAAGGCAGACTGAGAAGGCAGACTGAGAAGGCAGACTGAGAAGGCAGACTGAGAAGGCAGACTGAGAAGGCAGACTGAGAAGGCAGACTGAGAAGGCAGACTGAGAAGGCAGACTGAGAAGGCAGACTGAGAAGGCAGACGGAGAAGGCAGACGGAGAAGGCAGACGGAGAAGGCAGACGGAGAAGGCAGACGGAGAAGGCAGACGGAGAAGGCAGACGGAGAAGGCAGACGGAGAAGGCAGACGGAGAAGGCAGACGGAGAAGGCAGACGGAGAAGGCAGACGGAGAAGGCAGACTGAGAAGGCAGACGGAGAACGCGGATCAAAGCGCGAGTGGAAAAACGCTCAAATGTACCTGCGTGGGGACTTAGTACGAGCCGTTTGTTTTCTTCTTTCGCAGAGTTGCCCTGTGGAAAAACAAACACGAACGCGGCCGTTAAGATTGTACATGTCTCCATTGTGAGATCAATAAAGTTTCTCTAAATTGACAAAGAAAATACAATTCAAACAACAGGATGACAGAGGCGGGACTTACCGGCTTGTCCCTCCCTCGCCGAGCTCCCAAGTGGCCCGAGGGCGAAGGACCGTCCAGCCGCATGTTTCCTGACAAATGTACAAAACACTGATTTAACCCAAAGGCAAGAGGCGAGTTTATCTGTATAGCACAGTTCATACACAAGGAAACTCAAAGTGCCGGACTCAACAAGACAAAAGCAATTCATAACATCATTTTAAATTACAAAATGCAGCGAAAAATAACTGTTTTTAACCTGGATTTTAAGAGAAGAGGCCCATCTCACATTTTCAGGAAGAGTTTAGCTGCAAAAATCTGACACTCCGACATGTTTAGTCCTGACACTGGGGAGGAATCTGAACACCTGGGCTGGCAACCACTTTGGTCAAAAGAAAAAGTAAAAAAAAAAGGATGTATGCAATGCTACCTTGTTTTCTGAAATATTTGATCCTCGCATCTGCACCTCTTTAATTCATTTTTTGGTGCTCGATACCTGCTCTTTTTACATAGTCCTGACTCTGGGAGCAGCAGGAGACCAGTCCCTGTGCTCCTCAGAGAGACTTGTACACTGCAAAAAATGATCAAATATGAGATCATAATTGCTAGAATCGAGTTTTTTTTAACTTGACTTAAGTACATTCTGACTGTCTTAAAATGAGATTTGCCAATGAGACAAGCAATTTTGACTTGATTCAAGAACTATTGCTTTATTTTCTCATTCCAAGAGAAAAATATCTTGTATCTTTTTAAAACAAGACAATTTATCTTGTTCCATTGGCAAATCTTGTTTTAAGACAGTAAAAATGTGCTCAAATTTAGATACATTTAGCCAAATTTGAGCATTTTTTTGTCTTTAATTTTGTCATCTTTTGCAGTGTAAGAATCAGAGCTGCTTCTTAGACAGACGATAAAGCAGAGGTCTCCAACTCCTTTTTCAAATCCGAGAACTACTTTAATTTGTATTTATTTTACAAGAAAATATAAGGTTTTATTTTATGTAGCGCATTTTACAGACCAAGGTCACCTAAAGCGCTTTACAATTGTTCAGAGTTCAGATATTTTGTCTCCACACGGTGATGACCGAAAGCGAGACACCGAATAGCCTCAACCAACACCATCCATTCATTCACTCATTATGGGGATGTTTTTTAGTGGTAGGGGAAACCGGAGGAACGCTACACAGACATGGGAAGAACATGCAAACTCCACTCAGAAAGGCCCCGTTCCGACCGGGATTCGAACCCTGGACCTTGAGCTAACTGCTCAGCCACCGTGCCGCCCAAAAATCACAAAGAACTACTCCCTATTGTGACTAGGCCTGTCACGATAACAAATTTTGCTGGACAATTAATTGTCTCAGAAATTATTGCGATAAGCGATTATATTGTCGTTCTGAGATCATTTGCATCGATTACAATGATAATGCAGGTAAACCTTTTCAAAGAGAAATAAACTTTTATTTTTAACGAATATTTAACGCTAGAACACAATAAATTAACAACCAAAAACAATAAATAAAATAGACTCAGTCTCTTAACAAAAAATGACCAGGAATAAAACTGCCAGGACCTTTGTAAAGAAAATATGAAACAGATGCCTCAAATGTCAATAATTTCTCAGACTTTATGGCAGATTACGAGAAAGAAATACCAACATGTTGACTTTGTGTGGCTTAAGACAGGATCTCTCAGGAGTAGTCCCACCTCCCCACACACCAGGCGAATGACAAGTGACTGACATGTGGGTTCACCAATGGGGCGTACAGAAGTCCTGCTGCGGTAGCGCCCACCGGAAGTAGCGGGGCGGGCTTTGATGCTAACAGCTAAGCTAGCGGGTTTTTTGTGTAAAGTTCTACTCCAAGAATGCAAGTCTGCAGCATCTCTGTGTTCAGAGACCTTCTAGAGACTTTATATAACAGCAGTATGTGTTCACGGAGGTGCGCCATAAGTTTATTTTATTGGTATGGTACGGTACTTCTGCATCGGCAAACACGCTAACGCTAGCTGCGCTAGTACAGTCACTAATCAAGCCTGAATGAGAACTCAGCTGCCGGCATATGTTCACAACTACTGTGTCCCCATTGTCAATCCTGGTTAAGTCCTGGTTTAGGTCCTGTTTTGGCTGTATTTTGTATTTTGAGTAATTTCCGTCTGCTTGCTAGACCGCTAATGTTCCCGTGACCACTTTGCGGCTCTCTGACCCGAGAGAGAGGGGGGAAACAAACAAGCATGCAAATGGGATTTACTGTGGCGGCACGGTGGCTGAGTGGATAGCACTCTCGCCTCTCAGCAAGAAGGTCCTGGGTTCGAATCCCGGTTGGACCAGGGCCTTTCTGAGTGGAGTTTGCATGTTCTCCCCGTGTCTGCGTAGGTTTCCTCCGGGTGCTCCGGTTTCCCCTACCACTAAAAATATGTACAATAGGTCTGTCATGTGCCTCCTGTACTGGCACCCCTGCTCCCAAAAATAACAATTGTAAACCGCTTTGAGACTCCGACGTGCAGTGAAAAGGCGGTATATAAATAAAGATTACTTACTACTTACCGCGGCCAGAAAAGTTATTGAGCAAATTTTATTTATCGTGCGATTAATTGATTTATTGACTATCGCGACAGGCCTAATTGTGACCATAAAAGTGTCGTCTAAAACTGGCATTCCACCAAGAAAAAGGCAAGAATCAGAAAGTAAAAAAACGTATTAAAAAGCTAATTTTAACTTTTTAGCAACAGTTTGGCTTCTTTTGAAATGACAGAAGATTCTTTGTAACTAAGTAAAAATTCTCAGTCAATTAAGGCGGCGCCAAAAAGTTACAATATTGCAGCGAGTAAGTATGTAATGATGTAATTCTTGGAGAGAAGCCATGCAGACCACCCACCTGCGGGCCCCCGGTACATCTGGCAGTCCTTCTTCATGTGAGCGTTGGACCCGCACAGGAAGCAGCATCGCGGCTCCAGAGGCTCCCGTTTCCTCCACTGCTCCTGGTTTTCCCGCCCGTCGTCCCGGTCCGAGTCCTGTCTGTGACGCGACCTGACGGGAGGGGAAAAAAAAAAAAGCCCACACTCATTCATGTTACACCGGACCAAACAGTATCATTTATATTATATATATATATATATATATATATACATACATATATATATACATACATATACACACACATACACACAGGGCTTTTCGCATGAACGCAGGAGGACGGCCGTGTATGGGTAAGTTTGCAGTGGTTCTAAACTCTATCCTGAATATTGGCTCGGGAAATCTTAGTATTGCATCAACCCTGACCTCTCTAAAGTGCATCGATGACTACGTTTCTATCTTGATTGGTTCAGCACTTTGAGTTGCCCTGTGTGCTATACAAAATATAATTGACTAAACAGCATCATGAAGTCCAAAGAGCACAGTAAACAGAGCTTTTGAGGCCCTCGAAGAGAAGCCGTTGATACACTGAGGGTAGATTACACACAGACGGCTACGTTTATTGACTAGGGCAAGATTAGACTGTTTTACTGATCGACGAGTTCTGACAGTCAATTATTTTTTCATGTTTGCGTTTGCGGTCGTAAAAAAATGACAAATTGTGAGTCCTGGGTCTACCACGGCCTCGGGTCCTGGGTCTACCACGGCATCGGGTCGTCCTGGGTCTACCACGGCATCGGGTCGTCCTGGGTCTACCACGGCATCGGGTCGTCCTGGGTCGTCCTGGGTCTACCACGGCATCGGGTCCTGGGTCTTCCACGGCCTACTACAGCCACAGTCCTGGGTCTACTACGGTCCTGGATCTACAGCCTCGGTCCTGGGTCTACAGCCTCAGTCCTGGGTCTACAGCCTCAGTCCTGGGTCGACAGCCTACAGCCTCAGTCCTGGGTCTACAGCCTACAGCCTCAGTCCTGGGTCTACAGCCTACAGCCTCAGTCCTGGGTCTACAGCCTACAGCCTCAGTCCTGGGTCTACAGCCTACAGCCTCAGTCCTGGGTCTACAGCCTACAGCCTCAGTCCTGGGTCTACAGCCTCAGTCCTGGGTCTACAGCCTCAGTCCTGGGTCTACAGCCTCAGTCCTGGGTCTACAGCCTCAGTCCTGGGTCTACAGCCTCAGTCCTGGGTCTACAGCCTCAGTCCTGGGTCTACAGCCTCAGTCCTGGGTCTACAGCCTCAGTCCTGGGTCTACAGCCTACAGCCTCAGTCCTGGGTCTACAGCCTACAGCCTCAGTCCTGGGTCTACAGCCTACAGCCTCAGTCCTGGGTCTACAGCCTCTCTATGGACCAACGGCTCTTATGTGTTTGTTATTATTCCCTTTCCTGTGTAAAGAACGTACTTCCTCCGCATCGGACAGTCCTTCATGAAGTGTCCGATCTTCCCACAGATCCTGCAGCACCGGTCGTTGGGAGCCACCTCTCCTTCCGTCAGAACGTCGGGATCAAAGAAATATTCCTGCAAAAAGGGAATTGTGTTAACGCCGGTTCTTTTGGCGGTGAAGCTGTCGAAAAGTTCTCCCCACTCCTTTTTGTACATGACACGAGACAATTTATTATCGTTTTATTTATGTAAACTTCTCTATGTTCAATTTAACCCAATTATTCCTTCATTCTTGTTATGTATTTATTTATTTATACACACTGTATTTTTCAGATAAGTCGCAGTTTTTGTCATAGTGTTTTTATTCCTTCTGTATTATGCATTCTCAGCTTGTGCGACATATGATCCAAAAAATACGGTAGTTTTCTTTGAGTATCTCGTTTTGGTTCTGTTTTGTACTCGTCATGTACAAAATTTAAATAAATGAATAAAATAAATCTTGTTACCATCGTAGAAGGATACTGAACGGGAATGATCCTCACAGGAGTCCCGAAGAGCGTCCTGCTGTTGATGAAAGCCTTCATGATGAAGTTGATCACTGCGGACACAAGAGTCGGACACGTTAGAAAACAGAAAACCAACACATACATGAAACAAATCAAGGTTTTTGAGTTTTTATCCATGCTACAATACGTCATCAAAATACTGTTCTTTAGTTCCACCCATGGCAGGAAGTTGTGGTACAAGTATATATAGCTCCGCCCCTTCTGCCCAAAAGTTCCAGTCTCAGCTCTGTGATAGTATAATGTCATTGTACCACTATGACATCACATTATGATGTCTCATTATGCGTCATTTCTGTTTTTTCTAAATTATTTATAAACGTAAGAAATTCTACTTTGTCGTCATACGTACTTTTTCTAGAGAGTCCAGCGCCCAGATTATGATTCAGGTCAAAGGGATCTGTGGAAGAGTTGAAATTGAGCATGAAATTAATGCAGTTAAAACATGCAGCAGACATGATATAAACACCAGACTCATTCTAGGCTGAAGTGTGGCTGAAGTGTCTTGCCTTAGGACACAGTGATCATTTGGGAATAGCTGGTGATTTAAAAAGGTCTACAGCTTGTCCGTCTGTGGGAGCGGATCCCTCTCCCGAGGTAGGTCTCCCTGAGGTTTCTCACTTTTGTCTCACTGGGTTTTATTTAATTTTCTTTGTATGATTCCTTGACGCCGCAGGAGGGTCTACGGCAGGGGTGTCCAAACCTTTTAGTTCGAGGGCCACTTTAGTTCATCAGACTTGACCTGGAATTAAAACCTGGATTCTAGCTGGACTGACTGGATTCTGGAGTTTAAAATGGGTTCTGATACGACCCATTTTATTCGCAGCTGCAATTTTTTTTGGAATGTTGTGACAATAAACTCAACAAGCTGATTCCAGAGGGTCTGAGATTTACTACAAGGTGTAGTGTGACTGTATTGGTGGAGCTGAAGTTGGTTGAATGACACTGTCAAAGAGCCTGAGGCCCTGAGTTTGGACATGCCTGGTCCAAGGACGGTGACAATCCGGGATATTTATGCACGTTTATGAACATGTATGGAGATTGGTCGTTCTGCTGCCTACGGACCGACGGCTTCTATGTATTATTATTGTTGATTCTCTGAGCTGCTGTTGGCAAATCCACAACTTTGTCAAGTCCTCCGAGATGACTGCGGTTGTGATTTAGGGCTGTACAAGAATCATTTGGATTGAAATGAATGGAACCCACTCAGAGATAGTTTAAGGTGTGGTTTTCTGTATAGTTACATATGTATTTGTTGCTTTTATAATGTAGTGCACACATATAAACATCTAAAAGAATTTTACCGTCTGCCGTTCTTATGATTGGATTTCCTGTGTTGCTAACGGGCTAAAACACACAAAGGTAGTGGTTGACCTTCGATGGCGATGAGTTTGGAGGTCCACTGCTTGTTGAAGGTGGTGAGACGCTCGTGTTGTCGGATGCAGATCACGTGTTCCCTGAAGTCAAAGTCCTCGGTGTAGAACTGCAGCAGGCCCAGCCACAGCTGCCCCACCGTCTCTTTGTTCTGCCCACAGTGCGGCCAGCGACTCGGCTACACACACACACACACACACACACGCACAAACACAGATGCACAGCCGCAAAGACACACATACACATAGATAGCCACAGACATATACACAGACACACAAGACACAGAGACACACATGGACAAAGACAGACACACACACACACACAAAAACAGCCACAGACATAGAAACACACATAGACAAAGACAGACACACACAGCCACAGACAAAGAGACACACACACAAACACAGACAGAGACGCAAAGCCACACACACAAACACAGACGCACAACCGCAAAGACACAGACACGTATACACACACACAAGGAACACATAGACAAAGACAGACATACACACACAAAGACAGCCACAGACACACACACATGGACAAAGACACAGACATAGACAAAGGCACACACACACACATAGACAAGACAGAGACACGCATGGACAGCCACAGACAAAGACACAGAAAAATACACAGACAAAGAGAGACAGACAGCCACAGACACACACATGAACAGCCACAGGCAAAGAGACACACACAGACGTATTGTATCAGTTTTACTGTTTATGCAAAGGGTAATTGTAACATCCCAAAGACAGAGGTTCCATCAGAACAAAAGAAGTACAAAACAGGACTCACCAACGCTTTCAGATCGTCGAAAAAGTAGACGTTCCAACCGTCGACGATTCTTTCCGGCTTCTTCCCGTTGTACATCTGCAAAACAACCAGCTCATCATCCCACCTTAACCCCTGTGCGTGTGCATGTGCGTGTGTGTATGTGCGTTTTAGACTCAGGTCGGACACAGACCTCCTGCAGGACGGGGATGACCGGAGGATTCCTCTGCTGCAGGAAGAACAGCACCATGAGCGTGTAGGCGTAGGACGAGAGGCTACCCCGAGACGCATCCCCAATGTCGCACATCTGAGGAGAGACCGGGTTTGAGACGGAATCCAGAGACTTCGTGAGACTGACACAGACTCAATACAGACTCGCATAGACACACACAGACACGCACACACACTTACTTTGGCAAACACCTTCATGACGTAACACAGGATCTTCACTCTCGGGTCGATGGCAGCGTAGGAGGCGAGTAAGTGAGTGTTGTGCAAGGCCTTTGGGAGACACGGGAAAGAACAGATGTCATTCAGTTTCCTACACACCGCGGCGGACACCAGTTCTGTGTGTTAAGGCTGAAGTGTGATGGAGGAAATGTCAAACCTGCCATCATAACTGTCATTGGTGGTTATAAGTGTTGGAGTATATATTTGGAGAAAGACCAGAGAGAGGGAGACCAGAGAGTGGGACCAGAGACCAGAGAGGGGGAGACTAGATCAGAGAGAGGGGGAGACTAGATCAGAGAGGGGGAGACTAGACCAGAGAGGGGGAGACTAGACCAGAGAGGGGGAGACTAGACCAGAGAGGGGGAGACTAGATCAGAGAGGGGGAGACTAGATCAGAGAGAGGGAGACCAGACCAGAGAGGGGGACCAGACCAGAGAGGGGGAGACTAGATCAGAGAGGGGGAGACTAGATCAGAGAGGGGGAGACTAGATCAGAGAGGGGGAGACTAGATCAGAGAGGGGGAGACTAGATCAGAGAGGGGGAGACTAGACCAGAGGGGGAGACTAGATCAGAGAGGGGGAGACCAGAGAGAGAGCAAGAGACCAGAGAGCGAGAGACCAGAGAGCGAGAGACCAGACAGACTTTATCGCAGTGTTAGACATAACCAGAGACATGAAGCAGCATAAATAACTTAAATAACTCCAGAATGTTGTTGATTTGGGGAAAAACTTTAGTAAAATGTTTTAAAATAATTACCAAAGTGTTGTACAAGCTGATGTCTCCCTCCAGTCCAGTTTGCACGTGGCAAAACTTGACAATGGGGACTTTAGCCGTGGTGATGGGAAGGATGTTCTTAAGACCTGGAAAACAGACACAAGACATTTAGACGCAAGAGTTTTAAACCGTTCCAAAAAGACAATAGTTTAAAATGAATCCAGACCTGAGTGTTTCTTCAATAGTCTGGCCAGGCTTTCAATTATACTAATGCACTCGTCATCCTGGAAGACAAAAAAAAAAAATTATGGAAAAGGTAAATGGGTTCGTAGTAAATAAACTGCAGAAGTAAAATTGTTGCGGCCAAGTTAGTTCCTTACTATTGTCCTATTTTTTGGGCTAATTATACGTATATTTAGCTGGTGTGGGAGGTTTTTTGGTTTAGTGCACTGCCTTAAATGTCCAGTTGGGGGCGCACCTCAGGGTGGAGTTAGCCTGGGTTAATAGGCAAACAGCATGTCCTAAGTATTCGCTTTTTGGTGTTTGGTTCAGTGGAATAATCTTGGACACGTGCGGAACCTGTGGAACTTAAATTCATTTAAAATCCCCTTTAATTATAGCAAGTTTTGGACATTTATCTTTGCACACCTGCACGTCAATCAGAACCTAAGGCCCAGGTTGACAAAGTGACTACAGTGGAAAAATGTGTCACTACAAAACTGAATAAGAAAACCTACCTCGATCGTGTCTCGGCCGGTCAACATCATGCAGATGTCGAGGTCGCTCTGCCGAAAACCGAAGCCGTTTTTGGACGATCCGAAAAGCTGCAACTTGGCACCTGCGAGTCAAAGTTAAATTTTAAACATACATAGTTTTTTTAAAGACACGGTAAAAGTCTTTTTTTCACTCCATAAAGTGGTGATAAACTACTGTAGCCACAGCTGCCCTGGGGCACAATGACAGAAGCAAGGCAAGCAATCTGTGCCATCTGACCACCACCAACCATTCACACACACCAGACTCGTTCTAATGTGGGTGAAGTGTCTAAGTGTCTAAAAACAGTTTGGCACTTTATAGCCGCAGCCGCCCCACTGTGGTGTTCCCAGAGGTCTCCCATCACAGTACTAACCAGGCCCTGTCCTGCTAAGCTCCAGAGGTCTGACGGGATCTGGCTTTCAAAGGTGTGGCCAAATAATGATTGCTTTGTTAGAGAAAAAGCAATGTAGCAAAAGCAAATTTTACAATCAAAACGTCATTGTTTAAAGTGATAGTCTGTAACTTTAAAGGAGCAATATGTAATATTTGCATGTCAAGTCATCATTAAATGACCCGAATATTTCAAAAGGCGTTATTAAATCATACTCTTTTCGAATTCATCTTTAACTGATAACAGTAGTTCAGCCGAGATATTTTATTATCAAAATGAGTTTTACGACCCGTAAAAGTTGTTATTGTTTTGATTTTGATGTCCTACCCTCCGCCGTTTCGCCAATCAGGAAGTGTCGTGTAAGTCCGTGATCGGGTTGCCAGAACTCCGCGCGGCTCATTAATCTCAGTGGTAAAATAACATGTGGCGCAGAACTAAAAAAGGTCTTGTTATGACTCTCAAATCATTAATGACAAAACAAAGACTAAAACGAGGATTTATATCGGGATGCCTTTGAACAATTGAGACAGCTGATAAAAGTTCACGTGTGATGCACAATGTTCTAGTTTAAATCCATTCTTCCCAGTGTTTCAGTGTTGGTCTAGTGGTCTAGACTGTGCGCTTACGATGCAGGAACCCGGGTTCGATCCCGGGCTATGTCTTTTTGTATTTATTGCATGTTATCACATTCTATGACAGATTGCTCTAAAAACGGTAAAAGATGAAGGTCAAGACGTTTTGTTGCAGATTATAGCTTAATTGTAAAAATAATCATTTAAGACCACATGTACCCCAATTAAAATAATGTTAGTCTCTTTTTGATGTGGGACTTTTACATGTTTGTCTAAAAAATAGGGAATAAATAAAATTGAAAGGTCCTCTTGAGCAAACCCTAATGTTGATACGCTGAAGAAATACGTTCCAACATCCATTCTTCCCACTCCTATTTTGGACATCAATTGCTTATTTATTTTGCATAAACTATGTATAATTACATTGCTTTTATTTTGTTTTTGTTTTTTATCTCAAATGTCCAAATAATAATAATAAAAAAACATTAATCAAAACATTCATTCAGCATTAGCACGGCGGTCATGGCAATGTGAATGGAGACGGACAAACAACTGATAAAATAATTCCCTGTGTTTGCTGCTGGATTTGGTGTGAATCTGGCAACCTGAGTCAGGGAGAGTGGGAGAGGACTACAAAATATTGACTGTGACTGCAGTACCACTTTTGGCCAGATTTTTACATATTGCTCCTTTAAAGCTGCACTGACTGACTTTGGGATTTTGAAGCCGCAGACTCTCTGGCCTCTCTCTTTCTGCTCCCCTCCCCGCACCCACGAAGCTATCGCCCCCCCCCACACACACCCACTGTTGGGACGGAGCTAGTGTCTCTCAATATGGATAATACATGGATATGGATTTGCACGTGGATGCCGTGACCATAGAACGATAGAACCGTGAAGCGCAGAGGAACGAGACTTTCTTTTGGATGGCTGTCTCGCTGTGTAAGCAGTAACCGGTGACGAAGACGAGGAAGTTTCAGGTTAGCTCCTCGGCTTGTTGTGCTAACTCAGCTGTCTGTGCTAACGGACCTGTAGATTTCTCACGAAAGTGGGGGCTAGTGGTTCGCTGTGATTGGTCACAATCTGCGACCCGAAACACATTCTCTTCCTTGTTTCATCAAAACTCGATCTAAAATATAATGTCACGCCAGCAAAAATCTGCACTACTTTTTCTTCAAAAGGACGTATATCCCAATGCCCTACACGGACATGGATAGCATTTTAGTAATTAATACAAAAATAAAGTCAGTTAGTGCAGCTTTAAATGAATCACAAATTTTAAGAATTGTATTAAATTGACCTCCTGGCATTAAATGTTGATATAAAATAAGTCATTTTATTAATTCTAATATTACGGGTAAGTGCCGCCTTCCCTTCTCTTAGCTATAGCCATGGATCAAGTATAATAACTGGATAGGGTATTACAGCTTGTAGCTGAATAACTCATGTGCCCGGGGAATTCTCGCGGTACTGCAGACTAAACCAGACTAAATTCACGTGGGCTACCCAGAAATTTTCCCCATAGAACTCAATGCATATTAAAACAGCTCAACCTCAGCTGACAGAGAACCTGACAGAGAACCTACAGCTTTCATAAAGTTCGGATTTTGTGGGGATGTTAGTGTCCTTTGTCATCCTGAACTTTTTTTCTTCTTAAATCCTTCGGTTTTGTTTAAATCTACACTTTACTGCCACAAACTCTGCTCGTCTGGCTCTCGCTCTAACTCCCGCTCTGATGAACTGCTCTGATTGGTCAGAGCGCGGCCGAGCCCCTCTGTGCACGTGCGTGAGACCCGGTGTGAGACCCACACACGTGTGTTTGGAGCAAAGCATTATGGGAGATCATCCACTGCACAGAACCAGGAGGACCAGACGATGCCCAAATACAGGCGACTTTCCCATAGATCTTTGAGAGTTCCAGGCGACTTCCCCTAATCTTTCCGCCCCCATGCTGTCACAAAGCGCCACTGAGCACAACCATTCATTTGAATAGGGCGCCATCTTGGATCGATGGTGCTTAGCTATAGCTCAGAATCCACGATGCCGTCCACGTTAACCAATCGATTCATGCCAAGGGCTGTCAATCATCGGCGCTGATGCTGGTAGCTCCGCGCATGCTCAGTTGTTTGTTTTTGCGGAATCTCCGAATCAAGCCTCTATTAGGCTCTGGAACTGCATGAAAACAGAACAAATAATTCTGAACATCCGTGCTGAGTTACCTATGTATATACTGAACCTATATCCATAATCCTTTATATACTGAACCTATATCCATAATCATTTATATACTGAACCTATATCCATAATCATTTATATACTGAACCTATATCCATAATCATTTATATACTGAACCTATATCCATAATCATCTATATACTGAACCTATATCCATAATCATCTATATACTGAACCTATATCCATAATCATTTATATACTGAACCTATATCCATAATCATTTATATACTGAACCTATATCCATAATCATCTATATACTGAACCTATATCCATAATCATTTATATACTGAACCTATATCCATAATCATTTATATACTGAACCTATATCCATAATCATCTATATACTGAACCTATATCCATAATCATCTATATACTGAACCTATATCCATAATCATTTATATACTGAACCTATATCCATAATCATTTATACTGAACCTATATCCATAATCATTTATACTGAACCTATATCCATAATCATTTATATACTGAACCTATATCCATAATCATTTATATACTGAACCTATATCCATAATCATTTATACTGAACCTATATCCATAATCATTTATATACTGAACCTATATCCATAATCATTTATATACTGAACCTATATCCATAATCATCTATATACTGAACCTATATCCATAATCATTTATATACTGAACCTATATCCATAATCATTTATACTGAACCTATATCCATAATCATTTATATACTGAACCTATATCCATAATCATCTATATATGAACCTATATCCATAATCATTTATATACTGAACCTATATCCATAATCATTTATATACTGAACCTATATCCATAATCATCTATATACTGAACCTATATCCATAATCATTTATATACTGAACCTATATCCATAATCATTTATACTGAACCTATATCCATAATCATTTATACTGAACCTATATCCATAATCATTTATATACTGAACCTATATCCATAATCATTTATATACTGAACCTATATCCATAATCATCTATATACTGAACCTATATCCATAATCATTTATATACTGAACCTATATCCATAATCATTTATACTGAACCTATATCCATAATCATTTATATACTGAACCTATATCCATAATCATCTATATATGAACCTATATCCATAATCATTTATATATGAACCTATATCCATAATCATTTATATACTGAACCTATATCCATAATCATTTATATATGAACCTATATCTATAATCAGATCCTCTGCAATTAATGATAATAGCTACTTCAGAGTTTGCCGCAATTGTTTTTTATTCATGAAAACGTTAACAAATAATTCTGAAAACCTCCGTGCATGTGTATTAATAATGTTTATGTATAATGTGTTCTCCCATTAACATTTAAATGTGTTACGGAAACGTAGGTGTAGACCAATCAGAAAGGAAGGGGGAGGGAGCTTGGGTCGTTTTTTTTCAAATCAAGTACCTCTCTCTCTTTCTTTCTGACAAACTCCGGACAATCACTTTAAACATCTGCTGAAAAAAGTTGGATTTACCTGGAAAGTGGCGTCTGACGAAAGCTTGTAAATCCAAGAGGATGTGGTCTCGGACTCTCTCCTCCAGTTCTCCTGGGGCAAAGTCCGCTGCAGACAAACACAGACAGTTATACACAGCTGCTAATAAACAAGGGGCAGAGGCTAATGCTAATGCGCTAGTTAGCAAACACAGCATTTATTAAGAGAATACTACATGGATTTTTTTGTCATGACTATCGGCTCAATTTCAAAAGGAGAGAAAAGGTATGTTTTGGGCACTTACTTACATTATGGAACAATTAGGAACAAGAGAATACTTTTATGACTATGGGTTTGGATATTTCTTTTTATAGGATTCTCTCAACAAAAATAGTCCAGTTATGCTTGGATATAAAGATAAGATAGACTTTATTGATCTCACACTGGAGAAATTTACAGAATAAACAGAAGAGCGTTAGGACTACATCATTTTCACTCGCTGTGTGAACACTTTGCACGTTTCCATCTCCGTGTAAACATGGCCTCTTTTTTAAAAATTTTTGTTTTAATTATCAACATTGATCATACCTCCGCTCTTCTGGACCAATGGCTCCTATATGTTTGGCAATTTAATGCATTTACTTTTTTGACACCCCCACTGGAATATCTCGGCTCCTGTGGACTCACCACCTGCAGGAGGATCAGTGAGGGGCCCCCCCGACCCACAAATGGATTAAGGGGAAGAAAATGGATGGATGGACTTTTTTGATACCTTTTGTAAAGTCCTGTGAGACATTCAATTCAATGTCTTTTTGTATAGCCCTAAATCACAACAGTATCTTATCTTAGAGGACTTTACCTGCCAAATCTGCCAAAACTTTGTTGGTTACTTACGTGGCAATAAAAATGATTCTGATTACAAACTTGTCAATTTGCCAACACAGATCAGAGAATCAAACCGTTCAAACACAGGAAATGCAATAAGAAAACGCAGAGCCATTGGTGCATAAGGGGCAGAAACCACTCAAAAAACCCAGTGGGGATAAAGTGAGAAACCTCTGTTACCCAAATACATTGCGTTAAAACCATTCCATGTTATTAAATGAAAAGGCTGTACTCACTGAAGCACTGCTGGCACACATTGTCCAGGACGCTCAGGAAGTCTGGGGTCATCGCCGGCAGCGGGTCCAGCTCCACCTTCTTGAAGTCGTCGGGACAATCCTTCTTCTTGTGACCGTCGCGTTTGCACAAGGCACAGACGATGATGTGTCTCTGCGGGAGATTCACAATATTACTTCCACTGGTTTCATCTTCTTTTGTGAATTTTATTGATCCCGAATGAAATTAGTGCTTTTGCTGGTATTGGACCAATAATAAGTACCTGTAGGCCGATGACCAACACTGGCCAATATTCAAAGTGTACACAAAAAATTCCAACGTCAACACTAAACTAAACAAATAGCAAAATCTCCCGGGAAACAGTGTGTTGCTATGGTAACTATTAACCCCCACTTAATCCGAATATACATTTTGAATTAAAAAAAAAGATGGCTTCATAAAAATAATGTAGAAATATATAGTACATGGAGAAAAAAAGGCAAAGTTAGGAAGACCAAGAATCATTATGCTTCCAAAAATAAAAAAAGCCGTCAATTTGACTGCTCTGGGTGTTCTAGGGTTAATGGAGTTTTGTAAGAAGGCATTTCATATTAAGGATTGTGTTACAGCAAAGATACACCTCGACTAAACACTAACATTAGTCGACTGCACTCATCGGATCCAGCTCTAGGATGGACCGGACTAAACATTAAAGAATAGAGTGTTAGAATCTATTTTATTCTATTATTCTGAGGGCAGTGCTGGGTTTATGGTGCACGTTTGAGAAGATAAATAACTGTGTGTGTAAGTATGCATGTTTCACTGTGTCTAAGTGTGCGTGTGTGTGTCACTGTGTGTGTTTAACTGTGTCTAAGTGTGCGTGTGTGTTTCACTGTGTCTAAGTATGTGTGTGTGTTTCACTGTGTCCAAGTATGTGTGTGTATTTCACTGTGTCCAAGTATGTGTGTGTGTTTCACTGTGTCCAAGTATGTGTGTGTGTTTCACTGTGTCCAAGTATGCGTGTGTGTTTCACTGTGTCCAAGTATGTGTGTGTGTTTCACTGTGTCCAAGTATGTGTGTTTCACTGTGTCCAAGTATGTGTGTTTCACTGTGTCCAAGTATGTGTGTTTCACTGTGTCCAAGTATGTGTGTGTGTTTCACTGTGTCCAAGTATGTGTGTGTGTTTCACCTGTGTCCAAGTATGTGTGTGTGTTTCACTGTGTCCAAGTATGTGTGTGTGTTTCACTGTGTCCAAGTATGTGTGTGTGTTTCACTGTGTCCAAGTATGTGTGTGTGTTTCACTGTGTCCAAGTATGTGTGTGTGTTTCACTGTGTCCAAGTATGTGTGTGTGTTTCACTGTGTCCAAGTATGTGTATGTGTGTGTGTTTCACTGTGTCCAAGTATGTGTGTGTGTTTCACTGTGTCCAAGTATGTGTGTGTGTTTCACTGTGTCCAAGTATGTGTGTGTGTTTCACTGTGTTCAAGTATGCGTGTGTGTCACTGTGTCCAAGTATGTGTGTGTGTTTCACTGTGTCCAAGTATGTGTGTGTGTTTCACTGTGTCCAAGTATGTGTGTGTGTGTCACTGTGTCTAAGTATGTGTGTGTGTGTGTTTCACCATGTCTAAGTATGTATGTATAGGTATCTATCCATCTTACTAAAACTAGAATCTATTAGTATTAGTAGATAGATAGATAATACTACACAGATACTGGTGGATCTCTGTGATAATGGATCCCTGGAGACACCCACCTTTCCTCTGGTGAACGCGTGTTTGTTGAACTTGTAGGTCAGACTCCCTTCCTGTTTCTCCGTCTTGGTCCCGTCCTCCGCCGGCTCCTCTGCGGACAGCGGCTCCGGCCTCTCGTCCTCCGACCGCAGATCCTCCCCCGAGACCCCATCCACCTGGAACTGCTCCTCGTCCTCCGTGGTGACGCTGTCCTGGTGTCCCGCGGCCGGAGTCCACTCTTCGTCCCCCTCGTCCTCGGACAGACTCCCCTTGACCACGTCGGCCTTCTCCGCGTCCTTCTCCGATTCGCTGTCGTCCAGTTCTTCCTCGATGATGCAGTCCGAGTCTTCCGGAGTTGGTTCCTCCTCCTGGGACTGGGTGGAGGACTGGGGGTCGATGATGAGTTTGTTTGGGTCCGGCAGGGCGTCTTTCCCGTGGCTGCCTTTGGACTTTGGCCCAGGCGTGGTGTTGGGCGGGAGAGCAAAGTACTTGTACGTGGTTTTGAGGCAGTGGGCGATGTAGTCGTACATCTGCTGGCTGTTGACCGAGCGCGCCACGTTCCTCTTCACTGAAAACGGATCTGAAAAAACCAAAGAAACAGAAATGATCCCACATTCATACACCCACATCACTAAATCTCTTTATCTATTACTATATTATGCCAATTTACAGTTTAATAGATATAGATAAGACATAAATATGAATTTATTTTTGATGCTAGAGAAAGGCCAGAGAGAGAGACCACAGAGAGAGACCAGAGAGAGAGACCAGAAAGAGACAAGAGAGAGACCATAGAGAGAGAGACCAGAGAGACAGACATAGAGAGGGACCAGAGAGAGGGACCAGAGAGAGGGACCAGAGAGAGGGACCAGAGAGAGGGACCAGAGAGAGGGACCAGAGAGAGGGACCAGAGAGAGGGACCAGAGAGAGGGACCAGAGAGAGGGACCAGAGAGAGGGACCAGAGAGAGGGACCAGATAAAGGGACCAGATAAAGGGACCAGAGAGAGGGACCAGATAAAGGGACCAGAGAGAGGGACCAGAAAGAGACAAGAAAGAGACCAGAGAGAGACAGACCAGAGAGAGAGACCAGAGAGAGAGACCTATTTAAATATTGGTAAATGCTTCATAATAAGAGCAATATTGGAAACTTCCTGTATATGTGATGCTCTTACTTCCATCCTGTGTGTGCACTACTGTAAAATGCTATAATGTCAGTGCTTCAAAACACCTTGGGTAACCTAAACTCTACTCAGTCGAGTTCGAGGCAAAAAAACAATCGTACCTTCGACAGCAAAGCGTTTTTTGGGCCAGTCCTTCATCTCTCGGGACAGAACGGCTCGAGTTCTCACCCCGATCACGTAGTCCTCGATTTTAAACTCAAAGGAAAAGAACCGAAGCATCTCAACCCACAGCTGACCGACTTCCACCGGAGGACGAGGCGACTGGAGCGCCAGTGGCATCTGTGGGAGAGACACATCATCATCATCAGTCAGATTAGGGCAGGAGGGTCCAACTGGTCCTCAAAGGGCCTCAGCAGGAGCACACCAGAATCCACCCCTTTGAGGGAGAGGAGACAGAAGAGGTAAGAAGAGAGGTTAAAGTAGAGAGAGGAAAGGTGAGAGATGAGGTGAGGAGAGATAGCAGTAAGAGGGGACAGGCGAGAAAAGAGAAGTGGCAGGTGAGAGACAAGGACAGGTGTGACGAGAGAGAAGAGAGCAATGAGAGAGAGATGAGAAAGAGAGGAGAGGTACGGTAGAAGAGAGAGGAGAAAGAGAGAGAGGGGACAGGAGAGACAGGTGAGAGGTGAGAGGAGAAGAGAGCAACGAGAGAGAGATGAGAAAGAGGAGGTGAGAGAAGAGAGCAGAGGTGAGGTATTAGATGAGAGAAGAGAGGGAGATGAGAAAGGAGAGATAGTGGAGAAAGGAGACAGGAGTTAGAGAAGAGAGATGAGACGGAAGAAAAGAGGGGAGAGGTGAGATGGAAGAGAAGAGATAGGACAGGAGAGGACAGGTGAGAGAAGAGGAAAGGTGTGAGAAGACTGATGATAGTGAGGAGAGGTGAGGTAGAAGAGAGGAGAGATAGGAAAAAGAGGGGACAGGTGAGAGAAGTGAAAAGAAGAGGGCAATGAGAGATGAGAAAGAGTGAGAGGGGTAAGATAGGTTAGAAAAGAGAGAGAGAGGGGACAGGTGAGAGATGAGGACGGGTGTGACGAGAGATGAAAGAAGAGAGCAATGAGAGAGATGAGAAAGAGACCAGAGGTGAGGAATTAGATGAGAGAAGAGAGGGAGATGAGAAAGAAGAAGTGAGAGAAGAGAGCAAAGAGAGGGAGATGAGAAAGAGGCGAGTTGAGAGAGGACAGTCGAGTCCAGTCTGAACCTGGAGAGCTGAGGAAATGGGTGGAGTCTGTTGTGCTCCTGCTTGGTTGGAATGAAAACCTGCAGCCACACCAGCCCTCTGAGAACTGGTTTAACGCCCCTGGATGTGGAAAACGTTCACTGCTGTTGAGCGGTTACCTTCCCACTGACGCTGGACTTGTCGGCCGTTTGCGCCGTGGAGGAGGGCGTGTAGACCCAGTGTATGTGGCCGTCATCCACGTGCGTCATACAGAAGTCTTTGAGTCGACTCAGGGAGAAAACCTTGATCTGCGGAACAACACGAGCACAGACCGTCAAGACTCGAGAGGAAAATACTTGGTCACATCCAAAAAATGTATTATGAAGTTTGAGACATTTGATAGCATCGTCATGACAAAGAGATGTTGGAAGCTGCAAAATTACAGACACACTGGGCGGCACGGTGGCTCAGTGGATAGCACTCTCGCCTCTCAGCAAGAAGGTCCTGGGTTCGAATCCCGGTTGGACCAGGGCCTTTCTGAGTGGAGTTTGCATGTTCTCCCCGTGTCTGCGTAGGTTTCCTCCGGGTGCTCCGGTTTCCCCTACCACTAAAAATATGTACAATAGGTCTGGCATGTGCCTCCTGTACTGGCACCCCCACTCCCAAAAATAACAATTGTAAACCGCTTTGAGACTCCGATGTGCAGTGAAAAGGCGGTATATAAATAAAGATTACTATACTACTACTACTACTACTATAAAACAAAAATGAATGAGAGAATTATAAGTTTCTCACTTCTGGAATAATGTCCCCAAGACAGAGAGAGACAAACAGAGAGAGAGAGAGAGAGAGAGACACACACACAGAGAGACTGAAAGACAGAGAGAGAGAGACACACAGAGAAAGAGAGACACAGAGAAATGGAAAGAGACACACAGAGAGAGACACAGAGAGAGACAGAGAGAGATAAGTACCTCTTGGTTCAGGTACGTTGGCAGCAGAGGCAGTGGCCGCTGCTGTAAGAAGTAGATGACCATGAGAGCGAATGCGTACGCTGGGAGTCCTCCCTCCTCTGGACGGTCGATCTGACAAATCTGAAAGCACAGAGAGGAAGTATCAGGAGGTGTCCCGTTTCAGACTCAGCTAGAGCTACAGCTAGAGCTACAGCTAGAGCTAGAGCTAGAGCCACAGCTAGAGCCACAGCTAGAGCCACAGCTAGAGCCACAGCTAGAGCTACAGCTAGAGCCACAGCTAGAGCCACAGCTAAAGCCACAGCTAAAGCCACAGCTAAAGTCACAGCTAGAGCCACAGCTAGAGCCACAGCTAGAGCCACAGCTAGAGCCACAGCTAGAGCCACAGCTAGAGCCACAGCTAGAGCCACAGCCGGTACCTGGGCCCAGCGGCGGAGGCCCAGCACCAGGGGCAGCACGACGGGCTCCAGGCGGACGACAGCGGACAGATACGAGGTAGTCTGGAAGGCGTTCTCATTCCCTGCGCTCACTTTGCAGACGAGACCGCTGAGAAAAGGCAAGAGAATTTAATTGAAAATCTATTATAATACAATTTTAAAAAGTAGTAATATAAAAGGTTAGTGGAGTAAAGAGTGATGCCTTCAGCACACAGAGTGAGGAGAGAGAGGTGTAGGGTTTTTTGGGCTTGTATGTCCCTGCCCTGTGTCTGTGTGTGTGGATCCTCTCATTTTTATAACAATTACACAGAGCGCAATTTAACGAGAATTTTTATCTAATTCCTCCATAATATTTCTTGATAGAAAAAGTAAATAGTAAAATTTTTTTTTTTTTAGTTTCTAATGGACCTCGTTTGCACAATCTCCCAACACACAGATATAAAAATACGTCAAATTAATGCTGTTGTAATCAGCATTCTCATCACTCATGGGATCTGAAATTCTCCAATATTCTGGTTTCACAGGATGTACTTCATACCTCTTTTTCTCTTTGCAAACAACAGCCGGAACCCTGGCGTGAAAGTCTGCCTCTAATTCATCATAGAGAGCTGAGAAGGAACAAATGCATACATAATAATGAATAATAATGTATTTAATTCTTAAGTGAAACTTGTGTAACAACTTACGGCTCACTGACAGACATTCTTTCACCAGAGACAAGACGTCTGGCTGAGTCATCTGTAAAAACATGTCACATCAAAAACATTTAACACGTGTAAAAGAACAAATATTACAAACGAATGGAAAATGACAGCTTTTATAACAAAAACCTAACATAATTAAACGTGTACAGTTATAAAAAAATTAATTTGGGGGTTAACATTTGTTTGAATAAAAAAGAAAACAGCTCCGTCCATAGCCCCAATTCCCACCTGGTATCGTATCCTAGCAACCTAGCTGTCAGTTAGAACACTAAAGTACCAGCTGGGCCTGGATAGAACCAGGGACAAGCGGGACTAAAATAGTACCAGGTATAGGGTAAATAGAGCCAGGGGTAGGGTAGAGCCAAACTGGGAACGAGGCTCATGACACTCACTACACCCCAGGGGTCTCCAACCTTTTTCAATCAGAGAGCTACTCCTTTTTACGGTCATAAAAGTCTATGTAATAATTATGACAAAACATAGAAAAGATATAAAAATATACCATAATATAGTACAACCCTATATTTATATTTATAATAGATGTGTAATACCTCAAAAGTTAATTATTCAAGATCATGTGTTAAATTCTAAATCCTTGAGCCACAGGTTGGAGACCCCTGCACTTCACTCTTGAGAAAATACCACTTATACAGATAGGGGGAGCCATTTTGTGACCGTCTGTGCCACAAGTTCCTAACATTAGCATGGCTGGAGCTAAAAATAACTGCAGCTGTGTTTATGATGAAAATGCAATGTTGGGAGAAGGTTAAAACTAAATGAATGGATAAAAAAAGATTGAGAATTACCTCTGGTGGAAACTGAATGTCAATGTTCACGTCGGATTTCTTGAAGCCAAATTTGTTGCACGATGAACCGTAGAGACGCAGGGAAATTCCTGAACACAAACAGATTCAGATTTAGACGAGTGGCCAGATGATGTAAAACCACTAAAGTGCTTTGTTCAGACTGATAACAGCTTATGGAAAGAAGCTCTTATATCCAGATGTCCTGCATCTTCTGCCAGAGGGAAGAAGCTGGAACATGGCTTTTCCAGGGGCCAGAAGAGTCATGGATTATTCAAAGAGCTCGGTTTAAGAGTCTGGATTCATAAAGAACCTCCAGAACAGACAACTCGTGTGTATGCTGGTGTTGGTTTTTTCTTTTCTCTCGTCTCTCTCCCTCAAGTCTCTTCCTCTTCTCTCTATCTCTCTCCCTTCCCTCTCCCTCTCACGTCTCGCCCCCTTACGTCTCTCCCCCTCACGTGTCTCCCCCACACATGTCTCCTCCTCACGTGTCTCTCCCTCTACGTCTCTCTCTCGTCCACTCTTCTCCCTCTCTTCTCTCCCTCTCTTCTCTCCCTCTCTTCTCTCTCCCTCTATTCTCTCCCTCTCTTCTCTCCCTCTCTCCCTCTATTCTCTCTTCTCTCCCTCTCTTCTCTCTCCCTCTATTCTCTCTCCCTCTATTCTCTCTCCCTCTATTCTCTCTCCCTCTATTCTCTCTCCCTCTATTCTCTCTCCCTCTATTCTCTCTTCTCTCCCTCTCTTCTCTCTCCCTCTATTCTCTCTTCTCTCCCTCTCTTCTCTCTCCCTCTATTCTCTCCCTCTCTTCTCTCTCCCTCTATTCTCTCTCCCTCTATTCTCTCTTCCTCTCACCCTCTCCCTCTCTTCTCTCTCCCTCTCTTCTCTCTCCCTCTCTTCCTCTCCCCCTCTTCTCTCTCCCTCTCCCCCTCTTCTCTCTCCCTCTCCCTTCTTCTCTCTCCCTCTCCCTCTCCTCTCTCTGGCTGTGATGTCGCCGAACCCCACAGTGAGAGAACCAACAGAACAAGTTGTCAAACAGTCGATTGTTGGCCGGGGAGTTTCTCACCGGGTATAACTGACAGCAGGAGGTCTTGCATCACGGACACTGCTCGCCGTCGCGCCTCCACGTCTTCGTCGGTCATGCCGTGTTCGCGCACCAGGTTCTCCAGGAGAGCGCCGATGGCCACGACCTGCTCCGCGCTGGGAGGAGCCATCTCTGCCAACTCCTGCCGCTCCTGGAGACCAGAAGCGGGTTAGTGCTGTTACGATCACCATGGTTACGTGGTTGTTGATGTATGGCTGGGTTCCTCTCCCATTACCTACTCTGCGTGAAAACCATATACATATGAATATAAATGGACGTAGTGGCGCATAATTCCTCCGTTGAAATGTTTGTGTGATCAACATGGACTTTTTCAAAATTCGGAGCTGAGGCTGTATCATCTGCGAATGTGTTATCCAGCACGAGCCTGACACATGGCTGAAACGCATTCATTCAAAAGCCCATCAAAGGATAAACTAGGCTGGTCCAAAAATAATAATAATAGTCCCCTCAGTATTGACAGCATCTGCTTCCTGTACGCCACCACCGGCAAGGAGCCAGCAGCGTCAGCGCACATACTCATGGACCTTTTGAGCCTGGACCCACCCCCCACTGGTGACAACAGGCACATAGGAGCTTTTTACATTTACCAACTGTGGGACGAATACATCTTCACGGCAGCTCTTATTTTGAGTGAAAACTATCTTCAATACAGAGTACGCCTCGTCTAACCCAGCAATACCATGAATAATGATAATAATAAAATCGGTTTAATATACTAGTAGCATTTTCGAGACAGGCAAAGGTGCTTTACATGTCATTATTCTTAAACTCCATACACAGTGATGATAAACTACTACTGTAACCACAGCTGCCCTGGGGCACACTGACAGAAGCGAGGCAACCAGTCTGTGCCATCGGCCCCTCCCACCACCACCAACCATTCACACACACACCAGACTCATTCTAGGCAATGTGGCTGAAGTGTCCATATTTTGTCAGAGCTGAAGTTGGCTGAATGACCTAGGTTTACCATGTACATAAGCGGAGATTCTGAGCTTTACAACAAGGTATAGTTTTTGTGTTCGAATGTGCAGGAAGGCCACATTTTAGATACGTTTAATGTCATGTGTGGATTTGACAGAAGCCTCCAAACCTTTCTCAAAGAGTTGATCTCCTCCTTCTTGAGCCGCCGTTCTGCCTGACGGTTGCGGTCGGATTTGCCGGAAGTTTCGTTCGCGGCGTCGTTAGCGTTTTCAAAATGGGAGTTCCTGTTTCTGTTTCTTCTTTTGCCTTTGAGAATGAAAAGATTTGGTTAGGCCATTGTTCAAGGTCACCCAGGTTTTGTTTGTTAATGCATTTGTCCATGGTGTAATATTACATACATTGAGAGGGAAGAAAAACCCATCCTTTGTTTTCCCATCACCAGTCATCAATCTAGTATCAAAGCTGTTTTTTTGTTTGTTTTTTGGTCTACACCCAAGTAAGTAAGTAAGTAAGTTTTTATTTATATACCGCCTTTTCACTGCAGATCTGAGTCTCAAAGCCAAGACCTTAAGACTTTTAACTGCTGTTTTTATCAAATGTCCAGTCCCCTTTATCACTTTAGAACTATATCTAGAACTATATAAACTTGTTTTTCACATATTCAGTACTTTCCAAAAGACTGTCAACTGATACACACAGTAAAAAACCCTATGATAAGCAGGAAAACGAAACCAAACTTGAGGTTAGTAGTTGCCATAAACTAAGTCAACAATGATTGACTCGAGACTTGGTCACATGGTCCCCACCCCATGGTCCCCGCCACATGGTCCTCGCCACATGGTCCTCGCCCCATGGTCCTCGCCCCATGGTCCTCGCCCCATGGTCCTCGCCACATGGTCCTCACCACATGGTCCTCACCACATGGTCCTCACCACATGGTCCTCACCACATGGTCCTCACCACAGAAATAAATCATAATTTCACCTGGATCTTTCCTTTTCTTTTGTCACATGTCTAGATTTTAAGCCTTTCAATATAACTCCATGAGCTTTAAAACCGTATTGATGATTTAAGGACTATGGGGAAGTAGCGAAGGCTCAGGTGCCCAATTTTAAAATAAATCCATTCAATAAAACTACAGTAGTTTTTCTTCTCAAAACACTATGGTCTATATGCGGATTAAAAAAATAAAAAATTCCACCTACACTCGGCCAATCACCTCTTATCTTATTGGATTTATTCTGGAGGTGGACTTGAACCCAGGACCTCGGTGGAGTTTATGTTCTTCCTGTGTCTGTGTAAGTTTCCTCCGAGTGCTCAAGCTTCCCCTACCACTAAAACCATGTGTAATAGCTCCTCTCTCTCTGGGACCAGGACTCTCCAGAAAAAGAGATTCTGAAATCTCAATGGGACTTTCCTGGTTAACCCTATGAACCCGTCTGCATCGGCGCCGATGCATGCGCACATGTTTTACAAATGATCAATTTACTCGCGAACGGTAAAACGTAGCAACTTACTTTTTTCCTCTGTGAAGTACGTATTCAGGGCTTTCCGAAACTAGTTTTGATTTGTCTGTGCGATGCACGGAGGATAAACTACGTTTGTCTGAAAGTCCGTGTCCAAAGCGTGACCCGTGAGGTACAAACAGCTGTGAGATACAAACACGGGGACTGCCAAAGATCGTCAGAGAGTGAGATGTCTCACTCCTCTGCGTTTACTTGTTCTCCCACAGTTGAAACTACAGCTGCGATTGCAATAACCGGCTGAAGAGTGCGCATTATTGATAAAGACGATAATAAATACAGTAAAATGACCTTATGTGTATATGATGTATATAAATATATGTATTATATAAATAATTGATGTTTTTTTTTTTTTTGGCTCAGTTTCTTATGTTTTACGTTTTTTACAGCTGTGCTACAGAAGCAACCCCAGCATTATAGACAAACTGCTTCAGGAAGGGCATCAGGAGTACAGAGTTTTTTGCTTTTATAGTGGAATTTTGTAAAAAGTATAATAGTTAGAGATTCAATTTTTTTCCCCATTATCCCCAAGACCATAAATAACATTTCTATGCAGTGTAAAAAGTTGTTTATAGCATTTCATTGTGTTTTTTCAATACATTTTAGTTAAATTGATTTTCCGTTTGATTTTTTTCTTTGTCTTCATGATTTCATAATTTTTATATAATTCATATGACAGCTTTACAATATGAATATTCTAAAACCTCAGGTTGTACTGAAAAAAACAAAGTATACTGCTTGACTCTGCATCAAAAGATGACTGTTTTATGAACAATTATACACAAAGAAAACCAGGCGAGGAAAGTTCCCCAAAATGACCCATGTGCATAGAGGGTTAAAGGTAAATTCATCAAAAACGCATAAGAAAGTTGGATACCCGAGCTTTAAACAGCAGGAGGGTCTAAGGACAGTGATGATGATCCAGGACATAGGGCATCTATGGACATTTAAGGGCAATTAAAGGCATTGGTAATCTTCCCTTTATGGACCAATGAGTCTGTTGTTGTGATTGAGGGCTGTAAAAAAATATATATTAATTTGAACTGAACTACAACAAGATGACACACTAGGTAAAGAACTCTAGTTTGTGTAAATCCTGACCAAAGTACATTACCTGCTTTGTGCCCATTCCCGTTGTTCCCTTCTGCGTCCTCTCTTGGACTTTCCGACTGGGGCCTCGTCCTCCAGTTCGGCTGCTCCCTCCTCTGGTTTCCCGGGAGCCCTTCTGGGTTTATGAGCCATCGGAGGTCGTCCCGCAGCAGAGGACTGTGGCCCCCGCGGAAGCCTCCGGGGGACGAGTCCAGGAAGTTCTGCCTCCCCCTCTTCGGAGCCCCCCTGAACTCGCTCTGGTTCCGGCCCGGGTGCCCGCCGTCTGGTCTGAAGTTGGGTCCTCCTCTGGCCTGGTTCCAGCCTTCCTGCCAGTTCTGGTGATGTCTGCCTTGGTTGTCCATTTTTAACCTTCACTTTAAAAGAAGAAGAAAAAAAACTTATTATTTTTTACCATTAGGGACTACAACAATGCTTTTTACTTAGTCATTTCATGGGCTTTAGATTGTGAAAAAATATCTTCAGTAAAAAATATGGTGAAACTAATTTTATCTGATTATTTGGTATGGACACAACAGTTATATTAATTTTCAATATTATTTTGACCCTTCATAGGAAACAAGTTATAGGGTTATAATAACAGGTTTAAGAACTCTTTTGTGTCTCAGTCCATAAAACTGCTAAATAACATCAGGTGAGGTCATAAATAAGGAATAACACACATTAAATTAATCTGAATCGGGGTAAAAAGACAAATAAAAAGCTTTTTGTGTTTCTCCATGTACTTCTGTGACATGTTAGTAACAAATGAACAAACTCTGTCTCTGAGGAGCACAGGGACTGGCCTCCTGCTTGTGCCCAGAATCAGGAGTACACATGCGGAGGCAGCAAAAAATCTGGAACAGTCTTCCTGAAAATGTGAGAAAGGCTTCCACTGTGTCTTCACTCTAATGCACTGTGATTATTCAAGATATTCCTCGAATGATTCCGTTTCAATCTTTTTGTGTTAGGCACTTTGGCGTGGCCTTGTGTATCAACTGTGCAAAATAAATAAAATCGCCTTGCCCAGTCATGTCTAACATAACAAAAAGAACCACAAATATTTTCTTTTGTTGCAAATACATCCTGGTGAAAACCCCGCCCAGAAGCTGCTGATACTTGCTGACATGGTTGTTGTAGATTAAAGGTTAAGGTTCAGATATATTTTATTGTCTCCATCGGGATCCAAGCCACAGGAAATCCACGTCAGCAGACTCTTACTATGATTTTATTACACAAATAGGCCTGAGTCACTTGTCATCAGTGTAATGCTTTCCACTTCCTCATTCACACAATATTTTGAGGACTTTTCCCAATTCAACAATAAACTGGCAATGTTGTGTTTTCAAATCACTTCCACGACTGAGTTTTATTTTGATGAACTATTTGCACTAAAAACAGATGAGTTTCTGTGTGTTTCATATCCATACTGTCCTGTATGTGTACTGCAAGACTGAAATGTCTCCACACTGGGGCAAATAAAAATGTCTTCTTATCTTAGTAATGCAGCATGTGACTATGGCTTGTTAAATAGTAGTTTTAACTTTCCATTTCCAAGCAAGTCAAGCACAACCACATAATAGACACATACAAATAATCAGTAAACAGGGCATTACCGGCAGTTAAAATATTAGTGAGATTTCAGGTTTGGGAGGCTCCGTTTGGTTGAGATCAAGATTATTAGTTTATGTTATTACAAAAACAGTGACCGTTTTGCCTAATGCATGAAGTGATCTTGGATTGGTTCAGACTCCATCCTTCCCCCTTTTTGATCCTTTCATTGAGTTACCCATTTGATCTGATCAGTTGCGGAGGTATGACCGGTGTTTCTTCTTGTGGCACCTGGACAATAAGTTATCTGCCCCAAAGTTGAAGGTATATAGGAGGATTTTCCAAAGTTTTAGGAAAGAACCGCTCTCTCCACTCTTTGAACACAACTCTCTGGGCTTTTTTTGACAAGCACGTATCCCCAGAATGAGTGACAATCAGGAGGAATCAATAGTCTTGATGTAGTCTTGGTAGTAGAAAATCCACCACATTTGAGTACCCCAGCTTTAATCCACGCAGCAGAACACGTTACAAATCACAGTTTCCTGCTGGTCTACTGTATTGTCTTTGCCAGTTCTTGTTTTGGCATCCTCCCTACAAAACACCAGCTACAAAAACAGAAGTAAAACATGTCAACATTATGTACAGTAACAGTAATTGAGGCTTTACGTCCAGAACACAAGCCAAGTTAATATTTGTTTATAGTTTTAACTCAAGAATCCACTATACAGAACACAAAGTCAAAACAATGAAAGCCCGGATGACAGGGCTAACAAACTTGCTTCGACTTTTGTTGCATGCTAGTTCGGAGCTAACCTGGTAGCATCTGAAGCTAACAGGGCTAGCGTTAGCAACATGGCTAACTGATCAATACTCAGCACGTTTATTGTCTGTACGCGTCAAAGCCATAACCCGCTGTTTTCCACGATTAAAAACTAGAATCGTAATCGAAATACCTGGTGTGTGTGTGTGCAGAGGGCATGCTGTGAAGGCCAGGCTTAGGTCGGACTGTGCATGTTGTTGTGGAGTTGCTGTTATGAAGGGAGAGGAAGGCCCGCCTCCCCACGCTTAGGCTTTAGGAAAGGATCCATCAGAAAAAAAAAAAACATACTAATCTAAGTTTCGTTTCTTTGGAAAACAATCCCATCTCGCTTCTTGCCAATAAAAACTCATCCAAAATGACGTAATGCACTGGACATGGCACGTCACTTGGAAACAGAATGTTAACCCCATAGGAAGAAGATTTAAGATGGAAACAGATACATATTTTAGAGTTCGTTTGTTATGTTGTTTTTAAAGAGCGACTAAACACCAAATCCACTTTTTTTAACTCATAAACTGCATAAGTATGTTTATTAGTGCTGTCTACATATCCTGGTCATTTTTTTGACATTTTAGTTCAAATTAGATAAAATATCACTTTTGAGCCAAAAAAACGCTGTGTGGTGCCCTCTCAACCTTTTTGGTGGTACTACATTTGAATTTGGTTCTGGCCTCTCCATTGACTCTGAAGTTCTCTATGACATCAGTTGTTTTGTGTGACGTCAGTCTGTCAGAGCCAGTGATGTGAACCCATTCAACTCTCACACACGCCCCAGCTGCAGTTTGGAGTATTCTGGCGCCATCTAGTGGATTAAAATTAAATTACATGAGTCATTCTGAGATTATTGAGTGTGATTAGGTTCAGGTGTGTAGCTTTACAATTATCTAAGTGTGTAATCAAGGGTGGAATGATACTTTCTGGTCTGTAAACTATTGCTTTAAGCAGCAATGACAACTGTCTGCTTTTTTTTTGTGTGACAAGTGAGCTGTCAATCACAGCCCAGACCACGCCCAACTCTAAGCCCCCCTTCTTGTCCCTTGGTCCTCCAGGCAACGCCCTTTTTAGAGAACATTTTCAAATCTTCATGTGGGCAAGCAACACACATTCACATATGGTCTTAGGTGTGTGTGTACTGGAGGGTTTTCACACATTTTAGGAAAGAACAGCCCTCTCCAAAAACTCTCTGCTCTTGTTTTGCCGAGACCCTATCATCAGAATATTTGGATCTATATGGGCACAATTCATACACAAGGCAATTCAAAGTGCTTAACAAAACAAGACAAAAAACAGAAATATTCACAGTAATTAAACAGAGAGAATTATCAGTTTTTTACCGGAGGAGAAGCCCGCCTGTCTCACATTTTCAGGAAGACTGTCCCAGATTTTAGTTGCATATATCTGAAACAGTGACTCACCCAGTAGTCCATCAACTGTAGTATCAACAAAGCCCAATAGGGAAGTGCTCAGGCGCGATGTTTTGCTACAACTTGCTCTGGCTCTTATAGACTTAAGTGCTCTCTGTGATCCTATTTTTTTATTATTATTATTATTACTAGATTGTCTTTGTAACTTCAAATATGAGCCCTTTATTTGATTGACCAATCAGTTGAGGGGAACCTCCAGCTTGCCTTAGCAACTGTCTTAGCAACACGTCTGCCCCTGTTACTATGCAACGCTTTTAAACTTTTGCCGCTGCACCATTGAAAGTTGGTTTGACTGTGTGGTTCAGAAGGTAAGTTTTTTGTGTAGCACAGTTCATACACAAGGCAACTCTAAGTGTTAACTATAAACTCTATAAACAAGAGGACTGTGAGACCAGAGAGAGACCAGAGAGAGAGACCAGAGAGAGACCAGAGAGACCAGAGAGAGACCAGAGAGAGACCAGCGAGATACACCAGAGAGAGACCAGAGAGAGACCAGAGAGAGAGACCAAAGAGAAAGACCTGTGAGCTGCCAGTTCTGGAGGTTCTTTATGAATCCAGACTCTTAAACCGAGCTCTTTAATCACTGATTTCTTCTGGCCCCTGGAAAAGCCATGTTCCAGCTTCTTCCAGAATATATCATTGGCTGAGATGCAGGATCTGGATATGCAGCAGCCTCTTTCACGAGCTGTTATCAGTCTGAACAAAGCACTTGATCTTGCGACTGTTATTGTTGTTTTTGATGATTGGTTTCCCAGAGACAATTTTTTTCTTTTACTTTTTAGCTTGTTTTTATACTATTTTCAATGTACTGTGATTATGTAGAATTGTAATGCCTTGTGTGATTGTTTCTTGTTTGAGTTGACTTGTGTTTGGTTTTTATTTGTTTGTTTATTTGACAGACAGTGACTATTGTTATCAGCATCTGTAGCTCCGCTTGTCTCTGTTGCTATGGGTAACAGGGAGCAGCCCATGTGAGGATGAGGGGGGTGAGGGGGGTAAGGGGGGGTGAGGGATGAGGGGGACGGCCCAGCGCAGGAGCGGGAAGACGCCGGGAAAGTGCCCTGAAGACGAGGCCCCTGCTCCGCTCTGCTCAGTCTGAAGTCGGAGTCAGAGAGAGAGAGAGCCATGGTTTCATTCACCTCCGCAGATCCCGCACATGCGCACAAACGATCTCTTCCGGCGGTGCGCGAGAGGAAACAGAAGCTCACCTGCAGGTAACATCATGGATCTATAATAATATTGGTTAAGAGCCACGACTTTACTCTTATTACGATTAAAATACTCCTTGACTTAACACCAGAACTCCCAGAGCAGTCAGTTTGATGGCTTTTCGCTTTGGAAGTGTAATTACTTGGAATCATAACTTTACTGTTTATTACTTTTTTATACTGCTTTTTTTATATATTTTTTTTATTATTTTTGCTGCTACTGGACACCTGAATTTCTCCCACGGGGATCAATAAAGTATTATCTATCTATTAGATTTCTTTTATGTTATGAAATTATTGCGATAAACTATTGAAATAAGTGCTAGTTACCATAGCAACACACTGTTTACGTGCATCATCAGTTAGCATTTAGCTATATTTCATTTATATTAACCAGCTTTAGCATGTACTAAAAATACATGCTACTACTATACATATAAATACTCAAAAACTTGGGAGCCACCAAAATGACTGCTCTTGGAGAATTCTGGGAGTCCTAGTGTTAGCCAACTTTATTACAGACTTGCAGATCCAGGATAATTCAATTCAATTACACTTACACTAATTTTCACTTAGCCCTAAATAACAGCAGTATAGTTATCTCGGAGGACTTTACAAAGTTGTCGATTTGCCAACACAGATCAGAGAATCAACACAGGAAATGCAATGATAACAAACACATACAGCCATTGGTCCATAAGGAGAGGATGACCAATTATTATTCATTATTTATTACAGACACAAGGTCCAGATAAAAAAGACATCACAACAAAATAAAAAATGAAATAAGATTAAGATTAAGAGATCCTTTGTTCATGTTATAAATGATCATAAATGGTCACACATGTCCTGGATCCACCGACAAACACATCACATACAATCACAACATCAGCAAAGATTATGGAGACACCTACGAAACCTTTCACATGATTGCACATTTCCAATCTTTGCACACGCTGTGATATTATCTATGCCAAATGTGACCTGTACATCTCTCCATTGTGAGATCAATCAAGTTTTTCTTATCCTAATATTTGCGTCCTGCAGGCTCAGTGACTCTGGGTTCGAGGAGGAGCTGGTCCCCTCCACAGAGCCTCGGTCGGCTCAGCTCACCTGGTACCAGCAGTACGGAGACACTGGTCTGCAGATCCAGAAGGAGAAGGAGGAGGACTTCCACCCCTGCCACAGCCTGGCCCATCAGCCACAGGTACCAGGCGGCTTTTACCACACAGCCAAAGTAGATCTACGTCTTCTCTGGTATCTGTATCTGAGTGTGTTCACAGTAAAGTGACAATTGAAGTATCTGGACTTTAAAAGGTTATAACTTAAAAACTAAAATTACTTTCATAGATTGGAAAAAAGATTTCAAACACAGACACATTGAAGAGATAGTGTGGAAAAAATCAAAAGGAAAGATTGACATAAAAATGTTTAGCAACATTTTAAACGACCAAATTAGCCTCTGATTTGACCATTCTACTGTGACGCCAGTTACATAGAAAATAAAACGTCCTCAGTCTGAATAAGCAGAAGATGAAATCCCACAAGATTTACATGGTTACCACAACAGGAGGAAATCACTTGATATAAAAAGGAATCGTGAAAAAATAAAAATGAATGAATTAATTAAATGACCCCTGAAAAATGTATAACGGACGTGATGAGGACGGTCCTCTTTTCTCTAAAAATTAAACTTGAGAAAAAAAAAATCTGGTCTGTTTTCACATTTAATTGCTTGACAATATGAAAGTATCACTTTGCATCTACTTTGTGTAAAAAAATAGAATCTCTGAATCAAATGTGGACATCTGAAAATACCTATCAAACTTGCACAAAGCTCATTCCGTCAAATCATCACGTCCGTTACATAAAATAAACAGGGCCGCTATAGGAAACTTGTCTAATGTATAAAACAGTTATGTTCTAGCAACTTCTAATGGACAGAGGAGGTGCTTGGAAACATGAAAAACATAAAATATCTTCTGATTATTAAAATCTAATTATTGGCCTTTTGTCACACTTTTGTGCCCTTTAGTGTGAACAAGCCCATCTCTGGTTTGTCCATTTACACATTTCCTTTAGTATTTTTTTATTCCTGAATCAATATAATTTTACCAGCCACAAAAACAATAGCATTCCGAACAATGGAAAATGTAACTTATTTTGGTTTAGCCCTAAATCACAACAGTCGTTTTACAAAACCGTTGAATTCACCAACACAGATCAGAGAATATACAGTTCAAACACCAGAAATGCAATGATAAAAAACACATGAAGACATTGGTCAATAAGAGAGAGGATGACCAATGTCCATAAATGTTGATAAAGTCCATACATGTAAATACAGGAACACGTCAATGTGGAAAAGCTAAACACAGAAGCTAATACAGGAGCTAATACAGGAGTTAACCACAGAAGCTAATACAGGAGCTAATTCAGGAGTTAACCACAGAAGCTAATACAGGAGCTAATACAGGAGTTAACCACAGAAGCTAATACAGGAGCTAATACAGGAGCTAATTCAGGAGTTAACCACAGAAGCTAATACAGGAGCTAATTCAGGAGTTAACCACAGAAGCTAATACAGGAGCTAATACAAGAGCTAATACAGGAGTTAACCACAGAAGCTAATACAGGAGCTAATACAAGAGCTAATACAGGAGTTAACCACAGAAGCTAATACAGGAGCTAATTCAGGAGTTAACCACAGAAGCTAATACAGGAGCTAATACAGGAGCTAATACAGGAGCTAATACAGGAGTTAATACAGGAGTTAATACAGGAGCTAATACAGGAGCTAATACAGGAGCTAATACAGGAGTTAATACAGGAGTTAATACAGGAGCTAATACAGGAGTTAATACAGGAGTTAATACAGGAGCTAATACAGGAGCTAATACAGGAGTTAACCACAGAAGCTAATACAGGAGCTAAGACAGGAGCTAATACAGGAGCTAAGACAGGAGCTAAGACAGGAGCTAATACAGGAGCTAATACAAGAGCTAATTCAGGAGTTAACCACAGAAGCTAATACAGGAGCTAATACAGGAGTTAACCACAGAAGCTAATACAGGAGCTAAGACAGGAGCTAATACAGGAGCTAATTCAGGAGTTAACCACAGAAGCTAATACAGGAGCTAAGACAGGAGCTAATACAGGAGCTAATACAGGAGCTAATACAGGAGCTAAGACAGGAGCTAATACAGGAGCTAATTCAGGAGTTAACCACAGAAGCTAATACAGGAGCTAAGACAGGAGCTAATACAGGAGCTAATACAGGAGCTAATACAGGAGCTAATTCAGGAGTTAACCACAGAAGCTAATACAGGAGCTAATTCAGGAGTTAACCACAGAAGCTAATACAGGAGCTAATACAGGAGCTAATACAGGAGCTAATACAGGAGTTAATACAGGAGTTAATACAGGAGCTAATACAGGAGCTAATACAGGAGCTAATACAGGAGTTAATACAGGAGTTAATACAGGAGCTAATACAGGAGTTAATACAGGAGTTAATACAGGAGCTAATACAGGAGCTAATACAGGAGTTAACCACAGAAGCTAATACAGAAGCTAATACAGGAGCTAAGACAGGAGCTAATACAGGAGCTAATACAGGAGTTAACCACAGAAGCTAATACAGGAGCTAATACAAGAGCTAATTCAGGAGTTAACCACAGAAGCTAATACAGGAGCTAATACAGGAGTTAACCACAGAAGCTAATACAGGAGCTAATACAAGAGCTAATTCAGGAGTTAACCACAGAAGCTAATACAGGAGCTAATACAGGAGTTAACCACAGAAGCTAATACAGGAGCTAAGACAGGAGCTAATACAGGAGCTAATACAGGAATTCAGGAGTTAACCACAGAAGCTAATACAGGAGCTAAGACAGGAGCTAATACAGGAGCTAATACAGGAGCTAATACAGAAGCTAATACAGGAGCTAATACAGGAGCTAATTCAGGAGTTAACCACAGAAGCTAATACAGGAGCTAAGACAGGAGTTAACCACAGAAGCTAATACAGGAGCTAATTCAGGAGTTAACCACAGAAGCTAATACAGGAGCTAAGACAGGAGCTAATACAGGAGCTAATACAGGAGCTAATACAGGAGCTAATTCAGGAGTTAACCACAGAAGCTAATACAGGAGCTAATTCAGGAGTTAACCACAGAAGCTAATACAGGAGCTAATACAGGAGCTAATACAGGAGCTAATACAGGAGTTAATACAGGAGTTAATACAGGAGCTAATACAGGAGCTAATACAGGAGCTAATACAGGAGTTAATACAGGAGTTAATACAGGAGCTAATACAGGAGTTAACCACAGAAGCTAATACAGGAGCTAAGACAGGAGCTAATTCAGGAGTTAATCACAGAAGCTAATACAGGAGCTAATACAGGAGCTAATACAGGAGCTAATACAGGAGCTAATTCAGGAGTTAACCACAGGAGCTAATACAGGAGCTAATACAGGAGCTAATACAGGAGTTAACCACAGAAGCTAATACAGGAGCTAATTCAGGAGTTAACCACAGAAGCTAATACAGGAGCTAATACAGGAGTTAACCACAGAAGCTAATACAGGAGCTAATACAAGAGCTAATACAGGAGTTAACCACAGAAGCTAATACAGGAGCTAATACAGGAGCTAATACAGGAGCTAATACAGGAGCTAATACAGGAGCTAATACAGGAGCTAATACAGGAGCTAATACAGGAGTAAACAGGAGCTAATACAGGAGCTAATACAGGAGCTAATACAGGAGCTAATACAGGAGCTAATTCAGGAGTAACACAGAGCTAATACAGATACAGAGCTAATACAGGAGCTAATACAGGAGTTAATACAGGAGCTAATACAGGAGCTAATACAGGAGCTAATACAGGAGTTAACCACAGGAGCTAATACAGAAGCTAATACAGGAGCTAATACAGGAGCTAATACAGGAGCTAATTCAGGAGTTAATACAGAAGCTAATACAGGAGCTAATACAGGAGCTAATACAGGAGCTAATACAGAAGCTAATACAGGAGCTAACCACAGAAGCTAATACAGGAGCTAATTCAGGAGTTAACCACAGAAGCTAATACAGGAGCTAAGACAGAAGCTAATACAGGAGCTAAGACAGGAGCTAATACAGGAGCTAATACAAGAGCTAATTCAGGAGTTAACCACAGAAGCTAATACAGAAGCTAATACAGGAGCTAATACAGGAGCTAATACAGGAGCTAATTCAGGAGTTAACCACAGAAGCTAACCCAAGCCCTGGCGATCCAAGATGGCGCCCTATTCAAATCAGTGGCTTGTGGTCAGTAGTGCATGGGACATACACAGGGACCGAAAGATTAGCAGAACTCGCATATATTTGGGCAGTGGATGAGCTCCCATGATGCTTTGCGGCAAATACGCGTGTGTGGCTCTCACGCACGTGCACAGACGGGCTCGGCCGCGCTCTGACCAATCAGAGCTGCTGATCAGAGCAGAGTTAGAGCGAGAGCCAAACGAGCAGAGTTTGTTGCAGTAAAGTGTGGATTTAAATAAAACCGAAGGATTTAAGGAGAAAAAAAGTTCAGGATGACAAGGGACACTAAAATCCCCACAAAATCCGATCTTTATGAAAGCTGTAGGTTCTCTGTCAGGTTCTCTGTCAGGTTCTCTGTCAGCTGAGGTCGAGTTGTTTTAGTTCACATTGAGTTCTATGGGACTTTTTTCTGTGTAGCCCGCGTGAATTTAGTCTGCAGTACCACAGCGCCCCCTGTGGCCATAGGTGGGACAGCTATAAGCTAGTAATACCCTATCCAGTTATTATCATAGATCCATGAGCTAACCACAGAAACTAGTTATGTAGATTTTTTTTACATGAGCATAAGATGGATGGTCTCTTTACTTTTACTGGAAAATGGTCTAAACTTTTAAGAGTAATTTTAAGTTTGTGGTTGCAGGTGACGGCAGAGGCCCGGTGTAAGCTGGTCAGCTGGCTCCTCCCGGTGCATCAGCATCTGGGCCTGTCCTTCGAGTGTTCCTGTCTCACCGTGAACATCCTGGACCGCTTCCTGGCGTGCACTCCGGTGGCGGCGGACTGCTTCCAGCTCCTGGGAGTCACTGCTCTTCTATTGGCCAGTAAACAGGTAGATGTCAGAGTGTAGTACGAGTATCTGTGACGGATGTGGGAACAATGTTGTAACATGGTTTAAAGAGAGAAAAGGCAGGTTTCTCTCTCTCGTCTCTCGCTCTGGTCTCTGTCTCTAGTCTCTCTTTCAAATTCCCCCTCTAGTCTCTCGTTCTAGTCTCTCTCTGGTATCTCTCTAGTCTCTCGTTCTAGTCTTTCATTCTGGTCTCTCTCTGGTATCTCTCTAGTCTCTCGTTCCAGTCTTTCATTCTGGTCTCTCTCTGGTATCTCTCTAGTCTCTCGTTCTAGTCTTTCATTCTGGTCTCTCTCTGGTATCTCTCTAGTCTCTCGTTCTAGTCTTTCATTCTGGTCTCTCTCTGGTATCTCTCTAGTCTCTCGTTCTAGTCTTTCATTCTGGTCTCTCTCTGGTATCTCTCTAGTCTCTCGTTCTAGTCTTTCATTCTGGTCTCTCTCTGGTATCTCTCTAGTCTCTCGTTCTAGTCTCCTCTGCTCTCTCTCCCTCTGTACTCTCTTTATATATGTTCTCTCTCTCTCTGGTCTCTTTCTCTGCTCTCTCTTTGCTCTCTTTCTGTTCTCTCTCTCTGCTTTGTCTCTGCTCTCCCTCTTCCTTCCCTTTCTCTCTGCTCTCACTCTACTTCCTCTGCTTTCTCAGTTCTCCCTCTCTCTGCTCTCTCTCTCTGCTCTCCCCCTGCCCTCTCTCTTCTCTCTCTCTGCCCTCTTTCTGCTCTCTCTCTCCCCTCTCTCTTCTCTCTCTCTCTGCCCTCTTTCTGCTCTCTCTCTCCCCTCTCTCTTCTCTCTCTCTCTCTCTCTCTCTCTGCCCTCTTTCTGCTCTCTCTCCCCCCTCTCTCTTCTCTCTCTCTCTCTCTGCCCTCTTTCTGCTCTCTCTCTCCCCTCTCTCTTCTCTCTATGTGCTCTCTCTCTCTGGTCTCTTTCTCTGCTCTCTCTTTGCTCTCTTTCTGTTCTCTCTCTCTCTCTGCTTTGTCTCTGCTCTCCCTCTTCCTTCCCTTTCTCTCTCCTCTCTCTCTGCTCTCACTCTACTTCCTCTGCTTTCTCAGTTCTCCCTCTCTCTCTCTGCTCTCTCTCTCTGCTCTCCCCCTGCCCTCTCTCTTCTCTCTCTCTGCCCTCTTTCTGCTCTCTCTCTCCCCTCTCTCTTCTCTCTCTCTCTCTCTCTGCCCTCTTTCTGCTCTCTCTCTCCCCTCTCTCTTCTCTCTCTCTCTCTCTCTCTCTGCCCTCTTTCTGCTCTCTCTCTCCCCTCTCTCTTCTCTCTCTCTCTCTCTGCCCTCTTTCTGCTCTCTCTCTCCCCTCTCTCTCTCTCTCTCTCTCTCTCTCTCTCTCTCTGCCCTCTCTTTCTGCTCTCTCTCTCCCCTCTCTCTTCTCTCTCTCTCTCTCTCTCTCTGCTCTCTCTCTGCTGCTCTCTCTCTGCTCTCCCCCTGCCCTCTCTCTTCTCTTCTCTCTCTCTCTCTCTCTCCCCTCTCTCTTCTCTCTATGTGCTCTCTCTCTGGTCTCTTTCTCTGCTCTCTCTTTGCTCTCTTTCTGTTCTCTCTCTCTCTGCTTTGTCTCTGCTCTCCCTCTTCCTTCCCTTTCTCTCTCCTCTCTCTCTGCTCTCCCTCTACTTCCTCTGCTTTCTCAGTTCTCCCTCTCTCTCTCTGCTCTCTCTCTGCTCTCCCCCTGCCCTCTCTCTTCTCTCTCTCTCTCTCTCTCTCTTCCCTCTTTCTGCTCTCTCTCTCCCCTCTCTCTTCTCTCTCTCTCTCTGCCCTCTTTCTGCTCTCTCTCTCCCCTCTCTCTTCTCTCTCTCTCTCTCTCTCTCTCTGCTCTCTCTCTGCTCTCTCTCTGCTCTCCCCCTGCCCTCTCTCTTCTCTCTCTCTCTCTCTCTGCCCTCTTTCTGCTCTCTCTCCCCTCTCTCTTCTCTCTATGTGCTCTCTCTCTCTACCAGAACCCACCCAAACTCAAACCCTAACATTGTCTCTCCTCCAGGTTGAAGTCTTCTCCCCCAGAGTCAGCTCCCTCTTGTCCCTTTGCTGCAACATCTTCACCAAAGACCAGCTGTGTAACCTGGAGTGCCTGATCCTGGTCCGCCTCAAGTTCCGCCTCTGCGCTCCCACCGTGGCCTTCTTCTTGGACTGCTACGCCAATTTAACAACCGAAAACGACACCGCCAAACTCCGCAATCGAGCCACCGTCAAACTGGCCCAAAAACTGTGTGAACTGAGCCTCGCCGATTACGCCTTCAACAAATATCCGCCGTCTCTCACCGCTAAATGCGCTCTCCGGATTGCCGGCGAGGTTGCTAGGGAAGCAGTGTCTCCTCTGGTGCCGGATTGGGACAGTTTTGTGGACGGGAAAGAGGGCGGTTCGATGTGTACTGAGGACTGGGACAGCGGTTGTCCAATGGAAACGACATGTCTGATGCAGGAGTGTGTTAGCAACCTGAGGCTACTAGCTTCTCTGAACCACGAGGCTTTGACAGTCTGTGGCGGATCCAAAAAGTCGGCATAGATTTGGAAAAAAGTGTGTTCAGTTTACAAAAAGAATAAGTTGTTTTTTATAAATAAAACTCTCTGGTCTTTTCTGGTCCCTCTCTTTTTCTGGTCTCTCCCTGGTTTCTCTGTGGTCTCTCTTTCTCTCTCTGGTCCCTCTCTGGTCCCTCTCTGGTCCCTCTCTGGTCCCTCGCTGGTTTTTCTCTGGTCTCTCTCTGGTTTCTCTCTCTGGTCTCTCTCTGGTCTCTCTCTGGTTTCTCTCTGGTCTCTCTCTCTGGTCCCTCTCTGGTCTCTCTCTGGTCTCTCTCTGGTCTCTCTCTGGTCTCTCTCTGGTTTCTCTCTGGTCTCTTTCTAGTCTCTGGATCAAGGATTTTGCTTCTTTTAGAACGTAACCCCTCAAAAACCTGGAACTGCTGTAACATAAAACAAAAAAAATGCAATATATGTATTTGTTTATGGGTCATTGGTCGATATCTATTTGACCTGTTTTCTTGTCAGGTAATATTGCTGATATGAGATGGAAAATTAGGCGGCCATTTTGAAAAAGAAAATGGCCGCCTCATAGACTACCGAAAATTGTCAACCAAAGATTTTCTGATTCTTCCTGGTCCAAAGTTTCCAAAAAGAAAACGTTTTCATAACAATATCTTTTATGTTTATTTTTGCAGTATTTTCATTCCAACATATGTGTGAGTGGGAGGAGGAGTCGGGCATCATGGTCTTTGATAGGATGCTAACTGATATATTGTCTATTGTATATTCCTGATTTGAATACCTCATTTACACAGTTTTGCACGGTTATAGTAATATATTTTTAAAACCTTGTGTAAGGTTGTAGATAGTGTTTTTACATTGTGTTATCTCGTGTTTGTATGTGTCGAAAGAACAATAAAACTGAGCCTGTTGCTGTTGTCTTGAACCTGGTTTCATATAAACTCTAATGCCCTTTTTAAATAAACTGTATTTTAATCTGGAATCGCTCAAGATTTAGGATTAGAATTACAATATAGCTGCATGATTGGACACATATATACGGTACCTGTGTATACTGTAGTCTCTAAACAGTCTAATTATGCATATGTGGTATATACGTTAGCAAACATCTGTCTAATTAGGCAGTTACAAAACGATATGAACGGTATTGACATAACAGAGATGCATGTTGTACAAAAAGTAAGTCAAGTTTTTTTGTGTTGCGCCATAAACAAGTGGGTTTGTACGGTGCCTAAACAGATGAGTCGTATCCCTTTAATGTTCACTTCTTGAAGAAAGTAATGTAAATGTTGTATTTTCTAAGATGTAAGGGCACTGGTAACAAAAGTAATTTATTATTTCTATTCTCTATTCCTTTTAACACCCAGACGCACATGTAGGAAACGATCATGGACCAGAGTTTACACATGCTAACACCAGGCTAACCCTATTGAAGTAAATGTCAGTTCCAAGCTTCAAGTCGATAGTTACTCAAAAAGTGATCCACCAAACGGTTGAGGACACCATTAAAGGGTTAATTTGGGACTTGAAATTGTCAATAGACTCTATCAGGCGCAGGGACTGGGGAATGTCCATAACACAGCTGCACCGTGACCTTAAACATTTAATTTTTAGGATATTGTATTTTATCTCAAGATCATTTTATGCAGAAGGAAATGTATTGCTGAATATGAGCTCGCAAACTCATGGACATAAACTCTGTTGACGAAGGACGCTGAGCCGCTAATATGAGGATTCTCCACTGAGGAGGTGGTGACGGGGAGGAGGAGGGTTGCAGCTCGAACAACAGGGAACTGAGAGAAACTGATGCTGCCGAGCGTGGGGTGTAGTAGAGGGAGGTAACCTTGTCCCCAGTGTGAATTTATCTGCATCACTATTATCACTTTAGTTTGAAGGAAAGCATAAGAAAATGGCATTTACATATAGATTGATCCAAGTCACACAAAGCAATAACAAAAGTTCAGACTAAAAATCTTTCTATCAGCTCAACTTTCAAGCCACAACAAAGGAATTATGTAAAAAGGTCTACAGCTTGTTCCTCTTTCTGTACGTATCTATTTTTGCATCCGTGAGCACTTCCCTATCGGGCTCCATTGTGCTAGCGGGTTAGCATTGTCCATCTATACACAGGGTAAATTACAGGCTCCATATCCCTCCAACTAAGCGGTCTCCATAGCAACACACAGTTCTTAGCTTACAGTTTGTAATCATGACGTTACTTTAAAACAATGGTTCTCAAAGTGTGGTACGCGTATTTTTATTCAACCAGGAAAGTCCCATTGAGATTAAGAACCTCTTTTTCAAGGGAGTACTGGACTTTGCAGTTTGTAATGAATTGAACATTTTAATTGAATCATTATTTAAGTACAGTTTTTTTCCTTTATTTAAGTCTTACTGTTGAAACTGTGTAAAATGTTACAATGGCTGACAATAATACATACTTCTTTATGAATGAAACCTCTGCCTTGTTTTTGATGAATACTTAGGCTTACTACGCTACTGTGCAGTGTTTGTGGTGTTTGTGGTGGTACTTGGTGTAGAAAAGTTTGAGAACCACTGTTTTAAATGGTTCATTATTCATCAGGAGGTTGAGTTAAGTTGCTGAACCTGCTAAATATTCAGAGTTTTGTAAATGTGGTAAAAACGTTTCTTCTTCTCTGTGTTTGTGTCTACATTTTGAGCATGACAACCGTTGCTATGGAGCTTTTGCTGGCTCTTGGTTCATAAAGTAGTCCCTTTTCTCAAACATGTTTTTGAGAGCGTTGAGGACATATAATAATATGTATACAATAATATATATTTTCTGACGTGTTGTGAGTGTGAGTGTTTCAACCTTCAAACCACACAAGTGCACTGCTCCTTGTTGTTTAATCATTCATTCAATTCGTTAATTAAAATCAGATGGGATCACGTGATTCCAACATTTCAGACACTAACATCTACAGAGGGAAGTACTTATGTAAAACTATTGTAAGAAGTTGTTCAACCCCAACCCGACTCGGTCCAACTCTCCATGGCTCTACTCGATCCTGGTTTCATAATCAAGAGAAATGTAAATCTGACGTAATCTGTATGTAAGATAAGACTCTATATGTTATGATTTATCAAAACATTTACAGTGAAGAAGTGTAGGACAAGAAATAAATTGGGGCAGGAAATTCATTTTACTCCTGGCCTCCTGCTGGGACTCTGAGGAGCACAGGGACTGGCCTCCTGCTGGGACTCAGAGGAGCACAGGGACTGGCCTCCTGCTGGGACTCAGAGGAGCACAGGGACTGGCCTCCTGCTGGGACTCAGAGGAGCACAGGGACTGGCCTCCTGCTGGGACTCAGAGGAGCACAGGGACTGGTCTCCTGCTGGGACTCAGAGGAGCACAGGGACTGGTCTCCTGCTGGGACTCAGAGGAGCACAGGGACTGGCCTCCTGCTGGGGCGGCACGGTGGCTGAGTGGATAGCACTCTCGCCTCTCAGCAAGAAGGTCCTGGGTTCGAATCCCGGTTGGACCAGGGCCTTTCTGAGTGGAGTTTGCATGTTCTCCCCGTGTCTGCGTAGGTTTCCTCCGGGTGCTCCGGTTTCCCCTACCACTAAAAATATGTACAATAGGTCTGGCATGTGCCTCCTGTACTGGCACCCCCAATCCCAAAAAAAAAAAATCACAATTGTAAACCGCTTTGAGACGCCGATGTGCAGTGAAAAGGCGGTATATAAATAAAGATTACTTACTTACTTACTTACTCAGAGGAGCACAGGGACTGGCCTCCTGCTGGGGCCTTGAGGAGCACTGTGATTATTATTGAGTTGAATTTCGTGTATTTCTTGTTTCGTTCTGCACTTTAAGTCGCCTTTGTGTTCGAACTGTGCTATACAAATAACCTTCCCTTCCCTGTCCTCTTTGGGGGTCTGCTCCGACGCCTTGTTCAAACACCTAACTTTGTATCTACTTCAGTCTGTGTGATTGTTTACGTGGTTTTACATTTGTTTGTAGCAGTTAAGCCGTGTCAACATCCTAAATGTGACGATCCATTACGCGTGGCACCTCGACCCGGGCCCAGAGAGGACGCATGAGGGTCGACCACACAGGTGCGGCGGGCGGCCAGGGTGACGGGGATGACGGGGGGCGGCCAGGGTGACGGGGGGCGGCCAGGGTGACGGGGGTGACGGGGGGCGGCCAGGACCCACGGACTCCCCGCTGTTTGTTCACCAGCGCATGCATTCGTCACGAGTGTTGACCGAGCTGTCGTCTGTAATTGCCCTTTTCCTTTTCCACTTTGCGTCAAGAAGTGAAGAAGTATAAACATGGAGAGGAGGCGGGGTTGGATGCGCACGGGTTTTGGGTACAGCCTGCAGAACACGATAACGCACTTTTATAGCATCATCATCATCATCATCATCATCATTTATTAATTCAGACTCTATGGGTTTTAGACACGTTTTGATGCGCGCTACTTTGGGTATAGCCTGCATGGATCAGAAACAGAATTATTGCTATAATGATAATATTAATAAAAACAGAATTATTTTGTATTGACATCGTATAACGGGCGGTCATAAACAAGGAAATTGCTGGTAGACCTGAAATTCATAGACATAGACATAAACATATCTGTCTCTCTCTCTCAGTCTGTCTATCAGAGAGACGATGTTTTAAATGTTCCATATCGCCAGTGAACATACATTTTGTAATATCTGAATATACATTTTAAGTAGAATTATTCACATGCTGTGGACTGTATCTGTTTATTGTTTACAGAAATAAATATGTACATGAATGTCTATATTTTTTCTGAATGTATACTGTTGTAGGGATGCGTGGGTCCTGAGGGAGTATATGTTGTAAATGTTTTTTGTTGTTGTATTTTTGTATGTATTTGTATTCACGTATTTGTTCTTTTCATGAAAAATCCTTGTTCACATAAAAATAACAGTTACAATACATATTTGCGTTTGCATTGTATTATATTGAGATGCTGAGAATGAGATGCTGCATTACTTTCTGCAAATAAATCAAATCAGACCTGCACATGCGCTGCTGTCAGTGCAGGGCCTCCTTGACCTAAAGAAACCCTCCTTCTTGGCGCGCGTAAAGAGGCTCCGACCACAGCTGCTGCGCGCCGTTATACCCGCGGTCCTCTCCACACCTCGGGGCCGTTGGCGCTGAGGCTGAAGGACGCGTGTGTCCCTGGAGACCGCATCCCCGCCTCTGATTGGAGCAACGCCCGGGACCGCGCCACAGACCGGGGGAAAACTGGCTTTAAAGGAACAGAAAGATGGAGGGACCGTGCGTAAGAGCAGAATGACGCAGAGAGACGTCAAGATGGAGTTGGAACAAGGACTCCAGGTTCAAATACGTTCTGTGCATGAATCACATTTAAATATATAAAGTTTTACAGTGAATTTAACACTAGTTTGATTCTTACTGTCAAAAGGAAACGCTGTCCATGGCCATGATGCCGAGGAGCAGCAGTCCCGTCAGCGTGTACGTGGAGCTGCCGTGTCTAGTGGAGCAAGGTACGTGCACGTGTTAAAGCTGAGGTACCGAACTTTTTTTAATCCGCCGTTTGTTCTAATAGAAAGACTGATTTTAGCTGCATAAATCTGAAATGCAGCCTCTACATGTTTAGTCCTGACTCTGGGACCAGCAGGAGGCCAGTCCCTGTGCTCCTCAGAGTCCCAGCAGGAGGCCAGTCCCTGTGCTCCTCAGAGTCCCAGATGTACTTTGGTTTGAAGCCATGGAGAGACTTTTAACAAACAGAGCAGCTTTAAAGTCTATTCTCTGAGCCTCAGGAAGCAGAGACCTGAGATCAGGACTAATGTGGTCATACTTCCTGGTTCTATAGGACGCCAATTCTGAGATTATCCATAACCACAACATTTTTTTTCATTTGCAGCGTTGTCCACCATTGCGTGGAATGATTTTGAAGACAGCGCGTCCGGAGAGATGCAGGACATCAGCTCCATCACTTGTGGGGTAAAAACACATATATACAGTTTTCTGTGTTATAGCCCTCAGTATAGGGTCAGAGCAGAGAGAGACAGAGAGACAGTGTGTGTGTGTGTGTGTGTGTGTGTGTGTCATAATTGTATTCTATGTGCTGATAACTAAACCTCTTCTTCATCCATTCAAACTTGTATTAGTTAGAGAGAAAGAGAGAGAGAGAGAGAGAGAGAGGGAAAGAGGGAGAGAGGAAGAGGGAGAGAGAGAGAGAGAGAAAAAGAGAGAGAGTGAAATAAAGAGAGAGGGAAAAAGAGAGAGAGAGAGAGAGAGGGAAAGAGGGAGAGAGGAAGAGGGAGAGAGAGAGAGAGAGAAAAAGAGAGAGTGTGAAATAAAGAGAGGGAAAAAGAGAGAGAGTGTGAAATAAACAGAGGGAAAAAGAGAGAGTGTGAAATAAAGAGAGAGGGAAAAAGAGAGAGAGAGAGTGAAATAAAGAGAGGGAAAAAGAGAGAGAGAGTGAAATAAAGAGAGAGGGAAAAAAGAGAGAGAGAGTGAAATAAAGAGAGAGGGAAAAAGAGAGAGAGAGTGAAATAAAGAGAGGGAAAAAGAGAGAGAGAGAGTGAAATAAAGAGAGAGGGAAAAAGAGAGAGAGAGAGTGGAATAAAGAGAGAAGGAAAAAAAAGAGAGAGAGAGTGAAATAAAGAGAGGGGGAAAAAGAGAGAGAGTGAAATAAAGAGAGGGAAAAAGAGAGAGAGTCAAATAAAGAGAGAGGAAAAAAGAGAGAGAGAGAGAGTGAAATAAAGAGAGAAGGAAAAAGAGAGAGAGAGAGTGAAATAAAGAGAGAGGGAAAAAGAGAGAGAGAGTGTGAAATAAAGAGAGAGAGATATCCCTTTAGGAGAAATGCATGTGTCCAGCAGCAGAAACACATCCTTTCATACAGACAAATACATAATTCTAAAAGTCTCAATAGTAATAATAAAAAGCAGCAGGACTGGAGCAGAGGTGGTGCAGCCGCTGGTGTTTAGCCGCTCCCTCTCCTCTGGTTGAAGTCTGCCGGGTCTGCTTGGTTCTGACCATTTTCTCCGCTCTGACATCCTCTCTTTCATGTGGAATACTTTGCGAGCTTCTGTGACAACGCAATTTCCCAACACATTAAAGTCTAATAGATTCAATAGATTCAATAGATTCTTGAGATTAGCCAAACTAGTATTGGGACACACTGATGGGAGAGGGGTGGCATCCTTCCCGGTCTGTTAATGAGCGACTCTGACCCGGACCTCGGACCAATCACAGCCCAGAGAGAGCAGAGGACTCCAGCCTGAGCCGCAGAACTCCCTCAGACTCTAAAACTCACCCTGACCATGAGCAGGTCCTGTTTTTCCACCTCCATCAGCTTCTCCTCGTGTTACTGTCCGTGGTCGGGGTTCCAGGTGCAGACATGGCGCCTCAAAAAAAGCAACAGATTTTTAAAAACAACATGATTTATAAATGTTTTTTTTCTCTTAACAGGCAAAAGATTGTGATTCTGAAGACCATGGACTTGATTATCCGCAAGAATTTACAACAGGTAAATACACTCGCTATGTATTCTTACTCTAGTACAAGTGTGTATTAAGGGTATCTGTACTTTACTAGAAAATTTCTCCGAAAAAAAATCAGCTTGTGATTTTAAAAACGTTTGCAGAAACCAACATAACATTATAAAAAGAAAGACAAAACCAAACACAAGAACTGCATTTAGCCGCTTGTGACGCTAACCCCATGGTGCGACAGGGGTTGGTCCGATGTTAGATGCATGATCGGGGTTAGCCGTGCTTCTAAGTTCATGAAATCCTCAAGTGCAGGAGTTCAAGTCTCTCCAGGTGTTCTCAGTGAGGGAGGGAGAGAGAGAGAGAGAGAGAGAGAGAGAGCAGGGATGCAGTCGCTGTATCAGGCTGTTGTGGTGAAGAGGGAGCAGCGTCTGTAGTCAAAGCTCTGGACTCTACGTTCCCACCCCTTATCATCCTGAGCTTTGGGTAATGGCTTAAAGGACGAGATGTGGCTGAGTGCTCCCTTAGAGACAGGATGAGGAGTCTCCCTGGTCTATCTCTCGCTCATTGGTTTCTTTGTCTCTGGTCTCTCTCTAGTCTCTCTGGTCTCTCTCTGTTCCTTCTCCCTGGTCTCTCTCTGGTCTCTCACTGGTCTCTCTCTGGTCTCTCTCTGGTCTCTCTCTGTTCCTTCTCTCTGGTCTCTCTCTGGTCTCTCTCTGTTCCTTCTCTCTGGTCTCTCTCTGGTCTCTCTCTCTGGTCCTTCTCTCTGGTTTCTCTTTCTGGCCCCTCTAGTCTCTCCCTCGGGTCTCTCTGGTTTCTCTCTCTGGTCTCTCTCTGTTCCTTCTCTCTGGTCTCTCTCTGGTCTCTTTCTGGTCTCTCTCTCTGGTCTCTCTCTGGTCTCTCTCTCTCTCTGGTCTCTCTCTCTCTGGACTCTCTGGTCTCTCTCTGGTCTCTCTTGTCTCTCTCTCTCTCTGGTCTCTCTCTCTCTGGACTCTCTGGTCTTTTTCTGGTCTTTCTCTCTCTGGTCTCTCTCTGGTGTCTCTCTCTGGTCTCTTTCTGGTCTCTCTCTCTGGTCTCTCTCTCTGGTCTCTCTCTGGTCTCTCTCTGGTCTATCTCTGGTTTCTCTCTGGTCTCTCTCTGGTCTCTCTCTCGCTGGACTCTCTGGTCTCTCTCTGGTCTCTTTCTGGTCTCTCTCTCTGGTCTCTCTCTGGTCTCTCTCTGGTCTCTCTCTGGTCTCTCTCTCTGGTTTCTCTCTGGTCTCTCTCTGGTCTCTCTCTGGTTTCTCTCTGGTCTCTCTCTGATATCTCTCTGGTCTCTCTCTCTCTCTGGTCTCTCTCTCTCTCTGGACTCTCTGGTCTTTTTCTGGTCTCTCTCTCTCTCTCTGGTCTCTTTCTGGTCTCTCTCTCTGGTCTCTCTCTGGTCTCTCTCTGGTTTCTCTCTGGTCTCTCTCTGGTCTCTCTCTGGTCTCTCTCTCTCTCTCTCTGGTCTCTCTCTCTCTCTGGTCTCTCTCTCTCTCTGGACTCTCTGGTCTTTTTCTGGTCTCTCTCTCTCTCTCTGGTCTCTCTCTCTCTGGACTCTGGTCTCTCTTGCTTCTAACTTCTATGTTTAGTATTAAAGGTTTTTTTTAAGTGATTAGCTATGCTTCTAAGACTCAAAGTTCAAGAGTGCAGGTTTGAAGTGGTTCTAGCAGAAGATGAGAATATACTTTTACTAAAACACAAAACATTAGTACTTTCCAACTCTGTCTCTGTTGTTAATGTCCCTAAACAGTTCATGTGTCGTACTGTATGTCAATAATGTTAATAAAGTTAATAAAGTTGTGTTTTTTTTCTTCAGATTGTCGAGTGGAGAGTGCTCTGGTGCCGTTCCAGTGCGGGATCCCAACTCTCACACCTCAGCCCGAGTTCTTCCCTGTCCACAGCGGTCTCTCTCACCACGACAACAGACTCCCGAACCAGGACCAGGACCAAGACCAGGACCAGGATCAGGACCAGGACCAGGAAATCTGGGAAGAAATACCACAATATCATGGATGTGTCTTGGGCTACTCTGCAGAGAACCACCAGGTAACCACCAGGTTCGGACTGTACACTAGTCCTTAGGTCCAGAGAGTCCAGGTTTCAGACTGTACACTAGTCCTCAGGTCCAGAGAGTCCAGGTTTCAGACTGTAGACTAGTCCTCAGGTCCAGAGAGGTCAGGGTTCCAGACTGTAGACTAGTCCTCAGGTCCAGAGAGGTCAGGGTTTCAGACTGTAGACTAGTCCTCAGGTCCAGAGAGTCCAGGGTCCGGAGTCCCATCAGTGCGTTCATGGTACAGACAGAGGAACAACGGGTGAATAGCAATGCACAGACTACATTTATTAAAACATCAAATATCTTTCAGGGCGACATTTGTGAATGAATGAAGCTTTAAAACAGTGAATTAAAAACCGTTTTGGATTTATGGGGCACTGGAATTAGATTTTTTTTTTTTAAGTTACAATTTACAATAACATTACCAACTTTTTGTGACACAAATAGTAGATTTTGTTCCCAGAAAGAGCCCAGATGCCTTCTTCTTTATAGAAAAACGTTTTATTATTCTCTTTACATTACTTTTATTATTATTATTGATTATTTTTATAGCCCTATGCATCACTTTTTGACTCTTTGGGTTTTCTCTTTGTCACTTTTCTGTCTGAAAAATCTAAATCTAAACATGTGACAGAGGCTGAAAATACGTGTACGTGAAAACTAGGAATGGAACAACAATTGATAGATTTGAATTCATAGTTTCACTTTTTAAATTCTTTTCAACATTAATTATTGTACATTTTAATAAACATACCACATTCAGTTAATGTAAAAAACAGTGAAAGAGAATAAAGACACATTTTTGGCGTTTAATAATCCACTTCCTCAGCTTTAAGACTCATTTCTTGTTCATTATAATCCATATTTATGTCTGAGAATATGTCTGTGTTTCTGTCCTCAGCTCCAGGAGAGACTCGAGCACAAAAACAGAGAGATGGACGTTCATACAGAAAGAAACTGTCGCCTGAAGCAGCTGGCGAGTCGGGCCAAACAGCTGGCCACGCTGCTGGAAGTAAGTCCCTCAGTAAAGTCCCCGTACGTTTGAGCCAAAAATGGCACATGCTGGTTGCCTCGCTTCTGTCAGTGTGCCCCAGGGCAGCTGCGGCACAGTAGTAGTTTATCACCACCGTGTTTGGAGTGAAAGATGTGAAGCGTCTTTTGAGTCAATTTTCTTCCCCTTAATCCATTTCTGGGTCGTGGGGGGTGGTGTCATTCAGAGCTGCACCCAGTACACATGGCACCAGCTCCTCACAGCTCCTCCTGCAGGTGCTGAGTCCACAGGAGCTGAGATCTTTCAGTGTGGGCTTCAGGCAAAGTGGGGTTAAGTGTCTTGCCCAAGGACACAACAACAGCAGTCATCAGTGGGAGTCGTGAAGTAGGTCCACGACCTTCAGGCCAAAAGGCCAATGCTTTACCAACTGAGCTACTGTCGACCCTATTATTATTATTTTTATTATTATTATTATTTTCCATCCATTTTCTTCCCCTTAATCCATTTCTGGGTCGGGGGGGTGGCAGTCAGAGCTGCACCCAGTACACATAGCACCAGCCCCTCCATATTGATTATTTTTATAGCCCTATGCATCACTTTTTGACTCTTTGGGCTTTCTCTTTGTCACTTTTCTGTCTGAAAAATCTAAATCTAAACATGTGACAGAGGCTGAAAATACGTGTACGTGAAAACTAGGAATGGAAAAACAATTGATAGATTTGAATTCATAGTTTCACTTTTTAAATTCTTTTCAACATTAACTATTGTACATTTTAATAAACATACCACATGTGTATTATTATTTTTATTCATCTTAATTGTCTTTTCCAGAAGCTGACGACCACGAGGGAGGCCAGTCCTGGAGGATCTTCCCCGCACACGGAGCTCCAAAGTCCCCCCAAACGCCAGCGCCTGGACGAGGGCTACGAGACCGAGCCGGACTCCGTGGAAGACCTGCTCCGGGACCTCAGCTCGCGATGCAACGCCGTCCTCCACAGCGCCGCCGGCGTAAAACCCGTCCGGACGTTTGGCTCCTTCTCCGGGCTGCGCACCTGCTTCTCGGACAGCGGCAGAGAGCAGAGCGGCACGGAGGGACCGGAGCGGCCAGAGGCAGAGTCGGGCTTCTCCCTCAGGGCATCGGTCCAGGAACACAGCACCATCCGGACGCTGGCCTTCCCACACGGACACGCCTTCACCACACGGACTCTGCGCGGCGGATACGGATTCCGATGGGTGCCCAACTGAACGATAATTAAAGCTGGGATCCTTAACTTTCAAACCACTAAAAATGCAACTGTGATAGTCTATGTAACTTCCGTTCCTCGCTCAGTTCTCTCAAGTTTTAATGTACTTTTTGGCCCCTGTCACCTCTTTAGATCAACTTTTTAAGACAGAAAAGTGAAAAAGAAAAACCCTCCCTCACTCAGCCAATCATCTCTCAGCCCAAAGCGTCAAATAGTGACTCACAGGGATCTTTCTATGGGTCACATTTTATTTTAGAGAGAGCCTGTGAGTCACTATTTAACGTTATGGGCTGAGAGCTGATTGGCTGAGCGAGGGAGGGCTTCTCGTTTTCACTTTTCTGTCTGGAAAAGATGTGACTGAGGCCAAAACATGCAGGTATGAGAGAACTAGTGATAGAGAAGAAGCCTGTCTCACATTTTCAGGAAGATTGTACCCAATTTTAGATGCATAAATCTGAAATTCTGCCTCCCCATGTTTAGTCCGGACTCTGGGACCAGCAGGAGACCAGTCCCTGTGCTCCTCAGAGTCTCAGCGAGGCCGAGTCCTAATCTTTTGAAGTATGATAGAGGCTCCCCGTGTTTAACTGAACTCCTGGTTGTTTAAGACGTGTAGATACTATTTATGGGTGAATTATTTTTTATTTAACATAAAAAACTCAATTATATCAATTACTCTTATATTACGCTTATGTACAGTGTTGGTCTTCATCATTTCTACATGTAATTTATTTGTCATTATTTTGATTAAATTATTTTTTATTATACAATTGTGAGCAGTTATTTTTGGAAACTTTAGTCACTTTGCAACCATCATTCTGAGTCCTGGGCTGGTCCTGAGCCTGGTCCTGGTTCTGGAGCTGGTCCTGAGCCTGGTCCTGTTGCTGGTCCTAAGCCTGGTTCTGGAGCAGGTGCTTGTCCTTGTCCTGGGCTGGTCCTGGTCCTGATTCTGGTTCTGGTCCTGGTCCTGGTTCTTCTGGTGCTGGTCCCATAGCCTGGTTCTGGTGCTGGTCCTGGTGCTGGTGCTTGTCCTCCTGGTCCTGGTGCTGGTCCCGAGCCTGGTTCTGGTCCTGCAGCTGGTTAAAGTTATATTCATAAGTTTTAGCGCTCATTAAAAGTGACAAAAGTAAAAAACGTCATAAAATACATACTTTTGATCAAACTGGTGATAACCTTCAGAATTCTACCGATTTGAGAGTTAGCTTCAAAATACTGTGAGTCCTGGTGATAATGAGGCTTTTCTGCCCAGTCAAAATATACACATTTGTTTGTTCGTTTGATAAATTGTCAATTACTATGGCAACTCATTTATCACCGTCCGTCACTGTGGACATGTGACAGGAGTGGACCAATCAGCAGCCGTCAGCCCCAAAGTGCTCAATCAGTCTATTTCCTCATCCGTCAATGATTATGTGATGATTTCCTCTGGTAGCAGCAGAAGCCGACGCTGCTGCTGTTTTTCTGCTCTGTCTGTTCTGTCTTATCCACACGGAAAACATATGTATTCACTAAAAATAAAAAATATGCTTGTTTTTTAAATGGCAAGTTTTTTTTTTTTGCTTGAATGTAGTTTGTGATAAGATTATTTTACTTGTTTTAAAATAATAATACTTCATAATCTTATGAGAGAAAAAGGTCTGAGCAGTGAGTTTTTAAGCTTGTTTCATTCTTTTTGTTTGGATTTAAAAAAAAAGTTTCATAAATAAGTAAATAATTCTTGAAATGTATGTTTTTAAACTGGAATCAAATTGTTTGGTGTTATTATCTTATTTTCAGAAATCGTGTCAAGTCATTTTTCATTGTGACATTTCTCCAGCGTGAGATCAATAACGTTTATCTAATCCTATCTTGTGTGTCTTTGTGAGGCAAGGCAAGACCAGGACGAGACCAAGACGAGACCAGGACGAGACCAGGACAAGACCAGGACAAGACCAAGACAAGACCAAGACAAGACCAAGACACGACCAGGACGAGACCAAGGCGAGACCAGGACGAGACCAGGACAAGACCAGGACGAGACCAAGACGAGACCAGGATGAGACCAGGACGAGACCTGGACGAGACCAGGACGAGACTAAGGCAAGACCAGGACGAGACCAAGACGAGACCAGGACGAGACCAGGACAAGACCAGGACGAGACCGGGACAAGACAGGACAAGACCAAGATAAGACCAGGACAGGACCAGGACGAGACCAAGACGAGACCAGGACAAGACCAAGACGAGACCGGGACAGGACCAGGACAAGACCAGGACGAGACCAGGACGAGACCAGGACAAGACCAAGACAAGACCAGGACAAGACAAAGACCAGGACGAGACCAAGACAAGACCAGGACAAGACCAGGACAAGACCAGGAGACGAGACCAGGACAAGACCAGGACAAGACCAGGACAAGACCAAGACAAGACCAGGACGAGACCAGGAAAAGACCAGGACAAGACCAGGACGAGACCAAGACAAGACCAGGACAAGACCAAGACAAGACCAAGACAAGACCAGGACAAGACCAAGACAAGACCAGGACAAGACCAAGACAAGACCAGGACAAGACCATCTGGTACTAGCTCGAAAAATGTCAGTTCAGTTCAATACAAATCCAATGTATTATTGTATGGCCCTAATTCACAGCAGTTGTTGTCTGAGCACTTTACAAAGTTGTGGATTCACCGACGCAGATCAGAAAATCAAACCGTTCAAACACAGAAAATACAACATGATCTGCAGGAGAGAGTGAGGAGGCGATGGAGCAGGAGCAGGAAGGATCACAACAGACACATGGGAAACATGAATAATTGTCAACACTTAATGTTAATCCACCAGACAAAGTTTCTGTAGAAAGAGAGAGACCAGAGAGAGAGAGAGACCAGGGAGAGACCAGAGAGGGACCAGAGAGAGAGAGAGAGACCAGAGAAAGAGACCAGAGAAAGAGACCAGAAAGAGGGAGATCAGAGAGAGAGACGAGAGAGAGACCTGAGAGAGAGAGATTAGAGAGAGAGAGACCAGAGAGAGACCAGAGAGAGAGACACGAGAGAGAGACCAGAGAATTTCAGAGAGAGATACAGAGAGAGAGACCAGGGAGAGAATCCAGTGAGAGACCAGAGAGAGAGAAACCATAGAGAGAGACCAGAGAGAGAGACCAGGGAGAGACCAAAGATAGACCAGAGAGAGAGACCGGAGAAAGACCAGAAAGAGACCCTCTCAAGTAGTGTCTGGTGGAAAATCCCACAGTCCTCCGTCTCTCAGGTGCAGGTCTCTGTCAGGTCCAGGTCTCTTTCTCCCCCCCCCCCTCTCTCTCTCTCTCTCTCTCTCTCTCTCTCCCTCTCTCTCTCCCCCTCTCTCTCTCTCTCTCTCTCTCTCTCTCTCTCTCTCTCTCTGGGCTGTGACCTTGGTCCTCGGGCTGTGTTTGGGGTCAGCACCTGAGCACACTCTGAGATGTTGACTCTGCAGCAGTGAAGTTACCTCCTCGGTCACGGTTCCCTGATCGCCTGATGTCTTCACAGTCTGCTGAACCCTGATTTGTCAATAGTAGTTTATTTGTTCGGTCATTTACACAAACCCTTTATGATCCGAGGAAAACACAAGTGATGGATGTCAACGGCTCTGACACTTCTCTATCTGGATCTTGATCGATCAGTTTAATGGTTTAAATGTTTAAGCCACACGGAAAGGTTTCTGCAGCTTGAATCCTGAGGAAGTACCATCACATTAGTCCTGACTAGAACCAGGAAGTACCATCACATTAGTCCTGACTAGAACCAGGAAGTACCATCACATTAGTCCTGACTAGAACCAGGAAGTACCATCACATTAGTCCTGACTAGAACCAGGAAGTACCATCACATTAGTCCTTGTCACTCCCGTATTCGTCCCGGAAACCGGATTCGTCCGGAAGTTCAGTTTGATCCAATGAGCACAGGCAGCAGTAGATTACGTCACGGAATCTGGACGGAAGCGGAAGTAAATATAAAAAACTACCTATTCATGCCTTAACTTAACCAGCCATTCCCATAAAATAACCCCAACCCAGCCGTAACCCTAAACATAACCATTTTAATCAGACGCCTAAACTTAACCAGTCACCACTTAAGGACATATTAAACTTTTTGACATGCGCAAACTGAACTTCCGGACAAATCCGGTTTCCGGGACGAATCCGGGAGTGACAGTCCTGACTAGAACCAGGAAGTACCATCACATTAGTCCTGGTCTCAGGTCTCTGCTTCCTGTGGCTCAGAGAATAGACTTTAAAGCTGCTCTGTTTGTTACAAGTCTCTCCAGGGCCTTGAACCAAAGTGACATGTTAGTACCATATGAACCAACTCTGAGGAGCACAGGGACCGGCCACCTGCTGGGACTCTGAGGAGCACAGGGACTGGCCTCCTGCTGGTCCCAGAGTCAGAACAAAACATGAGGAGGCAGCGTTTCAGCTAAAATTCTTTGCCCCCAGGAGAAAATAGTTGCCCATCCCTGCAATACACATATGCATCCATTCTATTATACTTTGGAAGAAATGGTTTATTTTACGTTTTGATAATGGTTGAAGAAAAAAATGTCATTAGTCGTGGGATAATGTAGGACTTAAACTATGCATGGAATGTCTTGCCAAAAGACACAGCGGCAGTTTTGGTCCATACACAGGTTATGTTTGAGTCATCATGCCGATGCAAGAATGTAGGACAGTGAAGATCTGAGACATTTATGGACAGTGGCCATGTCTGAACCACGTGTTTGTTATTATTGCATGTGTTAGAGCTGTTTGATTCTCTGATCTGTTGTTGACGAATTGACAACCTCCAATTAAACTGCTGTTGTGTTTAAGGCTGTGCAAAAATTACGTTGAATTTAAATGAATATCTGTCTTCATTCTGGAGGTGGTTTGCAGGTTGAGACCACATGAAGGTGAAGCTAAACCTCTCTCTCTGTGTGTGTGGGTGTGTTTGTGTCTGTGCGTGTCGCTGTGTGTGCGTGTGTGTGCGTGCATGTGAGTGTGTGTGTGTGTGTGTGTGTATGGGGGGTGGGGCTGCCGTCTCTCAGCCTCAGCCCGTGCGCAGATGCGGTGCGCACAGATGGAGGTGGCAGGCGCAGGTGGAGCGGACCGCGCGCTCTGCTGCCTGTGCGCGCGGGGAGAGGAGGGCGCGAACCCGGGACTGGAGCCTCACCCCCTCCTCACCCCGTCCTCACCCCTCCTGCTGTGAGCTGCTGTGTGGTAATGAGCCGAAGTTAAGTCAAAAAGAGCAAGCGACATCTATTGGTTTGTGTTTGTGTCAAAATGTTTTATATTGACTTTACAAAGAATCAAACTTGTAATAATAATAATAATAATAGTAATGATAATAATAATGATAATAATGTCCAGGATCATCACTGTCCTTAGACCCTCACGCATCGACAGCGGTAGATCCAGGACTGATCCAGGACTGAGGCTGTAGATCCAGCACTGAGGCTGTAGATCAAGGACTGAGGCTGTAGATCAAGGACTGAGGCTGTAGACCCAGGACTGAGGCTGTAGACCCGCAGGACTGAGGCTGTATAGAACCAGAACGGTGCAATGCCAAACTATACTGTGGATCATTCAAAGCTAAAAGACGCGGCCCTGTCCGTGATAAACCGTCATAAAAGCGGCTCAGAGTGCGTGTGCGTGTGTGTGTGTGTGTCTGTGTGTGTGTCTGTGTGTGCGTGTCTGTCTGTGTGTGTGTGTGTGTGTGCGTGTGTGTGTGCGTGTGTGTGTGCGTGTGTGTGCTCAGTCTCCATTAGAAACAAGACACAAAGAGAAAGACGCTCGTCGTCAAACAGTCAGGACGCGCGCTTCCCGCTCCGCTGTGCGCGTGCAGGGGCTATTTAGGAGGAGCGCTCGTGGAGGGGGGCAAGGTGCGCACGAGGCCCTGTCCCGTGTGAGATCAGAGAGAGATCAGTGAGAGGACGTCAGGCTGCGTGAGGACCGAAGGAGCGCAACCACAGGGTTCCCAGGTAATGTCAAACTACAATATTTGCTATAAACTTGTCCAAAACTAAAAGCCGTCAATATGACTGTTCTAGGAGCTCCAGCGCTAATATATCTTAAAACTTGTATCAAACTGTATTTTGGAAGAGCTTGTGAAACATTGCCTCTGGTCTTTCACTGGTCTCTCTCTGTTCTCCCTCTGGTCTCTCTGGACTCTCTCCCTGCTCTCTCTCTCTCTCTCTCCAGTTTCTCTCTCTGGTCTCTCTCTCTGGCGTCTCTGGTCCCTCTCTGGTTTCTCTCTAGTGCCTCTCTCTGGTCTCTTTCTAGTCTCTCTTTCTGGTCTCTCTCTGTTCTCCCTCTGGTCTCTCTGGACTCTCTCTCCGGTTTCTCTCTCTAGTCTCTCTTTTGGCAACTCTCTCTGGCGTCTCTGGACTCTCTCTCTGGAGTCTCTGGTCTCTTTCTGGTCTCTCTCTCTGGTCTCTCTCTGGTCTCTCTCTGGTCTCTCTCTGGTCTCTCTCTGGTCTCTCTCTGGTCTCTCTCTCTGATCTCTCTCTGGTCTCTCCTTCTGGGGTCTCTGGTCTCTCTCTGGTCTTCTCTCTGTCGTCTCTCCCCGGTCTCTCTCCGTCAATCTCTGGTCTTTTTTGAGTCTCTCTCTCAGGCCTCTCTGTCTCTAGTTTCTCTCTCTGGTCCCTCTCGAGTCTTTCTGGTCTCCCACTCAAGTCTCTTTCTGATATCTCTCTGGTCTCTCTCTGGTCTCTCTCTGGTCTCTCTCTCTGGTCTCTCCTTCTGGGGTCTCTGGTCTCTCTCTGGTCTTTCTCTCTGTCGTCTCTGGTCTCTCTTCCTGGTCTTTCTGGTGTAATTTAGTCTCATATCTCAACAGATTGAAAAGATTTCTCTCTCCTTGTGACCAGAGCGTCAGGATGAGGCACCTGTACGACACCAGGAAGACCAGTTTGGAGGTAAGACTTCCTGGTTTTGTCAGATTATTAGGAGCATAAAGATGACAGACCGGACCATGTGGAAATGTTGATGGTGTGCAAGATGCGTTTGAAAGTACCCAGGAAGAAATGTACTGTACATGTTTCAGATTCCAGGTTTATGAATGATCAGAAATCTCCATCCCCCAGTTTTCATCAGCGTCTGGTTTACATCTATGACAGCTCTGAGTCTTTTGTAGTTGTAGGTTCTTTATCCTCTCTGGTCTCTCTCTGGTCTCTCTATATTTCTCTCTTGTCTCTCTCTGGTCTCTCCCCGGTCTCTCTCCGTCAATCTCTGGTCTTTTTTGAGTCTCTCTCTCAGGCCTCTCTCTCTCTAGTTTCTCTCTCTGGTCCCTCTCGAGTCTTTCTGGTCTCCCACTCAAGTCTCTTTCTGATATCTCTCTGGTCTCTCTGGTGTCTCTCTCTGGTCTCTCTCACTGGTTTCTCTCTGGTGTCTCTTTCTGGTCTCTTTCTGGTCTCTCTCTGGTCTCTCTCTCTGGTCACTCACTGGTCTCTCAGTGGTCTCTCTGGTCTTGCTCACTGGTCTCGCACTGGTCTCTCTCTCTGGACTCTCTCTGGTGTCTCTCTCTGGTCTCTCTCTGGTGTCGCTCTCTGGTCTCTCTCTCTCTGGTCTCACTGGTCTCTCTCTGGTCTTGCTCTCTGAGTGGGTCTTCATGGTCCTGGTCGCTGGTGCGGTGGCAGTGTAATGTTAGCTGACTGTCTGTTCTTCAGCTCACACTGCAGTGCTGCTGTAACAGTCACATTCCAGCGCCCCCTGCAGGTGAAAGCTAGCTCCTGTCAGACCTCTGAAGCTAAGCAGGGCAGGGCCTGGTTAGTACTGTGATGGGAGACCTCTGGGAACACCAGATGCCACAGTGGGGCGGCTGTGGCTGTAAAGTGCCAAACTGTGGCTGTGTCCTTAGGCAAGACACTTCACCCACATTAGAATGAGTCTGGTGTGTGTGTGAATGGTTGGTGGTGGGAGTGGCCGATGGCAGAGACTGGTTGCCTCACTTCTGTCAAAGTGCCCCAGGGCGGCTCTGGCTACAATAGTAGTTTATCACCATAGAAAGACTAGTGCGAGACCAGAGAAAAGCCTGAGAGAGAGACCAGAGAAAGACCAGAGAGAGACCAGGCAGAGTCCAAAGAGAAAGACCAGAGAAAGACTGAAAGAGACCAGAGAGGGTGACCAGAGATACCCCATAAAGTCAGACCAGAAATGGAGACCAGAGAGAAAGACCAGAGAGAGACCAGAGAGAGACCAGAGAGAGACCAGAGAGGGAAACCAGAGAGTGACCAGAGAGATGTACAGCGTCATGTCTAGAGTTAGAGCGTCTTTGAGAGTCCGGAAAAGCATTATATAAAAAAAACGATGCATTGTTTTCATGTTCCCGTCCCATGGAGACAGTGGGCGGTGCGGAGGCAGTGTCTTGTTAGCTGGTTCGACCTGTACACACCAGCTTACTCGCTGCTGCCCTCACACCGTCCACACAACCGCAGCCACAACAGTCCACCGTAACCATGGAGACGACAAACTCATTCTGGCAGGGCTGGGTGTACTCCTGGGGTCCCGCAAGTCCAAGTTCTAATCCCAATCTTCTCTGACAATGTTCAAATCCAGGTTCAAAAAACAGTTTATGTCTTTACTCTTTTTAATGTACTGTGATTATTTATGATTTTGATGTCTTTTGTGATTGTCTTTGTCTTGTTTTGTTCAGCACTTTGAGTTGCCTTGTGTATGATTTGTGCTATACAAATAAACTTGGCCTGCCTTACAATATTTGAATGCATTTTTATACTTTAAGGTTTTTTGACTTGAGGATTACTGTAATTTTAGAGATTATTTTATCTAAATTTTTCTGAACAAAACTAGTTCATTTATCGTGTGTTTGGACTGAGCTAGCCTGGTATTAGTCGTCTGTAAACTCCGGCCCATTAGAATTTCCTATGTGTAAGTCTGGGTCTGATCCGAGTGGCCAATCAGAGAGCGGGGGAGGCGGGTGTTGTAGGCCGGTGTCGGTGAGGTCTAGAGTTTACGCTGAATTTGCTAGTTGCAGTTTAGAGACGATAGTAAATTAATCTGTTCTGGTTCAATCCAAATATAAAGAAATTAAAACCTGGAGCAAGAGGAATGTTTAGCAAAGGAGATGGCTAAAGCTAGGCTAAATGCTAAAACTCATTCGGGTCCATTATACACGTGACAGATCCAATCGTTTCCATCTGCAAAAGGAGTTAGCCCCTCCCACCTGTTATGGATGCGCAATGGAGCAAATCCAGACCTTAGTACGAAATGAAATAAGTACAATGGTGTGGTATGGATTGTTCTCTTGAGATTATCTAACTTAAAAATGAGGTACAACACACCATGGAGGCTCATATTAACCTGAGCCTCATTGCTGCAAGTTAATAATAATAGAAAATCATTCCAGGGGCCACTGAACATGAACTGACGGGCCGCATTTGGCTTGTGGGCCATGGGTTTGACACCTGTGCCTTAATGCTAACTCAAACAGACTATTGTCCCTTCCCGCTGCTAAGGCCAGGATTGACGACAGAAGGCTCCTGATTGGTCAGTTGTTCAGGCTCATACTGTAGCTGTATTTACAAAGACAATATCACATCAGAGAGAACAAAACCACAGAACGCAAAATATGGTGAGAGTGACACAAGCGGTTACTGAGCTAGACCTTTCAATGTACGTCAATGCCAGAGAGAGTTGGAGCAAAACTTCGTTCATGAGCACTTTTCTCATCCGGATTCAATGGGCTAGCGGGTTTGCATAGTCCATCTGTATACAGTCCACGATTCTAACACAAGAATATGTTTCGTTTTGAAGCATTTAATTTGTTACTTTAAGCCTCCGTGACAGAACCATTCTCATTGTAAGATAGGTGCAAAACTTCGTCCATGAGCGCTTTTCCCTATGGGGCTTCATTGAGCTAGCGGGTTAGCATTGCCATCTGTATACAGTCGATGAACAGAGTACAAGGTCTCAAAGCCACAAAAAAATCAACAGTTTATTTTAACAGGACAGAAAAGCAACATTTATTCGGTTTGAAACAAAATAGTAAAAAAAGGCACTTGTTTTGTTCTTGGTCACTTTTTAACAACTTAAGAAGAAAAATATAGTATTGCAATATTTCAACGTGTTTTTGATCTTTGAAAAGTCTCATTTTGTTTGGACTAATAAACATGTGAGAGTTCTGACCAATGGGTTTTTGTGGTTCCTGGTCATCTGCTCCCTATAGTCCCAATAGCTCCTGACCAGAGACCAGAGAGAGAGACCAGAGAGGGACCAGAGAGAGACCAGAGAGAGACCAGAGAGAGAGACCAGAGAGAGAGACCAGAGAGGGACCAGAGAGAGAGACCAGAGAGGGACCAGAGAGAGAGACCAGAGAGAGAGACCAGAGAGAGACCAGAGAGAGGCCAGAGATAGACCAGAGAGAGAGACCAGAGAGAGACCAGAGAGAGACCAGAGAGAGAGACCAGAGAGAGACCAGAGAGAGAGACCAGAGAGAGACCAGAGAGAGAGACCAGAGAGAGACCAGAGAGAGGCCAGAGAGAGACCAGAGAGAGAGACCAGAGAGAGACCAGAGAGAGAGACCAGAGAGAGACCAGAGAGAGAGACCAGAGAGAGATCAGAGAGAGAGACCAGAGAGAAACCAGAGAGAGAGACCAGAGAGAGACCAGAGAGAGACCAGAGAGAGAGACCAGAGAGAGACCAGAGAGAGAGACCAGAGAGAGAGGCCAGAGAGACACCAGAGAGAGAGACCAGAGAGAGACCAGAGAGAGAGACCAGAGAGAGGCCAGACAGAGGCCAGAGAGAGAGACCAGAGAGAGAGAGACCAGAGAGAGGCCAGAGAGACCAGAGAGAGGCCAGAGAGAGAGACCAAAGAGAGACCAGAAAGAGAGACCAGAGAGGGAGGCCAGAGAGACACCAGAGAGAGACCAGAGAGAGACCAGAGAGAGAGACCAGAGAGACACCAGAGAGACAGATCAGAGAGAGAGACCAGAGAGAGAGAACAGAGAGAAACCAGAGAGAGAGACCAGAGAGAGACCAGAGAGAGAGAGACCAGAAAGACAGATCAGAGAGAGAGAGACCAAAGAGAGAGACCAAAGAGAGACCAGAGACACACCAGAGAGAGAGAGACCAGCGAGAGACCAGAGAGAGGCCAGAGAGAGACCAGAGAAAGATACATTTGTTTCATTAATAAGTCTTCATAAAAACAAAGTTATGACAACCATGAATGTGAGTCCTAGTGTGAGATCATCGCAGTCTTTGTGATTCCCTGGTTGTGTCCACATGGTGATGGTCCGGTCCCGAGCTGATCCAGTTTCAGTCTTGGTGAGACCAGAGAGAGACCAGAGAGAGACCAGAGAGAGACCAGAGCTGATCCAGGCTATGATGATGTCATAGTTGATCCAGGCTCAGGGGTGATGATGTCATAGTTGATCCAGGCTCAGGGGTGATGATGTCATAGCTGATAGTGGTGATGATGTCATAGCTCGGCCCTCCTCTTCAGGATGATCTCTCGGACCAGAGCTCGGGCCTCTTCCCGTACGCTCTCCACAGACTCAGAGTTCTTCCAGAATCGCACCACTTTCCCGTCGGCGTTCACCAGAAACTTCCAGAAGTTCCACCGCACGGTCTGCTGCACGGAATCTAGAAATAATAGAAATTCTTCATGTCATACTTCTTAGTTGATAAGTTTTCAATGGATAGCCATGCTTCTAAATTCATTAAAACCCATGTGAAGTGGTTAGCCATGATTCCTAAGTTCATGAATAGTTTTGAAGAGGTTAGCTATGTGTCAAAGTAGATTTTTTTTGTTTTAGTTGTTAGCCATCTATCTAAGTTCATTCGTTTTTAAGTGGTTAGCCTTGCTTCTAAGTGAACTTATTTTGAAGTGGTCAGAATGATCCCTGGGAGTCACAATTTGACTCTTTGGGCAGAAGGAGGGGGGGTCCACGTGAAAACTAGTGATAGAAACTGTTGTTATTACATAGTTCAACATTGAGTGCTTTGAAATTTAGGTCCCCCAGCTTTAAACAAGCGTCTTACCTGTGAGGAACTTGAAGGCAGGGTCGGCCTCTTTGCCCAGAATCCTCACTTTACTGAAAAACGGGAACGTGACGCTGTACGTAGACCTGACGTACGCCTCCACGTCTCTGCTGGCGCCCGGTTCCGCGTCCCCGAACTGCGTGCACGGGAAACCCAGCACGTTGAAATGTGACGTTCCCAGCTCCCGGTGCAGCTCCTGGAGAAACCTGTAGTTCTCCTCCGTGTTGTCGCTGTAGCTCGCCACGTTTACAACCAGAGAGACCTAAAAACGTGACGAAAATACACTTTCAAAACTTGATCTAGAGGATAAAAATGCGTGTCTCTGATTGGCTACGTAATGCGTAAGTTTGAGACAGATACAGTTATAGCGCTATAGCTGCTGCTGATGTGGACCTAGGCTGCGTCCGAATTCGAGAACGATACCTCCTTGTTATCCTCCTTTTCTATTTCTTAACGTTCTGCATTGAATTTAATACAACAGTATAAAAATATGTGTCATTATCTATTAATCTATCAGCTTGAGCCACACCAAGTTTATGTATATGAATAAACGCAGACAAAAAGTGTAGTTAGTTTTAGTTAGTATTGCTTTTTGGACGCGGCCTTACTTTGCCTCGGTACTTCTCCAAGGAAAACGTCTTGCCCTTCGCGTCTTTTACGTCGAACGAGTAAAAATCCTTGAGCGTTTTGTGCCTGAATAGATGTGTTTGGAGGAGGAAGAGGCAGCCCACTCCCACGGTCATGCTCAGCAGCACCGTGAGGCGTTTGGATCTGGCCCGGGAGGACTTCACAGGGTAGCCCCCTAAAGCCTCCATATTGAAGGGGGAAGAACGAGCAGAGACGTGGAGGCGGCCCCTGGATCTGACACATGGGGCCAATGGGCTGGAGGTGGAGGAGGAATTCACGAACTTTTAGATTTACTTTATCATTGTTGATCCAGCTGGACAATATATACATCTGTTGTTATGAGTGAGTGTACTGTTAAGTTTTTGTTCATAGTAACAAGATAAGATAAGATAATTATTGATCTCACACTGGAGACATTTACATCACATTTGGCATGGATAGATAGACTCAGTTTGTGAAAAACATAGTGGTCAAAGGTTAAAAATATAGTCTGTGCAGGATGTAATTATGTGTGGTTATAAAATTAATTGAATTGTATCTATGTGTTTGTTAGTATTGCATTTTCACGTTTTTATGCCAAAAGAAAGAGTCGTAAAATTAAAATGTTGTGAACAAATCAGACCACACCATTCAATGTTTTTGTGTATAGCTCAAAATCACAACAGCAGTAAAGTCTCGGAGGACTTTACAAAGTTGTCGATTTGCCAAAAAACATATCAGATTCAGATTCATTTTATTTGCCATTTGCAGTAAAACCACATTGGAATGCATTAGCAAAAGTCCCCAGTGTGCACAAGTACAGACATAAAACAACATTAAAAGTACAGAAAAAAACAAACAAATAAAACAGTAAAACAATTGTCACTGTAAAAACGATCGACTAAAACAATTTCAATACAAAGTGCAAGATCATTAAAGTGCTCTGTTCAAACTTATGACAGCTTGTGGGAAGAAGCTGTTTGCATATCGAGATGTCCTGCATCTCAGAGAGCGATATCTTCTGCCAGAGGGAAGAAGCTGGAACATGACTTTCCCAGGGTGGCCAGAAGAGTCATTGACAATCCTAAGAGCTTTGTTTAAAAGTCTGGATTTATAAAGAACCTCCAGAACAGGAAGCTCACAGCCCACGGTCCTCTTTGCAGAGCAGAGCACCTTGTTTAAAGCTCTCTTTTCTTTATCTGTGATGTTTCCAAACCACACAGACACAGAACCAACAAGTAAACTCTCAATGGTGCAGCGATAAAAGTTAAGCACAATCTTAGAGTTAGTGGTAAAGTTTCCACAGAAAGAAGAGACGCTGACGAGCTTTCTTAACGACCCGGTCAGTGTTTTTAACCCATTTCAGGTCATTATCAGAGAATAATAAAGTTAAAACAGGAATATGTAATACTCATAAACACATAGATTCACTTCATTCTATTTTTGTATAAATAAATCACAAGAATTGTTATTGAGGAGGACTTTATAAAGGTATTGATTTGCCAAAACAGATCAGAGAATCAGTTGAGAACATATAACGATAAAAAAACAGGACTGATGCTGTGTAGACCCAGGACTGAAGCTGTAGATCCAGGACTGAGGCTGTAGACCCAGGACTGAAGCTGTAGACCCAGGACTGAGACTGTAGATCTAGGACTGAGGCTGTAGACCCAGGACAGAGGCTGTATATCCAGGACTGAGGCTGTAGACCCAGGACTGAGGCTGTAGACCCAGGACTGAGGCTGTAGATCCAGGACTGAAGCTGTAGACCCAGGACTGAAGCTGTAGATCCAGGACAGAGGCTGTAGATCCAGGACTGAGGCTGTAGATCCAAGACTGAGACTGTAGATCCAGGACTGAGGCTGTAGATCCAGGACTGAGGCTGTAGATCCAGGACTGAGGCTGTAGACCCAGGACTGAGGCTGTAGACCCAGGACTGAGGCTGTAGATCCAGGACTGAGGCTGTAGACCCAGGACTGAGGCTGTAGACCCAGGACAGAGGCTGTAGATCCAGGACTGAGGCTGTAGATCCAAGACTGAGACTGTAGATCCAGGACTGAGGCTGTAGATCCAGGACTGAGGCTGCAGATCCAGGACTGAGGCTGTAGATCCAGGACTGAGGCTGTAGACCCAGGACTGAGGCTGCAGATCCAGGACTGAGGCTGTAGATCTAGGTCCTTGACTGAGTTTATCTGTGGTTGTTTTCCAGGGGCAGAATGACAGATGCAGTTTCGCCTACAGATTGTTCAGGAGGAGGATTATCCAGAGGAGCGCGAGTGGGAGTCCTGCTGCTAGTACTCCTCTCTCCACTGGGGGGCAGCACAACCACAGCCACGTACTGGACAGCGTGCGTCAGAGGCTGTGGATGGACTCTCCTCCCAGAGACCAGACCAGATCCAAGTTCTCTCCACCCAAAGACCAGACCAGACCCAGGTCCTCTTCTCCCAGCTGGGACCAGACCAGACCCAGGTCCAGACTGTGTGAGCCTGGGACAGAGCCGCAAATGTGTCCTTGTGATGCTGGAGGTATTCAATTAAATTAAAGTTACTCTTCTCTGGTTGCGTATCCATTAAACGTTAGAATTAAACGTTAGGATTACATTTATCACCATATCCTAGCTACCTGTCGTTCATTCATCAATTCATTTTCTACCTCTTTATTAATTCAGTTCTGGGTCGGGGGGAACAAACCATTATCTGGGGAAATTCCTTGGTAACCATAGCTTCCAGCAGCACTTTTACAAATCACTGTCAGTTAAAGCAATTTAGTACCAGCTCGGCCTGGATAGATGACAGGGTAGAGTAGAGTAGAGTAGAGTAGAGTAGAGTAGAGTAGGGAAGAGTAGAGTAGAGTAGAGTAGGGAAGAGTAGAGTAGAGTAGAGTAGGGAAGAGTAGAGTAGAGTAGAGTAGAGTAGAGTAGAGTAGGGTAGAGTAGAGTAGAGTAGGGAAGAGTAGAGTAGAGTAGAGTAGGGAAGAGTAGAGTAGAGTAGGGAAGAGTAGAGTAGAGTAGAGTAGGGTAGAGTAGAGTAGAGTAGAGTAGAGTAGGGAAGAGTAGAGTAGAGTAGAGTAGGGAAGAGTAGAGTAGAGTAGAGTAGGGAAGAGTAGAGTAGAGTAGAGTAGAGTAGAGTAGGGTAGAGTAGAGTAGAGTAGGGAAGAGTAGAGTAGAGTAGAGTAGGGAAGAGTAGAGAAGAGTAGAGTAGAGTAATGTAAAGTAGTGTAGAGTAGAGTAGAGTAGAGTGGAGTAGGGAAGAGTAGAGTAGAGTAGAGCTAAGTAATCTGGTGGAATCGAGGCTCTATCATTACTGCCCTTTTTCACAGTTTTTGAGAATATTTTGAAGTATTTGCACATTTAATACAACTTATGTGTGTGTTTTGTGTGTTTTTTGTGTGTTTTTTTGTGTGTTTCTTCAGCACAAAGACGCGCTGTGAGAAGAGGAGCGACAAAAGCGCGCAGAGCTCCGCGGGACATGGCCTCGGTCGGTCCCACAGTCTCACCCTCCTCATTCTCTCACTGCTGTGTCTGAACAAAACCTCAAAACCAAAGATTTGAAAAAGTGAAAACGTGTGTGAGAAATAATAAGAGAACATTATTACTCTAGAGATTCAGTAATAGTAGTAGTAGTTGGAGTAGTAGTAGTAGTAGCATTAGCAGTAGTAGCAGCAGTAGTAGTAGCAGTAGCAGTAGTAGCAGTAGTAGAAGTAGTAGCAGCAGTAGCAGTAGTAGTAGCAGCAGTAGCAGTAGTAGCAGTAGTAGTAGCAGCAGCAGTAGTAGCAGTAGTAGAAGTAGTAGCAGCAGTAGTAGCAGCAGTAGCAGTAGTAGTAGCAGTAGCAGTAGTAGCAGTAGTAGAAGTAGTAGCAGCAGTAGTAGTAGTAGTAGCATTAGCAGTAGTAGTAGTAGCAGTAGTAGTAGCAGCAGTAGCAGTAGTAGCAGTAGTAGTAGCAGCAGTAGCAGTAGCAGTAGTAGTAGTAGCAGCAGTAGTAGCAGCAGTAGCAGTAGTAGTAGCAGTAGCAGTAGTAGCAGTAGTAGAAGTAGTAGCAGCAGTAGCAGCAGCAGTAGTAGCAGTAGTAGAAGTAGTAGCAGTAGTAGTAGTAGCAGTAGTAGTAGTAGTAGCAGCAGTAGCAGCAGCAGTAGTAGCAGTAGTAGAAGTAGTAGCAGTAGTAGTAGTAGTAGTAGCAGCAGTAGTAGTAACAGTAGTAGTAGCATTAGCAGTAGCAGCAGTAGCAGTAGTAGCAGTAGCAGCAGTAGCAGCAGCAGCAGTAGCAGCAGCAGTAGCAGTAGCAGTAGCAGCAGTAGTAATAGCAGCAGCAGCAGTAGCAGCAGCAGTAGTAGCAGCAGCAGTAGTAATAGCAGTGGCAGCAGCAGTAGTAGCATTAGCAGTAGTAGTAGTATAGTAGCAGTAGTAGTAGTAGTAGCAGTAGTAGCAGCAGCAGTAGTAGTAGTAGCAGTAGTAGTAGCAGCAGCAGTAGTAGCAGTAGTAGCAGCAGCAGTAGTAGTAGTAGCAGTAGTAGTAGCAGCAGTAGCAGTAGTAGCAGTAGCAGTAGCAGTAGTAGTAGTAGTAGTAGTAGCAGCAGCAGTAGCAGCAGCAGTAGTAGCAGCAGCAGTAGTAGTAGCAGTAGCAGCAGCAGTAGTAGCATTAGCAGTAGTAGTAGTATAGTAGCAGTAGTAGTAGCAGCAGCAGTAGTAGCAGTAGTAGCAGCAGCACCAGTAGTAGTAGCAGTAGCAGTAGCAGCAGTAGCAGTAGAAGTAGTAGCAGTAGTAGCAGCAGTAGCAGTAGCAGCAGTAATAGTAGCAGCAGTAGCAGCAGTAGTAGTAGTAGAAATAGTAGTAGTAGCAGCAGTAGCAACAGTAGCAGTAGCAGCAGTAGTAGTAGCAGTAGTAGTAGCAGCAGCAGTAGTAGCAGTAGCAGCAGCAGTAGTAGCAGTAGTAGCAGCAGCAGCAGTAGTAGTAGCAGTAGTAGTAGCAGCAGCAGTAGTAGCAGTAGTAGCAGCAGCAGTAGTAGCAGTAGTAGCAGCAGCAGTAGTAGTAGTAGCAGTAGCAGTAGTAGCAGCAGCAGTAGTAGCAGTAGTAGGGGTGCGTACCGATGTTCCCCGGGTCCGATGTTCCCCGGGTCCGATGTTCCCCCACTTCTATAGGCGGGGGAACATCGGACCCGGGGAACATCGGTACTTCGCGTATTAAAAAGTCCCGATGTTCCCCGGGTCCGATGTTCCCCCGCCTATAGAAGTGGGGGAACATCGGGACTTCAACAACGAGACAAGTCCCGCTGTTCCCCGCGTGCGCGCTTTGATGTTTGATGTTTCCTCCTCCACGAAAGATGGCATATGATCCGCGCCAACTTTTGTGAGAGAGAAAATACGAACTAGCCTAAGCCTATTTACTTTTCTTTTTCCCTCTCGCTCTTTGTGTGCTCATATTTCAGCTGATCGCAGCTTGAGTCTATGCAGGATATTTTTGGCCATGTTATGGGCATGTTATCTCCCCTTGCTCACTCTCCCATGGGCATCTATATTTGACAAGTCTGACTGAATAAAATGAGGACGATTGAAACTAGAGCTACTACATCTGTTAGCCTATAGTTTTTCCAAATACGTGGTTTTGCTGAGGGCACTGTGCTTTTACGCATAATGGACACGCATATGACGTCGTTTTTGTTGTAAAACTTGAATATGCTCTTTTAGTTTTAGAGATATTAATACATATTATTCTATTCAGAATGCGTGCGTCATTGTGCATTGTTGTCCCGCCTTACGTGTCACTCACAGTTAAAATGTAAATAACCAATTCAAACATAGCATTTTTACAACTTGAACTTTAAGAAAAAAATGATCAAAGGAATCAGTGTGAAATAAGATCGGAAAAGCTCAATTCATGATTGTTTAATTAGGTTTCCCATTTTTAAATACAATTGGAAACGCTCAGAATTCAAAAATATTGAAAAGTGTATTGGCTCCTACAGTGGGGGGAATAATAATAATAATTATAATAATAATATAACCCCCTGAGCGTCATCACGTTCCTACGTTGCTTCAAATATAGTCCTGTTTATTGGCTGAACAATTTTGTCCAATATCATATCACACAGCGTGAAGCGAGAACAACCAGCTATTCCTCGTCTTAAAGATTGACAACGCTCTCAAAGCATTCACAACAGAGCAGCCTTTTTCATTTTAATTTTAAGAAAGTTCAGCGTGAACTTTGTGAGGTAGAGTAGCCAGAGGCCCGGGCCCGTAGGTCCCAGAGGAGGAGAGCGCGGTCAGGCCAGGCTCGCCTTGCACTGATGAGGTAAACTCTATAGGCCTGTGTGAGACACACTGTGGGCCTCACTGTGGGCCTCACTGTGGGCCTCACTGTGGGCCTCACTGTGGGCCTCACTGTAGGCCTCACTGTGGGCCTCACTGTGGGCCTCACTGTAGGCCTCACTGTGGGCCTCACTGTAGGCCTCACTGTGGGCCTCACTGTGGGCCTCACTGTAGGCCTCACTGTGGGCCTCACTGTGGGCCTCACTGTGGGCCTCACTGTGGGCCTCACTGTAGGCCTCACTGTGGGCCTCACTGTGGGCCTCACTGTGGGCCTCACTGTGGGCCTCATGTATGAAACCTGCGTACGGCCAAATCAGGGTAAATGAGGCGTACGCAAAATATTACACTTTTCCGCATTTATCTATCTGGACGTGAGCGTACAATACGCAAAAAATAAACGCCAGGTCTGGAGGTGGTGTAAATACGCTGAACTCAACCTTCGGCACAACACGCATGAAATTCAAGATATGTACAACAATAAACATATTCCCTCTGGCAAAATTATATGCTGTGTTTTCATTGAGGATCATGTTTCAAAATTTGAATTTGCGCATCAGAAAAAGTCTAATGGAAACACGCAAACTTCGAATAAATCACAGCTCATGATGAGGACCCTCTATTAAATCTGACTTGTGTGTGTATTATTTTGATCTGTATGTTTTTTAAAATGTGAAGTGCTTTGTGATCCTGGACAGTGAAAGGCTCTATATAAATACACTTTACGCAACAGGGATGTGTGACCCATCTATTGCTGTGGCAGGCTCTGCGCTGCGTAATTACGCACGGCTATTTGTATTCCTCATTCACATCTGGTAAAGCAATGTGTTATTTCATTAGATTTGTGTAAGCCTCACACAGCCACACACCCCAATAACGCATCGATGGTATTGCTCACTCAAACGTCTCACTGCCCTGTCCAGAGTGCGCAGCGAGTGCCGTGAGAGGTCGCGCCACATGTGCAGAAGTTTTGGCTCCAGAGTTTCTTTGTGAAATCTGGACCGCAAACGCTCTCTGAAGTGTACAGCGCCTCAATGCGCACTTCTATCCCGAGCCAGGCTGCGTCCAAGACGCTGCAGACGCTTCATTCATGAGAGCCACCGCTGCATAATATATATGAATTAATTAATTAATTCAATCAATCTATATTTATTCACTTCTACAATTCAAGAAGGATTTTTCTAATGTATCAAAACATTTTGGCTGCTAATCTGCAGGCCTACCCAAAATTGCAAACCTGGCGCCGATACTGTTGCGAGGATGAACGGAGGGAGATATGTTTCCAAAAAGAAAAGGTGGTGGAGCTAATTTTACTTTTCTTATCTGCAACACGTTCTTATTCTGAGGTGGTAGGTTGGAAAAATGTAGTTGGCTACTACAATGCGAGATCTACAAGGCTTATAATATAAAGTATTCAGTAGCCCTAGACTAGTTATGAGCGAAAGCCGCTTGTTGCTCCATTATCCGCGCGCAGCAATAACATGTATGAGCGAGGCCCGCAGTCGGGGAACACCGGGCCCTCCGGCGTTTGGAAGGTCCGATGTTCCCCGGGTCCGGTGTTCCCCGCCCCGGGGAACTCCGGACCCGGGGAACACCGGACCCGGGGAACACCGGACCCGGGGAACATCGGACCCGGGGAACATCGGGGTGACCCCCAGTAGTAGCAGCAGCAGTAGCAGCAGTAGCAGTAGTAGTAGCAGCAGTAGTAGTAGTAGCAGTAGTAGCAGCAGCAGTAGCAGTAGCAGCAGTAGCAGCAGTAGTAGTAGCAGTAGTAGTAGAAATAGTAGTAGCAGCAGTAGTAGTAGCAGTAGTAGTAGAAATAGTAGTAGCAGCAGTAGTAGTAGTAGTAGTAGTAGAAATAGTAGTAGTAGCAGTAGTTTTTTGCTCCATCCATATCCAAAAGTACAGATTAACTACATTAAAACCTGTGTATTTTTGATATCAGGTTGTAATGTCCGTCTTCTGCCACTAGATGGAGCACTTTCTTTTCCCCATTACAGAAATGAAGATCAGGGCGATGTCTTTTTGTTTTAAATTAAAGCTGGGGTCCCTAGGTTTTTGTTTCACAGATAACACATGAAGTTTGTCCGAGTAGAAAGAGTCAGACCACAACATTCTGTCTCTTTCTTTTTGTAAAACACGTTATATTTTCTACATGACAGAGGTCAGAAATACATGTGAAAATATGTAGTATATATTGTTTGGAGAAAAAGGAACTATTGTGCAAAATTACCCATAATTCCTTGTTATATGGATTGTATTGCATAGTTAATTATTGTGTGGTTTGAAAGTTACATACCCCAGCTTTAATGGATGTTTATTTTTTCTGCAGACGATGGTGTGGAGACCAGTTGGAGGCGATCGCGATGGAACCCACAGTCCTGGTACACCATCATAGAAATTATTTTTAAAAACAAAATTACACACCATTTATTGCTGCTTAAACTGAGAGAATCCAACTTAGCATAGTTCTACACCTACAGTCTCAGTCCTGGGTCTACAGTCTCAGTCCTGGGTCTACAGCCCCAGTCCTGGGTCTACAGCCTCAGTCCTGGGTCTACAGCCTCAGTCCTGGATCTACAGTCTCAGTCCTGGGTCTACAGCCTCAGTCCTGGGCCTACAGCCTCAGTCCTGGATCTAAAGCAGCCTCAGTCCTGGATCTACAGCCTCAGTCCTGGATCTAAAGCAGCCTCAGTCCTGAATCTACAGCCTCAGTCATAGATCTACAGCCTCAGTCCTAGATCTACAGCCTCAGTCCTGGGTCTACAGCCTCAGTCCTGGATCTAAAGCAGCCTCAGTCCTAGATCTACAGCCTCAGTCCTGGGTCTACAGCCTCAGTCCTGGGTCTACAGCCTCAGTCCTGGATCTACAGCCTCAGTCCTGGATCTACAGCCTCAGTCCTGGGTCTACAGCCTCAGTCCTGGATCTACAGCCTCAGTCCTGGGTCTACAGCCTCCAGTCCTGGGTCTACAGCCTCAGTCCTGGGTCTACAGTCCTGGTGAAAATCTCAACATGGATATCATCGATCTTTCTCACATTTTTTCCCATTTGTTCTTTTTACCCTTGTCGATCCAGGACATGTATTAACATTTGTAGACTGTGGTCACCCTGCTTCTCTTTGGACCAATGGCTCCTTTGTGTTGGAACTGTTTAATTCTCTGATTTGTTGTTGTCGAATCAACAACTTTGTAAAGTAGTCCAAGACAATTGAATGGAATATCCTTCTCTCTCTTTCTTTCTGTAGGTTCAGATGTTCAACCGTTTTCTGTTTTGAGTCCAAAGTCCGAGTCACACACGCGGCTCGCTGCACCATCGCTGCTCGACGACTACTGTAAGCTTTGGATTTACTTTTACTGCAAAAAATATGTTTGTTTGTCCTTTAGACGCATGTTTGAGACAGTGAGAGATCCAGGACTGAGGCCGTAGATCCAGGACTGAGGCTGTAGATCCAGGACTGAGGCTGTAGACCCAGGACTGAGGCTGTAGTTCCAGGACTGAAGCTGTAGATCCAGGACTGAGACCGTAGATCCAGGACTGAGACCGTAGATCCAGGACTGAGACCGTAGATCCAGGACTGAGACCGTAGATCCAGGACTGAGACCGTAGATCCAGGACTGAGACCGTAGATCCAGGACTGAGACCGTAGACCCGGGACTGAGGTTGTAGATCCAGGACTGAGGCTGTAGACCCAGGACTGAGGCTGTAGATCCAGGACTGAGGCTGTAGACCCAGGACTGAGGCTGTAGATCCAGAACTGAGGCTGTAGACCTAGGACTGAGGCTGTAGACCCAGGACTGAGGCTGTAGACCCAGGACTGAGGATCTACGGCCTAAATAGTTACCCTCATTTCCACCTCAGTTGTATCACTCTTTCGTCACAGACACTAACCTTCTGGACTGCAGTGTTGACGGTCTGGTGGCTCTGGCGCTGGGATCCTCGGTCTACCTTTGGAACTCACACACCCGAGCTTTAGTTGAGCGTCTGTGCTCCAGTCCGCCTCCAGGACAGAGCTCTCACAGCCGCTCGGTCCTCAGTCTGAGCTGGAGCAGCGACGGCAGAACGCTCTGTGTCGGGAACCGCAGCGGAGACGTGGAGGTACCAGAAGCACCACGGATGTAAACGTGATTAAAGCTGGGGTACCTAACTTTCAAACTACACATAATGAACCATGGATTCAAAACAGTTGGCTTCTATTGAATCCGGGACTGAGGATGTAGATCCAGGACTGAGGCTGTAGACCCAGGACTGAGGCTGTAGATCCAGGACTGAGGCTGTAGATCCAGGACTGAGGCTGTAGACCCAGGACTGAGGCTGTAGACCCAGGACTGAGGCTGTAGACCCAGGACTGAGGCTGTAGACCCAGGACTGAGGCTGTAGACTCAGGACTGAGGCTGTAGATCCAGGACTGAGGCTATAGACCCAGGACTGAGGCTGTAGATCCAGGACTGAGGGTGTAGATCCAGGACTGAGGCTGTAGACCCAGGACTGAGGCTGTAGACTCAGGACTGAGGCTATAGACCCAGGACTGAGGCTGTAGATCCAGGACTGAGGGTGTAGACCCAGGACTGAGGCTGTAGACCCAGGACTGAGGCTGTAGACTCAGGACTGAGGCTATAGACCCAGGACTGAGGCTGTAGATCCAGGACTGAGACCGTAGATCCAGGACTGAGGCTGTAGATCCAGGACTGAGGCTGTAGATCCAGGACTCAGGCTATAGACCCAGGACTGAGGCTGCAGATCCAGGAGTGAGGCTGTAGATCAGGGACTCAGGCTGTAGATCCAGGACTGAGGCTGTAGACCCAGAACTGAGGCTGTAGATCTAGGACTTAGGCTGTAGATCCAGTACTCAGGCTATAGACCCAGGACTGAGGCTGTAGACCCAGAACTGAGGCTGTAGATCTAGGACTTAGGCTGTAGATCCAGGACTGAGGCTGCAGATCCAGGACTGAGGCTGTAGATCCAGGATTCATGTCTCATTTATGACACAAAAAAGTGTGTCATGAAGGCAAAAAAATTAACAAAAATAATGTGTGATATTTCTTCTTTATCTGCGGAGTCACTCTGGTCTTGTGTGTGTCCTTCAGCTGTGGGACGTGCATCGCGCTCTGGTTCTCAAACTGTGGTCCCATCAGGCCGCGGTCAGAGCTGTGTCCTGGAGGCAGGACGTGGTCAGCAGGTGGGTCCAAAGTCACACAGAGAAGGAGACACAAACGTGACACTAAAAAGCAAGATACTCACAGACAAATGTTTATATAAATACACAACAAAAGCACCAAAATAAGTAAGGATTAAACAACTGTCCAAAAATGTTAAAATTCACCTTGAAATCCATGTCCATCCAGCGTTATTAGTCGCTACGGCTTGTCTCCTGATTGACAGTTGTTACAGTTACTATGGCAACAACTGTGGAGTGATTCAGACCATGATTTTAAACTTACCAGAACTACATGTGCGTGTATGGGACAATAATGCACGGCAGTTAGCGTTGGAATTCTCACAGACCATGGTAAAACTGGATGATAATGTTCAATTAAACATAGATAATAAGTTTTAAAAATATTAGTATTATCTTATTTCATGTACAAAAGGGAGTGGGAAGAAGAAGAAACTGTCTGTGAGTAAAGTTAACTTACTTCAATGTTTTTCAAAGTGATTCACGTTTGACCATGGAACAAAGTCACAAAGTGAGACGGTAGAAAACTAAAGACTAAGTTCAACAGCGACACCAAAACTAAGAAACAACAACCACATGTGTTACCTTTGCATGCACTGGCAAGGAAGAGCCCTGTAACTCACCAGAGTAGGGTAGAGCAGAGTAGTGTAGGGCCGACTAGAGTAGAGTAGAGCAGACTAGAGTAGAGCCGAGTAGAGTAGAGTAGAGTAGAGTAGGGTAGAGTAGAGTAGAGTAGAGTAAAGTAGAGTAGAGTAGGGTAGAGTAGAGTAGAGTAGAGTAAAGTAGAGTAGGGTAGAGTAGGGTAGAGTAGAGTAGAGTAGGGTAGAGTTGGGTACAGTAGAGTAGAGTAGGATAGAGTAGAGTATAGTAGAGTAGGGTAGAGTAGGGTAGAGTAGAGTAGAGTAGAGTAGGGTAGAGTTGGGTACAGTAGAGTAGAGTAGGGTAGAGTAGAGTAGAGTAGAGTAGGGTAGAGTAGGGTAGAGTAGAGTAGAGTAGAGTAGGGTAGAGTTGGGTACAGTAGAGTAGAGTAGAGTAGAGTAGAGTAGGGTAGAGTTGGGTACAGTAGAGTAGAGTAGGGTAGAGTAGAGTAGGGTAGAGTAGAGTAGAGTAGGGTAGAGTTGGGTACAGTAGAGTAGAGTAGGGTAGAGTAGAGTAGAGTAGGGTAGAGTTGGGTACAGTAGAGTAGAGTAGGGTAGAGTAGAGTAGAGTAGGGTAGAGTAGAGTAGGGTAGAGTTGGGTACAGTAGAGTAGAGTAGGGTAGAGTAGAGTAGGGTAGAGTTGGGTACAGTAGAGTAGAGTAGGGTAGAGTTGGGTACAGTAGAGTAGAGTAGGGTAGAGTAGGGTAGAGTAGAGTAGAGTAGAGTAGAGTAGGGTAGGGTACAGTAGGGTACAGTAGGGTACAGTAGGGTACAGTAGGGCTGGTGGAAACAGGGCTATAGATTGCATCACATTGATCTATCATCTGTGGTTTGATTTCCCTCGTCTCTGTTTGCAGTGGTTCGGTCCTGGGACTGGTCCAGCACCAGGACCCGCGGGGGGGAGGTCCCGTGGGGTCTGTGTCGGTGCAGGGCGGGGTCTGTGGTCTGCAGTGGTCTGAGGCGGGACAGCTGGCCTGTGGCACGGTCCAGGGCCAGGTCCACATATGGGACAAAAACACTTATTTACAACCACCTGTGATTACTCTGGACCTGCCCTCATCTGTCAAGGTCTGAGAGAGACCAGTGAGAGACCAGAGAGAGACTAGAGAGAGACCAGAGAGAGAGACCAGAGATAGACCAGAGAGAGACCAGAGAGAGACCAGAGAGAGACCAGAGAGAGAGACCAGAGAGAGACTAGAGAGAGACCAGAGAGAGAGACCAGAGAGAGACCAGAGAGAGACCAGAGAGAGAGACCAGAGAGAGACTAGAGAGAGACCAGAGAGAGAGACCAGAGAGAGACCAGAGAGAGACCAGAGAGAGACCAGAGAGAGACTAGAGAGAGACCAGAGAGAGAGAGACCAGAGAGAGACCAGAGAGAGACCAGAGAGAGACCAGAGAGAGACTAGAGAGAGACCAGAGAGAGAGACCAGAGATAGACCAGAGAGAGACCAGAGAGAGACCAGAGAGAGAGACCAGAGATAGACCAGAGAGAGACTAGAGAGAGACCAGAGAGAGAGACCAGAGAGAGAGACCAGAGAGAGACCAGAGAGAGACCAGAGAGAGGGACCAGAGAGAGACTAGAGAGAGACCAGAGAGATAGACCAGAGAGATAGACCAGAGAAAGACCAGAGAGAGACCAGAGAGAGACTAGAGAGAGACCAGAGAGAGACCAGGGAGAGACCAGAGAGAGAGACCAGAGAGAGATCAGAGAGAGACCATAGAGAGACCAGAGAGAGACTAGAGAGATAGACCAGAGAGATAGACCAGAGAAAGACCAGAGAGAGGCCAGAGAGAGACTAGAGAGAGACCAGAGAGAGACCAGAGAGAGACCAGGGTGAGACCAGAGAGAGACCAGAGAGAGACCAGGGAGAGACTAGGGAGAGACCAGAGAGTGGCCAGAGAGTGACCAGAGAGAGATCAGAGAGAGACCAGAGAGAGAGACCAGAGAGAGACCAGAGAGAGGCCAGAGAGAGACTAGAAAGAGACCAGAGAGAGACCAGAGAGAAACCAGAGAGAGAGACCAGAGAGAAAGACCAGAGAGAGTAGAGAGAGTAGAGAGAGACAAGATAGAGACCAGAGAGAGACCAGAGAGAGACAAGAGAGAGACCAGAGATTGAAGCTAATATATTGCGTCTCTCTGTAGGCGATGCAGTGGTGTCCATGGCAGCAGAACACCATAGCAACCGGTGGAGGATGGAGAGACGGAGCAGTGAGGATCTGGGACACAACGTCTGGGACCTGCCTCAGCTCCGCCCAAACCAACTCTCAGGTTTAGCTCGTTCTGGTCCTTTCATATTTTAGATTTACGGCGAATGTAAGGTAATATGTTCCTTGTGGTTTCAGATCTGCAGTCTTCGATGGACGGGACAGAAGCAGAGGCTGGTTACGGGCCACGGCGTACCCCAACATCACATCACATCCTGGGTCTGGGACCAGCAGGATCTGACCCTGACTCACCAGAACTTAGGTGATTTAGATCCACATAAGCAACTGAAATATACAGTGTCTCCCATCACAGTAAGAACCAGGCCCTGCCCTGCTTAGCTTCAGAGAATTGGGTGTTTGGTTTGGTTTGGCTGTCTAAACTACTGCCGCAGTTTAAAAAAAACTAGGTGGTAAGGCAGGTTCAATGCTGAGTAGTTTCAACTCACCAGCCTGTGTTGCTCTAGTGATAAGAAAAAGCCGATTTGGGGGTTTTTTAGACGATAAATCTGTGTTTTTAGACAATACATTTATGTTTTTGGATGACACATCTGTGTTTTTAGACGACACATCTGTGTTTTTGGACAATACATCTGTGTTTTTAGACAATACATCTGTGTTTTTAGACGACACATCTGTGTTTTTAGACGATACATCTGTGTTTTTAGACGATACATTTATGTTTTTGGACGATACATCTGTGTTTTTAGACGATACATTTGTGTTTTTAGACGATATATCTGTGTTTTTAGACGATACATTTGTGTTTATAGACGATACATCTGTGTTTTTAGACGATATTTCTGTGTTTTTAGACGATATATCTGTGTTTTTAGACAATACATTTGTGTTTATAGGCGATACATCTGTGTTTTAAGACAATGGACGATACATCTGTGTTTCTGGACGATACATCTGTGTTTCTGGACGATACACCTGTGTTGCTGGACGATACACCTGTGTTTCTGGACGATACACCTGTGTTTCTGGATGATACATCTGTGTTTCTGGACGATACACCTGTGTTTCTGGACGATACACCAGTGTTTCTGGACGATACACCCGTGTTTCTGGACGATACACCTGTGTTTCTGGACGATACACCCGTGTTTCTGGACGATACACCAGTGTTTCTGGACGATACACCCGTGTTTCTGGACGATACACCCGTGTTTCTGGACGATACATCTGTGTTTCTGGATGATACATCTGTGTTTCTGGACGATACACCCGTGTTTCTGGATGATACATCTGTGTTTCTGGACGATACACCTGTGTTTCTGGATGATACATCTGTGTTTCTGGACAATACACCTGTGTTGCTGGACGATACACCTGTGTTTCTGGACGATACACCTGTGTTTCTGGACGATACACCTGTGTTCTTGTGTGTATGCCTCCTAGTAGAGTATATTTAGTAGAGAGGTTACAGACTGAATAAAAGATGGTATTTTTGTTTCAGGTCATTCCAAACGTGTCCTGCATCTGGCCCTGAACAGAGACGGCTCCCAGATGTTCTCAGCCGCAGCAGACCAGTCCCTGCGAGTCTGGGACCAGATGTGATTCTCTGTTTGTGCTTCTTTATCACATGACGACACATTCTATTTTTAGATTATAATCATAACTGGGGAGGTGGAGGAGGTTCTTTATCCTCTGGTCTCTCTCTTTCTGGCCTCAGTCTCTGGTCTCTTACAAGTCTCTCTCTTGTCTCTCTGGTTTCTCTCAGCAGTCTCTCTGGCCTCACTCTAGCCTCAGTCTCTGGTCTCTCTCTAGTCTCTCTCTTGTTTGTCTCTCTCAGTTCTCTCTCTCTCTGGTTTCTGCTCTCTCTCTGGTCTCTCTCTGCTCTTTCTGGTCTCCCTCTTCTCTCTCTCTCGCTCTATGTTCTCTCTCTCCCTCTGGTCTCCCTAGTCTCTCTCTGTTCTTTCTGGTCTCCCTCTACTCTCTCTCTCTCTTTGTTCTCTCTAGTCTCTCTCTCTGATGATAAATCTCTCATTCCGCTCTGCAAAAACCCTCCAGTTCCCTATAAATTCCTGGGCCGCCTTGGATCAACTGCACATTTGAGATCTCCCCAGTCAGCGCGAGTCTGAGACAATATATGTGTGTCTGTGTGTGCTTTTTATCACACAATGACACATGAAGGAGGTGAAAAGGAAACCAGCCAAACCACAATTGCTACTTTGTTGCTTTGTTGTGTGTGAATAATTCAGTTTCCGCTTCTGTGCCTTTAAAGAAGTCGGTGGTATTTCTCTTGAACATAGACTGTTATTTCTTCGTCTGAAATGATTGTCTTTGGATGTCAGAAACAAAGAGAGCGTCATCTGTCACCTCCAGTGTAGCAGTAATACTGGACTCAACAACCAGATCAGTAACATCTGCAGATTTTTAACAGCAAAAAACAAAAGCCAGAATCAAAAACATAGTGTCTAAAACAGACTTGGAGATTCTTTTCTATGCTTTTGACTCCAGTAGGTTAGACTACTGTAATGGCTGCTCACGGGTCTCCAAACTTTGCAGCTCGAGTCCTGACTAGAACCAGGACGTACCATCACATTAGTCCTGACTAGAACCAGGACGTACCATCACATTAGTCCTGACTAGAACCAGGAAGTACCATCACATTAGTCCTGACTAGAACCAGGAAGTACCATCACATTAGTCCTGACTAGAACCAGGAAGTATCATCACATTAGTCCTGACTAGAACCAGGAAGTACCTTCACATTAGTCCTGGTCTCAGCTTCCTGTGGCTCAGAGAATAGATTTTAAAACTGCTCTGATTGTTACAAGTCACTCCAGGGCCTTGAACCAAAATATATTAGTGACATGTTAGTCCCATATGAACCAACTCTGAGGAGCCCAGGGACTGGTCTCCTGCTGGTTCCAAGAGTCCGAGCAAAACATGAGGAGGCAGCATTTCAGATTTACGCAGCTAAAATCTAGAACAATCTTCCTGAAAATGCAACTGAGGCATTGTGTCTTCTCTCTGTTTTATTTGCTGTGATTATTTATGATTTTAATGCCCTGTATGATTTTATTTGTATTTCTTGTTTTGTTCAGAACTGTGCTATACAAATAAACTTGCCTTGCCTCTCGTTGTCTTTGCATCCGTGGTGCAGATGATTTTTAGCCTCCATCTTTAGATCCGCTTTTTCAGACAGAAAAGCATCAAATGCCGACTCACATACTAACATTCTATACATGCCCATGCTAAAGAATACATGTAATCTCCTATGGGCCGGTGGGGACATGGGAGGGCACGGCAGTTTGAGAAGCGCTGGTTGCTGACCAGAGAAGCACTCCGCTCTGCAAAGAGGACTGTGAGCTGCCTGTTCTGGCGGTTCTTTATAAATCCAGACTTCTAGACCGAGCTCTTAGAATTATCAATGACTCTTCTGGCCACCCTGGAAAAGCCATGTTCCAGCTTCTTCCCTTGGGTAGACGATATCGTTCTCTGAGATGCAGGAAGGCAAGTTTATTTGTATAGCACAATTTCATACACAAGGCAACTCAAGTCTGTGCCATCGGCCCCTCCCACCACCACCAACCATTCACACACACACCAGACTGAACGGTAGTTTGGCACTTTAAAGCCGCAGCCGCCCCACTGTGGCTGGTGTTCCCAGAGGTTAAGTGTCTTGCCCAAGGACACAACGACAGCAGACAGAGGGAGTCGATGGTGAAGGTCGGGCTCAAACCCACGACCCTGTTGAGATCTTTCGAGGCGGTTGAGGTGTTGAGATCCTTCGAGGTGGTGGAGGTGTTGAGACCTTTGGAGTCGGTGGAGATGTTTGTGTTGTTGCCGGAAAAGCACTTTTGATGGCTGCACGCGCTGCGCAGGCTGAGGTCTCAGAGCAAAAGAAAGGTTATCCACCTCTACTCCGTAAGTGTTCAGATGTGGACCTTTTCCATCAAAAAGCTTGTGCCTATTCCAGAACAGATTAAAGTTCTCAATGAAGGAAAGTCCTCTGCGTGAACATGCGTTGAGTAGAAAAGTAGTTAGCTGATACAGACGACTGAATTTCATTTGCTTCCTGTCCACATTTGGTAGTGGCCCACTAATTTACAATTTTTAAGGTCGCCTTTTCAGCTTTTCACTTGACTTGTCAGATGTCTACTGCCCCCACGTGGATCACCAATCTGTTTACACCACGGTTTTCAGACAGGAGCTTTTGAGTCAGCGCTCTTATCTCGTCCACTTTAGCAGAGCGTACCAAAAATGTTTTCTTACTACGTATGTTTACATTCTTGATGGCAGAATCACCGATAAGGAGTGCTTCAGGACATGCTAACAGCTTCTTCCCACAAGTGTTATCAGTTTAAAGGTTTCTTTAAGACAAGAAAGTAAAGACACATGATGGTGTGACGCCTCTCTTATCAGCTGCCTCTCAGCGATTGAAATTAGGAAGCGGGGTGCACGGACCATCAACAGAGACGAGGGGGCTTTCCCCTTGGGTCACACTTGGGATTCACTTTTCCATAGACCACAACGCGGCGAGGGACGTGGAAGTTTACCGCCGAAACATGGTAATTAAGCAGCTTTCTTTACTTTCTTGTCTTATTAAAAGAAGCTTCAAAGCCTTAAACATAAGAAGACAATATTAACTTTTTACATTTAGAGCACTTTAAGGATCTTGCCTTTGTATTTAAACTGCTTTTGTCAATTTTTTACTGTTTTGTTGTTTTATTTCTGTATTTTTAACCTTGTTTTAAATATGTACTTGTTTTGTGCACACCGTGGACTTTTGCACATGTATTCCAATGTGGTTTTACTGCAGATTCAGATGATCTTAATCTGAATCTGAATCTGTGGGCGTCACAGAGGGGGTCAGCCTCTCTTTAAAAACTCATTTCAAATCGAGAGAACCACATTTCTTCAGACCAGCGACAAGAAAAGGAAATGAATCGCTCAAATCTCACAAGTTTGTTTTTGCTCTTTGCTCTCAGCCTGCTCTGCTCAAGTGAGTCACATTTATTTATCTATAGTTGTTTAACGTTTACTCATTCAGGTACAAATGTTTTTACTCTTTAACTGATGGCGTCTCTATGAGGTCTCTCTGCTCTCTCTTTGCTTCATCTATGGTCTCACTAGTCTCTCTCTCTCTCTCTCTCTCGCTCTGGCCTCAGTCTCTGGTCTCTCTCTGTCCTCAGTCTCTGGACTCAGTCACTGGTCTCTCTCTGGTCTCTCTCTGGTCTCTCTCTGGCCTCAGTCACTGGTCTCTCTCTGGTCTCTCTCTGGCCTCAGTCTCTGGTCTCTCTCTGGTCTCTCTCTGGTCTCTCTCTGGCCTCAGTCTCTGGTCTCTCTCTGGTCTCTCTCTGGTCTCTCTCTGGCCTCAGTCTCTGGTCTCTCTCTGGTCTCTCTCTGGCCTCAGTCTCTGGTCTCTCTCTGGTCTCTCTCTGGCCTCAGTCTCTGGTCTCTCTCTGGTCTCTCTCTGGCCTCAGTCTCCGGTCTCTCACTCGTCTCTCTCTGGCCTCAGTCTCTCTCTGCTTGCTCAGGTTTCTCTCACTAGTCAATCTATCTATCTACAGTATATTAATACATTCCTTTCTGACTGTTTTGCAGACGATGCAGCTCAGATCATCAATGGGACCGAAGTCACTCCTCACTCCATGAAGTTTATGGCCTTTCTCAAAAGTAAAAGTTATATCTGTGGAGGAACTCTGATCCATCCACAGTGGGTCCTGACGGCAGCTCACTGCGGCAAGTAAGAAACACCACAAATACAAACGCAATCTTTCTGGTGTCAGTCTCTGGTCTCTCTTGGGCCTCAGTTTCTGGTCTCTCTCTGGCCTCTCTCTGGTCTCTCTCTGGCCTAAGTCTCTGGACTCTCTCTGGACTCTCTCTGGCCTCAGTCTCTGGACTCTCTCTGGACTCAGCCTCTGGTCTCTCTCTGGATTCTCTTTGGTCTCTCTCTGGTCTCCCTCTGGTCTCAGCTTCCAAACCCATGTCCTTCCAGCTCCAGTGCAGACTTTAAGATCTCCACGGTGACACTGGGAGCTCACAACATCAGACTGGAGGAGGCCACAGCACAGATCCGACACGTGAAGCAGATGATCCCACATCCGTGTTACGACAAAGAGGAAAAAGTCCACGACCTGATGCTGCTCAAGGTGCACTTTATTTACTTATTTATTTTTCTCTCCACTCCAGTGTTTTTATTGGTTATTGTCAAAGTAACGAGTCTACATCTGTGTGTTCAGCTGAAGAAGCCGGTGAAGCAGACGGAGTGGGTGGGGGTCCTGAGGGTGGGGCCCCCGGTGCAGGACCCGGCCCCCGGCAGCTCCTGTGTGGTCGCTGGATGGGGGGCCCTGAAGTACGGGGCCAAGAGAGGCTCTGACGTCCTGATGGCGGTGAACGTGACGGTGGTGAACAGAGACAAGTGCAACTCTAAAAACTACTACAACCTGCGTCCTGTCATCACACACGGACACGTCTGTGCAGGCTCCGACGGGACCAGCCAGGCCGACTCCTGCCAGGTCTCTTAGAAGCATGGCTAACCACTCTAAACTGTAGTGTCCATCCTAGAAGCATGGCTAACCACCTGTTTTAAGTCCATTATTTATTAAACTTCTCAGTGAGAGCGGAAGGCGGGTGTTGTAGGTCGGTGCCGGTGACGTCAAGAGTTTCCGCCGAACGGGCAGGTTGTAGTTTGGCAATGGCGAAGAATGCGATAGTAAAGTAATCCGGTCTGGTTCTATTAAGAAATTGAAGCAGGAGCAAGAGGAATGTTTACTAAATGTAATTGCTGGTCAAGATTGTGGCGCTACTCCCCACGGGCTCCGTTAGCGGCAAAGGAGATGGCTAGGCTAAATGCTAACAACACACTCAGGCGCACTACATATGTCACAGTAAACTCAGTTAACCCCTCCCACCTGTAAACGGAGCTCAATGGAGCGCCTCCAGACCTTAGTATGAAATGTAATTTGTACTATGGTGTGGTACGACCAGGCTACTATTGTGTGTGTTCCAGGGAGACTCTGGAGGCCCCCTGCTGTGCAGACAGCAGCTGGTGGGAGTCACCTCGTTCGGGATCAGCTGTGGAACCATCGACAAACCTGGAGTCTACACTTTCCTCACCAAGAAACACCTGGATTGGATCCGAACATACGTTAAATAAACATCAACAATGAATAAATAAATACATTTTAAGTTCATGTCCCTCTTCTTCTCCTGTTTATGAACTGTGCTATACCAATAAACTTGTCTTTTGCATATTCTTCCCGTTCTCCTACTGTTCTGTGCAACACTTTATATGGACGCATAAAGACAGGGCTAACCACTTCAATCTGTATTAAGGAACACTTAGAAGCATGGCTAACCACTTCAATCTGTATTAAGGAACACTTAGAAGCATGGCTAACCACTTCATTCTGTATTAAGGAACACTTAGAAGCATGGCTAACCACTTCAATCTGTATTAAGTAACACTTAGAAGCATGGCTAACCACTTCAATCTGTATTAAGGAACACTTAGAAGCATGGCTAACCACTTCAATCTGTATTAAGGAACACTTAGAAGCATGGCTAACCACTTCAATCTGTATTAAGAAACACTTAGAAAGCATGGCTAACCACTTCGATCTGTATTAAGGAACACTTTGAAGCATGGCTAACCACTTCGATCTGTATTAAGGAACACTTAGAAGCATGGCTAACCACTTCGATCTGTATTAAGGAACACTTAGAAACAGTCAGTAAAACTACCTCCACTTTCCACAACCATTTTAGCTTTGATACAACACCTCCCCCTTGGACTGCCACCTCCCCCTGGACTGCCACCTCCCCCTGGACTGCCACCTCCCCCTGGACTGCCACCTCCCCCTGGACTGCCACCTCCCCCTGGACTGCCACCTCCCCCTGTACTGCCACCTCCTCCTGGACTGCCACCTCCCCCCTGGACTGCCACCTCCCCCTGGACTGCCACCTCCTCCTGGACTGCCACCTCCTCCTGGACTGCCACCTCCTCCTGGACTGCCACCTCCTCCTGGACTGCCACCTCCCCCTGGACTGCCACCTCCTCCTGGACTGCCACCTCCTCCTGGACTGCCACCTCCCCCTGGACTGCCACCTCCTCCTGGACTGCCACCTCCTCCTGGACTGCCACCTCCCCCTGGACTGCCACCTCCTCCTGGACTGCCACCTCCTCCTGGACTGCCACCTCCCCCTGGACTGCCACCTCCTCCTGGACTGCCACCTCCTCCTGGACTGCCACCTCCCCCTGGACTGCCACCTCCCCCTGGACTGCCACCTCCCCCTGGACTGCCACCTCCCCCTGGACTGCCACCTCCCCTGGACTGCCACCTCCTCCTGGACTGCCACCTCCTCCCCTGCCACTCCCCTGGACTGCCACCTCCCCCTGGACTGCCACCTCCCCCTGGACTGCCACCTCCCCCTGGACTGCCACCTCCTCCTGGACTGCCACCTCCTCCTGGACTGCCACCTCCCCCTGGACTGCCACCTCCCCCTGGACTGCCACCTCGCCCTGGACTGCCACCTCCCCCTGGACTGCCACCTCCCCCTGGACTGCCACCATAACGTGGTGGGGGAGTTTGAGCACTCGGGTGATCCTGGGAGCTAAGCTGTCTGGGGCTTCATGCCCCTGGTAGGGTCATGGCATGACGCAGTCCGAAGCCAACCATGGATCGCACAACAACGACAACCGTGACGTCGCCCGGCATGGCGCAGCCGGGGCCCCATCCTGGAGCCAGGCCTGGGGTTGGGGCTCACATTAGTCCTGACTAGAACCAGGAAGTACCATCACATTAGTCCTGGTCTCAGGTCTCTGCTTCCTGTGGCTCAGAGACTAGGCTTTAAAACTGCTCTGTTTGTTACAGAGGGCCGCTCCACAGCCTCGCACTAAAGTGACATGTTAGTCCCATATGAACCAACTCTGAGGAGCACAGGGACTGGCCTCCTGCTGGTTCCAGAGTCAGGACTAAACATGAGGAGGCAGCGTTTCAGATTCATGCAGCTAAAATATTGAACAATCTTCCTGAAAATGTGAGACAGGCTGTTTCTCTGACAATGTTCAAATCCAGGTTAAAAACAACTGAGGGATTATGTCTTCTCTCTGTTTAATGTACTGTGATTATTTAATGCCCTGTATGATTTTATTTGTATTTCTTGTTTTGTTCAGAACTGTGCTATACAAATAAACTTGCCTTTTCTCTCTTTGTCTTTGCATCCGTGGTAAGTAAGTAATCTTTATTTATATAGAACAGACCAGAGTCACAAAGCAGTTTACAATTGTTATTTTTGGGCACTTGTCTCTCACTCCACACAGAGATTGGAGCGGGGCCAGTACAGGAGGCGCATGCCAGAGTACATGTTTTTAGTGGTAGGGGAAACCGGAGCACTCGGAGGAAACTTACGCAAGCACGGAGAGAACATGCAAACTCCACTCAGAAAGGCTCTGTTCCGACCGGGATTCGAACCCAGGACCTTCTATCTGCTATCTACTTGCACTAGAATACACAGAACTTTATACTTGCCTCTTATTTTGCCAAATGTTACATTTTTACATCTATTATTATTTTCAAGATAGAGATTGTATACTTATTATTGATGCAAGAGTCAGAGATTCTGTTTTATTTTAATTAGTACAGCTATTGTTCACTTAACGAGTGCCGTGTGCTCCTCTGTCCTACTGATCTATAACCTGTGATGCAACACCGAAATTTCCCCACTGTGGGACGAATAAAGGATCTCTTAATCTTAATCTTAATCTTAATCAAAAACTCACATACTAACATTAAATACATGGCCATGATAAAGAATACAATACATGTAATCTCCTATGTACCGGTGGGAGGGTACGGCAGTTTGAGAAGCACTGATTGTAGGCGTCACAGACGGGTCAGGCTCTCTTTAAAAACTCATTTCAAATTGAGAAAACCACATTTCTTCAAGAAAAGGAAAAGAATCGCTCAAAACTCACAAGTTTTCTTTTGCTCTTTCCTCTGAGCCTGCTCTGCTCAAGTGAGTCACATTTATTTATCTATAGTTGTTTAACGTTTACTCATTCAGGTACAAATGTTTTTACTCTTTAACTGATGGCGTCTCTATGAGGTCTCTCTGCTTCATCTATGGTCTCTCACTAGTCTCTCTCTCGCTCTAGCCTCAGTCGCTCTCTCGCTCTGGCCTCAGTCTCTCTCTCGCTCTAGCCTCAGTCTCTCTCTCGCTCTGGCCTCAGTCTCTCTCGCTCTGGCCTCAGTCGCTCTTTCGCTCTGGCCTCAGTCTCTCTTTCGCTCTGGCCTCAGTCTCTCTCTCGCTTGCTCTGGCCTCAGTCTCTCTCTTGCTCTAGCCTCAGTCTCTCTCGCTCTGGCCTCAGTCGCTCTCTCGCTCTGGCCTCAGTCGCTCTCTCGCTCTGGCCTCAGTCTCTCGCTTGCTCTGGCCTCAGTCTCTCTCTCGCTCTGGCCTCAGTTTCTCGCTTGCTCTGACCTCAGTCGCTCTCTCGCTCTGACCTCAGTCGCTCTCTCGCTCTGGCCTCAGTCTCTCTCACTCTGGCCTCAGTCTTTCTCTCGCTCTGGCCTGTCTCTCGCTTGCTCTAGCCTCAGTCTCTCTCTTGCTCTGGCCTCAGTCTCTCTCTCGCTCTGGCCTCAGTCTCTCGCTCGCTCTGGCCTCAGTCTCTCTCTCGCTCTGGCCTCAGTCGCTCTCTCGCTCTGGCCTCAGTCGCTCTCTCGCACTGGCCTCAGTCGCTCTCTCGCTCTGGCCTCAGTCGCTCTCTCGCTCTGGCCTCAGTCTCTCGCTTGCTCTGACCTCAGTCGCTCTCTCGCACTGGCCTCAGTCGCTCTCTCGCTCTGGCCTCAGTCGCTCTCTCGCTCTGGCCTCAGTCTCTCTCTCGCTCTGGCCTCAGTCTCTCGCTTGCTCTAGCCTCAGTCTCTCTCTTGCTCTGGCCTCAGTCTCTCGCTTGCTCTGGCCTCAGTCGCTCTCTCGCTCTGGCCTCAGTCTCTCTTTCGCTCTGGCCTCAGTCTCTCGCTTGCTCTGGCCTCAGTCGCTCTCTCGCTCTGGCCTCAGCTCTCTCTCTCGCGCTCTGGCCTCAGTCTCTCTCTCGCTCTGGCCTCAGTCCCTCTTTCGCTCTGGCCTCAGTCTCTCGCTTGCTCTGGCCTCAGTCTCTCTCTCGCTCTGGCCTCAGTCGCTCTCTCGCTCTGGCCTCAGTCTCTCTTTCGCTCTGGCCTCAGTCTCTCGCTTGCTCTGGCCTCAGTCTCTCTCTCGCTCTGGCCTCAGTCTCTCGCTTGCTCTGGCCTCAGTCTCTCTCTTGCTCGCCTCAGTCTCTCTCTTGCTCTGGCCTCAGTCTCTCTCTCGCTCTGGCCTCAGTCGCTCTCTCGCTCTGGCCTCAGTCTCTCGCTTGCTCTGACCTCAGTCTCTCTCTCGCTCTGGCCTCAGTCTCTCGCTTGCTCTAGCCTCAGTCTCTCTCTTGCTCTGGCCTCAGTCTCTCTCTCGCTCTGGCCTCAGTCTCTCGCTTGCTCTGGCCTCAGTCTCTCGCTTGCTCTGGCCTCAGTCTCTCGCTTGCTCTGGCCTCAGTCGCTCTCTTTCGCTCTGGCCTCGGTCTCTCTTTCGCTCTGGCCTCAGTCTCTCTCTCGCTCTGGCCTCAGTCGCTCTCTCGCTCTGGCCTCAGTCTCTCTCACTCTGGCCTCAGTCTCTCTCACTCTGGCCTCAGTCGCTCTCTCGCTCTGGCCTTAGTCTCTCGCTTGCTCTAGCCTCAGTCTCTCTCTCGCTCTGGCCTCAGTCTCTCGCTTGCTCTGGCCTCAGTCTCTCGCTTGCTCTGGCCTCAGTCGCTCTCTCGCTCTGGCCTCAGTCTCTCTCTCGCTCTGGCCTCAGTCTCTCTCTCGCTCTAGCCTCGGTCTCTCTTTCGCTCTGGCCTCAGTCTCTCTCTCGCTCTAGCCTCAGTCTCTCTCTCGCTCTAGCCTCAGTCTCTCTCGCTCTGGCCTCAGTCGCTCTCTCACTCTGGCCTCAGTCTCTCTCGCTCTGGCCTCAGTCGCTCTCTCACTCTGGCCTCAGTCTCTCTCACTCTGGCCTCAGTCTCTCTCGCTCTAGCCTCAGTCTCTCGCTTGCTCTGGCCTCAGTCTCTCTCTTGCTCTGGCCTCAGTCGCTCTCTCGCTCTGGCCTCAGTCGCTCTCTCGCTCTGGCCTCAGTCTCTCGCTTGCTCTGACCTCAGTCTCCCTCTCGCTCTGGCCTCAGTCTCTCGCTTGCTCTAGCCTCAGTCTCTCTCTTGCTCTGGCCTCAGTCTCTCTCTCGCTCTGGCCTCAGTCTCTCGCTTGCTCTGGCCTCAGTCTCTCGCTTGCTCTGGCCTCAGTCTCTCGCTTGCTCTGGCCTCAGTCGCTCTCTCGCTCTGGCCTCAGTCTCTCGCTCGCTCTGGCCTCAGTCGCTCTCTCGCTCTGGCCTCAGTCTCTCTCTTGCTCTGGCCTCAGTCGCTCTCTCGCTCTGGCCTCAGTCGCTCTCTCGCACTGGCCTCAGTCGCTCTCTCGCTCTGGCCTCAGTCGCTCTCTCGCTCTAGCCTCCTCTCTCGCTCTGGCCTCAGTCTCTCTCTCGCTCTGGCCTCAGTCTCTCTCTCGCTCTGGCCTCAGTCTCTCGCTCGCTCTGGCCTCAGTCGCTCTCTCGCTCTGGCCTCAGTCGCTCTCTCGCTCTGGCCTCAGTCGCTCTCTCGCTCTGGCCTCAGTCTCTCTCTCGCTCTGGCCTCAGTCTCTCTCTCGCTCTGGCCTCAGTCTCTCTCTCGCTCTGGCCTCAGTCTCTCGCTTGCTCTAGCCTCAGTCTCTCTCTTGCTCTGGCCTCAGTCTCTCTCTCGCTCTGGCATCAGTCTCTCTCTCGCTCTGGCCTCAGTCTCTCTCTTGCTCTGGCCTCAGTCTCTCTCGCTCTAGCCTCGGACTCTCTCTCTCGCTCTGGCCTCAGTCTCTCTCGCTCTAGCCTCGGTCTCTCTCGCTCTAGCCTCAGTCTCTCTCTTGCTCTGGCCTCAGTCTCTCTCTTGCTCTGGCCTCAGTCTCTCTCTTGCTCTGGCCTCAGTCGCTCTCTCGCTCTGGCCTCAGTCTCTCTCGCTCTAGCCTCGGTCTCTCTTTCGCTCTGGCCTCAGTCTCTCGCTTGCTCTGGCCTCGGTCTCGCTCTGGCCTCAGTCGCTCTCTCGCTCTGGCCTCAGTCTCTCTCTCGCTCTAGCCTCGGTCTCTCTCTCGCTCTGGCCTCAGTCTCTCGCTCGCTCTGGCCTCAGTCGCTCTCTCGCTCTGGCCTCAGTCGCTCTCTTGCTCTGGCCTCAGTCTCTCGCTTGCTCTGGCCTCAGTCTCTCTCTCGCTCTGGCCTCAGTCGCTCTCTCGCTCTGGCCTCGGTCTCGCTCTGGCCTCAGTCGCTCTCTCGCTCTGGCCTCAGTCGCTCTCTCGCTCTGGCCTCGGTCTCGCTCTGGCCTCAGTTTCTCGCTTGCTCTGGTCTCAGTCTCGCTCTGGTCTTTCTCTTGTCCATCACTCGTTCTCTCTTGCCTCAGTCCGGTTGCTCAGGTTTCTCCCTTACTGGTCACTTATTGCTCCCGAGTCCCCCTGGTCTCTCTCTGGTTCCAGTCTCTTGTCTTTTGTCTCCTTCTGGCCTGATATCTTAGAGTAAATTAGCCTGGTCGTACCACACCATAGTACAAATTACATTTCGTACTAAGGTCTGAAGGTGCTCCATTGACTCCGTTAACAGGTGGGAGGGGTTAACTCCTTTTGCAGATTGAAACGATTGGATCTGAGTTTACCGTCACGTAGGTAATGCACCCAAGTGAGTCGTTTGCATTTAGCATTTAGCCTAGCTTTAGCCATCTCCTTTGCCGCTAACGGAGCTCGTGGGGAGTAGCGCCACAATTTTTTCCAGCGATTACATTTTCTAAACATTCCTCTTGCTCCGGCTTCAGTTTCTTGATAGAACCAGACCAGATTACTTTACTATCGCATTTTTTGCCATTGCCAAACTCCACGACCTTCCCGTTCGACGCAAACTCTTCACGTCATCCACAACTAACTACAACATCTGCCTTCTGCGCTCTCTGAATGGTCGGTTGTGTAATCGCAAACACTAGTCCAGGACTAGTCCATGACCAGTCCAGGACTAGTCCATGACCAGTACAGGACCAGTCCAGGACCAGCACCTTGATAAAGTAGGCTTTAACTGGTTGGTTTTAGTTGCCAATTGAGCAACAAGGTTTTTAGCTTCATTTGAATTTTACATTTAAATGAATGGATAGGTCAAAATCATGGATCTATGATAATAACTAGATAGGGTATTACTAGCTTATAGCTGTCCCATCCATGGACACAGGGGGCGCTGTGGTACTGCAGACTAAATTCATGTGGGCTACCCAGAAAAAGTCCCATAGAACTCAATGTAAACTAAAACAGCTCGGCCTCATCTGACAGAGAACCTGACAGAGAACCTACAGCTTTCATAAAGGTCAGATTTTGTGGGGATTTTAGTGTGCCTTGTCATCCTGAACTTTTTTTCTCCTTAAATCCTTTGGTTTTCTTTAAATCTACACTTTACTGCCACAAACTCTGGTCATTTCTTTCCCACTCTAACTCCGCTCTGATGATCAGCTCTGATTGGTCAAAGTGCGGCCGAGCCCCTCTGTGCGCGTGCATAAGAGCAACATGCGCGTATTTGGCGCAACGCATCATGGGAGATAATCAAGCCCCGGTGATCCAAGATGGCGCCCTATTCAAATGAATGGCTTGTGCTCAGTAGCGCATGGGACTTCGTGGAGACCGGGAGATTAGCAGAAATCGCCTGTATTTGGGCTCTCTCCTTTATCCTCCTTTATACAGTACCTTTCATACATAATACATTGCTACATACAGAACATGAATGCTAATGGTCTTGGGTTCGATCCATTGATGTCTGCTGCTGCCGTTGTGTCCCTGGGCAAGACACTCAACCCACTCTGCCTGAAGCCCCCGGCCACTCCCCCAGACCCAGAAATGAACCTCAAAAAGGAAAAGAAAATGACATGACATTTCTGACTGTTTTGCAGACGATGCAGCTCAGATCATCAATGGGACCGAAGTCACTCCTCACTCCATGAAGTTTATGGCTTTTCTCCAAAGTAAACATTCTTTCTGTGGAGGAACTCTGATCCATCCACAGTGGGTCCTGACGGCAGCTCACTGCGGCAAGTAAGAAACACCACAAATACAAACGCAATCTTTCTGGTGTCAGTCTCTGGTCTCTCTTGGGCCTCAGTTTCTGGTCTCTCTCTGGCCTCTCTCTGGTCTCTCTCTAGTCTCTCCTTGGTCTCTCTCTGGTCCCTTTTTGATCTCTCTCTGGTCTTCCTCTGGTCTCAGCTTCCAAACCCATGTCCTTCCAGCTCCAGTGCAGACTTTAAGATCTCCACGGTGACACTGGGAGCTCACAACATCAGACTGGAGGAGGCCACAGCACAGATCCGACACGTGAAGCAGATGATCCCACATCCGTGTTACAACGAAGACGAAGAAGTCCACGACCTGATGCTGCTCAAGGTGCACTTTGAGTTTGCTCATTTATTTAGTCCAGGACTCCCAGAATCATGAAACTACAACAAACCACATTCCTCTCTGTTTGAATTTCTCTCATTCAAACCAATGGGATTCTGGGAAATTAGAAAAAAAAAACTTTTTGAAAGAGACCAGAGACTGAGGCCAGAGAGAGACCAGAGACTGAGGCCAGAGAAAGACCAGAGACTGAGGCCAGAGAGAGACCAGAGAAAGACCAGAGAAAGACCAGAGAGAGACCAGAGAGAGACCAGAGAAAGACCAGAGAGATACCAGAGAGAGACCAGAGAGAGACCAGAGAGAGACCAGAGAGAGACCAGAGAAAGACCAGAGAGAGACCAGAGAGAGACCAGAGAGAGACCAGAAAGAGACCAGAGAAAGACCAGAGAGAGACCAGAGAGAGACCAGAGAGAGACCAGAGAGTGACCAGAGAGAGACCAGAAAGAGACCAGAGAAAGACCAGAGAGATACCAGAGAGAGACCAGAGAGAGACCAGAGAGTGACCAGAGAGAGACCAGAGAGAGATGACGTAGTCAGGGCTAAACTCCAGCGTTTTTATTGGTTATTGTCAAACTAACGAGTCTACATCTGTGTGTTCAGCTGAAGAAGCCGGTGAAGCAGACGGAGTGGGTGGAGGTCCTGAGGGTGGGGCCCCCGGTGCAGGACCCGGCCCCCGGCTCCTCCTGTGTGGTCGCTGGATGGGGGGCCCTGAAGTACGGGGCCAAGAGAGGCTCTGACGTCCTGATGGCGGTGAACGTGACGGTGGTGGACAGAGACAAGTGCAACTCTAAAAACTATTACAACCTGCGTCCTGTCATCACACACGGACACGTCTGTGCAGGCTCCGACGGGACCAGCCAGGCCGACTCCTGCCAGGTCTCTTAGAAGCATGGCTAACCACTCTAAACTGTAGTGTCGGTCCTAGAAGCATGGCTAACCACTCTAAACTGTAGTGTCAATACTAGAAGCATGGCTAACCACTCTAAACTGTAGTGTCCATCCTAGAAGCATGGCTAAAGCAAGGTTGACTCCTGCCAGGTCTCTTAGAAGCATGGCTAACCACTCTAAACTTTAGTGTCAATCCTAGAAGCATGGCCAGCCACCTGTTTTAAGTCAATTATTTATCCATCCATCCATTTTCTACCCTTTAATCCATTTCTGGGTCAGGGGGGTGACAATCAGAGATGCCACCCAAGTCTCATAGCACCAGCCCCTCACTGACCCTCTGCAGGTGGTGAGTCCACAGGAGGACGGCTGCTCTCTGAGTGAGAGCATAGCCTTGATCTTTCAGTGGGGGCTTTGGGCAAAGTGGGGTTAAGTGTCTTGCCCAAGGACACAACGACAGCAGTCATCAGTGGGAGTCGGTGGAGAAGGTGCAGAGGTGGGAATTGAACCCACGACCTTCTGGCCTTAAGGCCAATGCTCTACCAACTGAGCTACTGTCGCCCCTCCATTATTATTTATTAAACAAAAAAGTTTGGTTTTCACCAATTGTATTAAAAGTAAGTAAAGTATAAGGTTTTACCATCACTCACTTTTGAACTGGTGAATATGATAAAATACAACAAAAAGAGTTTGTTGGAAGGCTAACTGCTAATTGCTAAATGCTAACTACTAAATGCTAACTGCTGCAACTAAACAGTGTGTTGCTACAGTAACAAGCACTGACTCTTGTGGAAAACTAAGCTCAGCTCAGTCCAGAACCTTCAGCCGTCGATTTGACTGCTCTGGTGTTGTGTGTGTTCCAGGGAGACTCTGGAGGCCCCCTGCTGTGCGGACAGCAGCTGGTGGGAGTCACCTCGTTCGGGATCGGCTGTGGAACCATCGACAAACCTAGAGTCTACACTTTCCTCACCAAGAAACACCTGGATTGGATCCGAACATACGTTAAATAAACATCAACAATGAATAAATAAATACATTTTAAGTTCATGTCCCTCTTCTTCTCCTGTTTATGAACTGTGCTATACCAATAAACTTGTCTTTTGCATATTCTTCCCGTTCTCCTACTGTTCTGTGCAACACTTTATATGGACGCATAAAGACAGGGCTAACCACTTCATTCTGTATTAAGGAACACTTAGAAGCATGGCTAACCACTTCAATCTGTATTAAGAAACACTTAGAAGCATGGCTAACCACTTCGATCTGTATTAAGGAACACTTAAGGGTGAGGGTATAGAGAAAGGATGTTTTTCCAATCCCAGCAGCACCAGGTGGTCTAAGGACCAACCAAATACTGTGTAAATAAGGCCGCACAAGTTGTGGACATAGGAGACTTCTTACAAAACAGGTTCACAAGTTTATTTTCAATATGATTTAAATACAACATATAGGCCTATAAGGGGAAAATGGTTAAACTTTATTTTCAAAATGGTGGCAAATCAGGACACAAGGAGAAACGAAAAAAGAAACAAATCGTACCATATGAGAAACAAATCATGCAATCAAAGGAAACACAAACAGCAATGCCATGCAAATGAAGCAAACAAAAATAGGAAAAAGCCATGAAAAAAGCGTGCAAAGGCAAAATAAATGTCACGAGGTGGGAAGGAGGAGGACTCAAAATGCGAGAATGCCAAAATAAAGATTTAATAAAATAAAGTCCAAGGTAAAAACAAAACTCAAAATCTAAAATACGGAACCAGGAGCACAAAATCAGGAACAGGACGAAACAGATGTAGACAATACAATGGACCAGCAACAAGAGGAGAGGAGCACAGGGTAATTATAGACAGAGACACAGGTGAAACACATCAGGGCGGGGCAGGCAATCAAGACAGGGGAAACAACAGGACGTCAAAGTCAAAAACTAAAAACAAAGCACAGAGAACCGAAGATATCAAAATAAAGCGTAAAGTCCAAAATAAAATCACACACCATGACACACACACACACACACACACACACACACTTGGGAATTGGACTGAGGCAGAGAAACACACACACACTACAGTAAGTACTCGAGTAGCAAGCAGCAATCAGACATAGATGACAGTAGTCACGGAGTAGCAGCAGCACATACATAGATGACAGTAGTACTCGAGTAGCAGCAGCACATACATAGATAGTAACTTTACTCTAACATAATACCAGAGTACATGTACAAAGCTTAAGAACACAGACTTTCTTCTGCATTGTTCAGAACCAGTCCAACCACTTTTGGGCCGGGTCAGTGTCAGTCACAAGTCAATCCAGACGCTTCACTTTTGGAGAAAGAATAAAGCTGAGAAGTGTCTCTGAGCGTCCAAAAAACATGTGTGTAGAATGGATTGTTCTAAAACACTTGTTATTGTTAGAGAAAATGAAAGATTTAGATTTGATAGATTCTATGAATGCAGAGAAATGTGTTGAATAAAGACTGAACCAGAAGCAACAAAAGTCATGACAGTAGTACTCGAGTAGCAGCAGCACATACATAGATAGAGACAGTAGTACTCGAGTAGCAGCAGCACATACAAAGATAGTAACTTTACTCTAACATAATACCAGAGTACATGTACAAAGCTTAAGAACACAGACTTTCTTCTGCATTGTTCAGAACCAGTCACAGACAAACACACACACAAACACTGACACACACATACACACACACTTAGCCTCAGACAAACACACACATAAACACTGACACACACAAACACACACATACACACATTCTCAGGGAGACATTTCTGTATCTTTTTAAAACTAGATCATTTTGCGTTGTCTCTTTGTTAAACATTGTTTTAGGTCTCAGTCAGAATGTGCTCAGATTAAGACATATTTTGCCAAATTTTAGACATTTTTGACTTATTTCCTGCCTCAGTCTCACCCATTCTCAAAAAAAACCTGTTCTGGATCCCACCAACTTCAACAACCTCCGTCCCATCTCAAACCCTCTCTTCATCTCCAAAATACTTGAAAAATCTGTCGCTGCTCAACTCCACAACCACCTCACCGCTAACGACATCTAGGAACAATTTCAGTCTGGTTTCCGTCCCCTCCACAGCACCGAAACAGCACTGCTAAAAATCACCAACGACCTCCTCATAGGCTCTGACTCCGGTTTACTCTTCATCCTCATCCTTCTTGACCTCACTGCAGACTTTGACACCATCTCTCCCTCCACTCTCCTTAACAGACTCTCCTCCATCGGCATCACCCACACCCCCCTCGCCTGGTTCACCTCCTGTCTTTCTGGTCGCTCACAATACATCCATCTCAAATCCCACAAATCCAGCTCTTTTCCTGTCTCCGCTGGTGTGCCCCAGGGCTCTATCCTGGGGCCCCTCCTCTTCATCATCTATATTCTCCCACTCGGTCACATCCTCCGCCGTCACAACATTCACTTCCACTGTTACGCGGATGACACCCAGCTCTACCTCTCCACTGAACCCTCTCCCTCTCTCCCTCCATCCTCCCTCACCCTCTGTCTACAAGAAATTAATTCCTGGTTCTCTTCCAACTTTCTCAAACTCAACAGCTCTAAAACAGAAGTCCTTCTCATAGGCACCACCCCCCCCCCCCCCCCCCCCCCCCCCCCTCCACTCTCTCCAAATCTAACAGCTTCTCTGTCTCCATCCATAACACATCTGTCCTCCCCTCCCCTCAGGTCAAGAGTCTGGGTGTCATCCTCGACAGTTCACTCTCCTTCCAATCTCACATCAATAACATAACTCTGTCTTTCTACTTCCACCTGCACAATATCTCTCGTCTCCGCCCCTCTCCCACCCCCCACACCACCGCCATCCTCGTCCACAGCCTCGTCACCTCTAGGATTAACTACTGCAGCTCACTTCTCTTTGGCCTCCCCAACAAATCCCTCCAGAAACTGCAGCTCCTCCAAAACTCTGCAGCTCACATCCTCATCCGGACCCCCACAGCTGACCACATCACCCCCACATCACCCGGACCCCCACAGCTGACCACATCACCCCCACATCACCCGACCCCCACAGCTGACCACATCACCCCCACATCACCCGGACCCCCACAGCTGACCACATCACCCCCACATCACCCGGACCCCCACAGCTGACCACATCACCCCCGGACCCCCACAGCTGACCACATCACCCGGACCCCCACAGCTGACCACATCACCCCCGACAACTCCACTGACTTCCTGTTAAACAACGCATCAACTTCAAAATACTCCGCACCACTTTCAAAGCACTTCACAACATGGTCCCTCCGTACTTATCTGACCTCCTCCACCCTGCCCTGTCTCTCTGGTCTCTCTCTCTCTCTCTAGTCTATCTCTCTCTGGTCTCTCTTTCTGGTCTCTATCTCTCTCTGGTCTCTCTCTGGTCTCTCTCTCTCAGTGTCTATCTCTCTCTCTCTCTGGTCTCTATTCTCTCTGTCTCTCTCTGGTCTCTCTCTGGGCTCTCTCTGGTGGCTCTATCTCTCTGGCCTTCTCTCTCTCTGGTCTCTCTCTGGTCTCTCATCGCTCTGGTCTCTATTCTCTGGTCTTTCTCTTCGGTCTCTCTCTCTCTGGTCTCTCTCTCTCTCTTCTGGTCTCTCTCTGGTCCTCTTCTCTGGTCCTCTCTCTGGTCTCTATTTCTCTCTGGTCTCTTTCTCTCTCTCTTTCTGGTCTCTCTCTCTGGTCTCTCTCTCTCTGGTCTCTCTCTGGTCTCTCTCGTCTCTCTGGTCTCTATTTCTCTCTGGTCTCTTTCTGGTCTCTCTCTTTCTGGTCTCTATCTCTCTCTGGTCTCTCTCTGGTCTCTCTCTCTGGTCTATCTCTCTCTGGTCTCTCTCTGGTCTCTCTCTGGTCTCTCTCTCTGGTCTCTTTCTGGTCTCTATCTCTCTCTGGTCTATCTCTCTCTGTCTCTCTCTCTCTGGTTTATTTATGGTCTCTCTCTCTCTCTGGTCTCTCTCTCTCTCTGGTCTATCTCTCTCTGGTCTCTCTCTCTCTGGTTTATTTCTGGTCTCTATCTCTCTCTGGTCTCTCTCTCTCTCTGGTCTCTCTCTGGTCTCTCTCTCTCTCTGGTCTATCTCTCTCTGGTCTCTCTCTCTCTAGTCTATCTCTCTCTGGTCTCTCTCTGGTCTCTCTCTCTCTCTCTCTCTCTGGTCTCCTCTCTCTCTCTCTGGTCCCCCTCTCTCTCTCTGGTCTCTCTCTGGTCTCTCTCTCTCTGGTCTCTCTCTCTCTCTGGTCTCTCTCTGGTCTCTCTCTCTGGTCTCTCTCTCTCTCTGGTCTCTCTCTCTGGTCTCTCTCTCTCTCTCTGGTCTCTCTCTCTCTGGTCTCTCTCTCTCTCTGGTCTCTCTCTCTCTCTCTGGTCTCTCTCTCTCTCTGGTCTCTCTCACAGACTGCAGTGTAAAGTAGATCCAGAGGTTTTAGCTGCTGACAGTAGAACTGTAGTAAACTTTATCAGAGTCGTCCATTATCGCCACTGATCCTTGTATTTTTGGGGATTTTTGCAGGTACACACTTGATTCTCTGTCATTTCCTTGTTAGCGCACGCACACATCTATGACTCACACACACACTGGCCCCTCTCTCTCTCTCCCTCCCTCTCTCTCTCCCTCCCTCCCTCCTCCCTCTCTCTCTCCCTCCGTCTCTCTCTCTCATAAGTTTCATTTCCGTGTCAGTGAAACTGTAGCAGCAGCGATGGCGCAGACAGAGCTCTTCTTGTGTCCTGTGTGTTTGGATTTACTGCAGACTCCGGTCTCTCTTCCCTGTGGACACAACTACTGTACAACTACACACACACACACTGGAAATTCACTGAGGCAGAGTAACACACACTACAGTAGTACTCGAGTAGCAGCAGCACATACATAGATGACAGTAGTACTCGAGTAGCAGCACATACATACACTACAGTAGTACTCGAGTAGCAGCAGCACATACATAGATGACAGTAGTACTCGAGTAGCAGCAGCACATACATAGATGACAGTAGTACTCGAGTAGCAG